AGGGCGTGCGGCGACGGAGGAGGACGCATTCAGGAGGCTGATTCACAACCGCGTTCCTTTAGATTAAAACCTTCCTGATCTACAAGACGGGAAGATTTTCATCACCACAGACAGAAGAGACAACGAAGGGTATTTGATCAGGATCATGTCTGTGCAGAGGAGGAGAGGAGAGCAGAAGTGGAAGACGTACTTTATTAATCCCACAGGGGGAAATTCAGTGTTCTCACTCTGGTGTTATTATTAGTACACAATATATGAACTGGCACCTCTCCAGCTACCAGGAGGTGAACTGGCACCTCTCCAGCTACCAGGAGGTGAACTGGCACCTCTCCAGCTACCAGGAGGTGAACTGGCACCTCTCCAGCTACCAGCCCACACTCCACAACTCTGGACTCAAACCGGTCACCCTCCGGTTCCCAGCCTAATCCTTATGGACGGAGCTACTGCCGCCCCAAAGGAAGAGAGGAGGAGGAGGAGGAGGAAGAAGGAGAGGAGGAGGAGGAGAGGAGGAGGAGGAGAGGAGGAGGAGAGGGGGAAAGTTACATTTGCTCATTTTGAAAAAGGGCAGGAAGTGGTCGTATTTTAGTTTGTCCCCATGAAGAGTTGTTTCTGTTGAAACTGAGTTTGTTCAAACTCTGCTGAAAGTTTTAATGTTAAACTGAAGAAGAAACATTAATTTTATCATTCAGACTAATTTACTGACAGAAGTCGAAACAAACTCTCAGTTTAATTTTATGTAGCTTGTAGTTGATTGTTGCTGTCGGCGTTAAAAGAAACAAATAAAGTTCCAGTTATTTCTAGAAACAGAAACGTCCTGCTGCTGCTGTTTATCAGCCGTATATTTGGGAGCTGCTGAGTTTATTTCAACTTGTTTCCTTCACAAATCTGCAGGTTTTTAGTAGTTTGCTGCTCTGCGATCACAAAAACTCAATTTCAGAAAATCTTTTGTGTTGAAAACAGGTTGAAACTTAAATGACAGATATAAGTTTCACAGATTATTCGTGTGTTCAAGTTCTGTTTAACACAGAGACAACAGCTGTCCCCTGAAATACCCAGAATGCAGTGCAAAATGACTCTTAACAGGCAGATCTACCTGATCAGAGTGAAGGTTTCTGAACAAATCTGCAGACACAACATTTGTGTTAAGCAACAGTAACAGAGAGTCTGAGGGGGCGAGCGAGGTTGGGCTGCACTTGCAGAGCAGAGAGAGAGAGGGGGTCCCATATGGTTCTGAGTGCAATAACTTGAATTTGCTCCAACAAAGAAGTAATTGAGAAGAGGAGAAGGAGCTGTGAGTCTTGACTCGACAAAGCTGCGAAAACTCTCTTCTTTCAGCCTAATGAAGCCGTTGTCTGGGGGTGTGGTGTGGGGGCGGAGAGGATGGAGGTGGGGGCGGAGGACAGAGGAGGCCGAGCAGCCTTGGACGTGATTTGTCATACAATCTGAATCTTTAGGAGGGCCGCAGAAGAGAGACCTCCTCTCCATATGTCTGCTTCGTTTGCATCTGAAAGCTGAAGGGCTGAAAGGGGGGCAGAGAGGAGGAGGAGGAGGAGGAGGAGGAGGAGGAGGGGTACACTGCCACCCTGCATCGTCAGCTTTGAGGGTATTTGTGCTTCTTCTTGTGTTTCAGATGAAGCTGCTTAGCTACAAAATGTCTCCTTTTTCTTCATCATTGGATTCGAAATCATAGAAGCCGAATCAGAGAGACGCAATCAGAGAGGCTGAATCATAGAAGCCAAATCATGGAAGCCAAATCATGGAGGCCGAATCAGAGAGGCCGAATCATAGAAGCCGAATCATGGAGGCCGAATCAGAGAGGCCGAATCATAGAAGCCGAATCATGGAGGCCGAATCAGAGAGGCCGAATCATAGAAGCCGAATCATGGAGGCCGAATCAGAGAGGCCGAATCTGAAAGACCGAATCATAGAGGCCGAATCAGAGACAGAATCAGAGGCCAAATCAGAGAGACGGAATCAGAGAGGCTGAATCATAGAAGCCAAATCATGGAGGCCGAATCATTGAGGCCGAATCTGAAAGACCGAATCATAGAGGCCGAATCATAGAGGCCGAATCAGAGAGGCCGAATCATGGAGGCCGAATCTGAAAGACCGAATCATAGAGGCCGAATCAGAGAAGCCAAATCATGGAAGCCGAATCATTGAGGCCGAATCAGAGAAGCCAAATCATGGAAGCCGAATCAGAGAGGCCGAATCAGAGAGGCCGAATCTGAAAGACGAAATCAGAGAGGCCGAATCAGAGAGGCCGAATCAGAGAGGCCGAATCAGAGAGGCCGAATCATTGAGGCCGAATCTGAAAGACCAAATCAGAGAGGCCGAATCATTGAGGCCGAATCTGAAAGACCGAATCATAGAGGCTGAATCATAGAAGCCAAATCATGGAAGCCGAATCATTGAGGCTGAATCAGAGAGGCCGAATCTGAAAGACCAAATCAGAGAGGCCGAATCATTGAGGCCGAATCTGAAAGACCGAATCATAGAGGCTGAATCATAGAAGCCAAATCATGGAAGCCGAATCATTGAGGCTGAATCAGAGAGGCCGAATCTGAAAGACCGAATCAGAGAGACCAAATCACGGGAGCCGAATCAGAGAGGCCGAATCAGAGAGGCCGAATCAGAGAGGCCGAATCTGAAAGACGAAATCAGAGAGGCCGAATCAGAGAGGCCGAATCAGAGAGGCCGAATCATTGAGGCCGAATCTGAAAGACCAAATCAGAGAGGCCGAATCATTGAGGCCGAATCTGAAAGACCGAATCATAGAGGCTGAATCATAGAAGCCAAATCATGGAAGCCGAATCATTGAGGCTGAATCAGAGAGGCCGAATCTGAAAGACCGAATCAGAGAGACCAAATCACGGGAGCCGAATCATAGAAGCTGAATCAGAGGCCGAATCTGAGAGACTGAATCTGAGAGACTGAATCTGAGAGACCGAATCATGGAGGTCAAATCAGAGAGGCCGAATCATGGAGGTCAAATCAGAGAGGCCGAATCATGGAGGTCAAATCAGAGAGGCCGAATCATTCATGTTGATAAGTTTCAGTTTTCAGTTCAGTTACTTTTCCAGATTCAGATTATTAACAAAAAATATAATCTTCTAATAGGTGAAGCTGCCAGCAGTATATGTAGTCATTAAAATAAGCTCCACCTTTAAAAGTGATGAACATGTGAATGCATCAACAATTATAATCCAATAATATGATACAGATTAATCTGAAATGGACCGTTCTGCATGATGAGTACTTTTAGTACTTCAAATATGCTATGATGAAAAAACCTTTGTACTTTGAGTTGAGGTTGGCAATGTTGGAGAAACATGCAAAACACGTTCATGTGCAGTGAATGCGCACAGGTAGACCAGCAGTGATTGTATCAGTCCACAGCCATTTAATTATTTTTTCTGCGTCAGAGCATTTGATTTACTGATCGCTGTTGGGATGTAAAGAGAATTTCAACAAATAGAAGAATGATCTGCCAGCTTTAAGTGACATTTTAAAGGCATGACTTCCTCTAACAGACATTTCTACACTGTTGTATTGGTACTTTTACTGCAGCAACAGATCTGAGTATAACTGGAAGAGATTTAAATGTGATTTGAAACGAGGAACTTTAGACCGAGTTGCTTTCAGACACAAGACATCATGTAAAACTACAGAACGTTTCTGTGACGAGGCTTCGGCCTGAAAGGACCTTTAAATCCTGGTCTGGGTCCCAGAGGAACAAAGAGCCAGTGTGGAGGCTCACACGCTGCTGATGATGCTGGTGATGAAGATGATGCAGATGGAGGGGGGCGGTCCTGACACTGACATGGGGGTCGTGACCTGGAGGCTCTTTGCAGACATCTGTAGCTGCTGCACATTCCCTGACACCCCCTCCGTCCAATCAGCTCTCTGGAAGAATGTATGACCTGTACCCCCTCAGGCCACGCCCCCTCTGACACGCACACACACAAACACACACACACTCACACATCAACATGGATGGTTCTGGTCCTGGTCTTTCTGTGATCTGACAAGATCATGATCTCTCTCATAAATTCATCTAACACTGAATTTCTCTCAGACTCTGCTGCCCCCTGCTGGACAGCTGGTCTGCAGGTCTGCAGGTCTGTTATATCAGGTGTGAGATGACAGCGGCTGACTTTTGCAGACTTGGAAGCGGGGCATAACAGCACCGTCAAGTCGGATACATCCAGGTCGTAGCCGACAGTATATGTGTGTATATATATATATATATATATATATATATATATATATATATATATATATGTGTGTGTTCTGAGCTGCCAGCACAAGACAGGTAAGATGAGAGGATGAGAGGAGTTGGACTGTGTTTTACATTGATGATGCTTGGTGCACAAACGCAGCGAAGATGGACTCTGTTTCCCAAATGTCAGACTGTTTATTGTGAAGATGAAACTTTCATATTATTATGTGGTTGTTGCTGTTTACATTCAGCCCATACAAATTAAAAAAATCTCCTGTGGAATGTTCGGGATGTAAGTTATACTTGTCTGTATATATGTATATAAATAACTGTATTGTTTTATTTTATATGTTACCATATTTAAATATAGGCCTACACTTAATTATATGTGAAGGAACTACAAATTTCATTTTGTTATGCAGCCTTGGGCTGTATAATGACAAATAAACAATCTTGTACCTTGCATATCTATCGATAGATATGTGTATATATCAGAAGGAGCTTTATTGCCAAGTAGTGTTTTACAAATACAAGGAATTTACTTGGTGATAAGGTGCTATGCGTAAAGTTAACATGAATAAATGTAGAAATATATAAATATGGAATAAACAAATGCAAGTTATATAAGAATAATATAAGAGTATATATATTTATGTATATTCAGTATATTTCTCTGTGAAGTGAAACTATAGACTGTACAGAGTGAAACGCAGATGTAACGCAGAGGCTTGCAGTCGCTGACAGACGGTAAGTGGCGGTAATGAGTCCAACATCTGGTTTCCAACTTCCGTTAAGAGACGAAGTAGAAGCAGCTCCGGAAGCAAGCTGTAGAAGCTAACCTCAACATCAGCTGTTTGGCGGGAACAAATCAGTCAGTTCATTCTGAGGTTTTCAGTTTAAACGTCTGAAAGTTGAAACAGCCGAGGAAATAATTTAGACGGCAGCTAACTGCTAGCTTAGCCGCTAACAGGAGAGAAAACACGCTCACGGTGAGTGAAGAGCTAACTGATGCTAACTGACGCTCACTCTGTTGTTACCGGTGTCAGATCCTGTTTTCCCGAAACTTGGTACGCAGAGTTACTCCGAAGCCCGAACCGGTCCCTTCCAACCGGAACCTGGCCCACTTTATTCACTTATTAATTACTTCAAACAACATAAATGGACGTTAAACGTGAAGCACGTTAACGTGCCAAAGCCGACTGCTAGCTAACTGAATGCTAACAGCTAACGGCTGTGGAACAAGCTGACGGCCAATTGATGTTAACTGTCAGGTTGTTTAGCATGATGCTAACAGAGCAGTCAGTGATGTCGGTGCTAACAGAGCAGTCAGAGTGAGTTGATGCTAACAGAGCAGTCAGAGTGATGTCGGTGCTGCTAACAGAGCAGTCAGAGTGAGTTGATGCTAACAGCAGATGCTAACAGAGCAGTCAGAGTGTGTCGGTGCTGCTAACAGAGCAGTCAGAGTGAGTTGATGCTAACAGCAGATGCTAACAGAGCAGTCAGAGTGATGTCGGTGCTAACAGAGCAGTCAGAGTGATGTCGGTGCTGCTAACAGAGCAGTCAAGAGTGAGTTGATGCTAACAGCAGATGCTAACAGAGCAGTCAGAGTGATGTCGGTGCTAACAGAGCAGTCAGAGTGATGTCGGTGCTGCTAACAGAGCAGTCAGAGTGATGTCGGTGCTGCTAACAGAGCAGTCAAGAGTGAGTTGATGCTAACAGCAGATGCTAACAGAGCAGTCAGAGTGAGTTGATGCTAACAGAGCAGTCAGAGTGAGTTGATGCTAACAGCAGATGCTAACAGAGCAGTCAGAGTGATGTCGGTGCTAACAGAGCAGTCAGAGTGATGTCGGTGCTGCTAACAGAGCAGTCAGAGATGTCGGTGCTGCTAACAGAGCAGTCAAGAGTGAGTTGATGCTAACAGCAGATGCTAACAGAGCAGTCAGAGTGATGTCGGTGCTGCTAACAGAGCAGTCAGAGTGAGTTGATGCTAACAGCAGATGCTAACAGAGCAGTCAGAGATGTCGGTGCTGCTAACAGAGCAGTCAAGAGTGAGTTGATGCTAACAGCAGATGCTAACAGAGCAGTCAGAGTGATGTCGGTGCTGCTAACAGAGCAGTCAAGAGTGAGTTGATGCTAACAGCAGATGCTAACAGAGCAGTCAGAGATGTCGGTGCTGCTAACAGAGCAGTCAAGAGTGAGTTGATGCTAACAGCAGATGCTAACAGAGCAGTCAGAGTGATGTCGGTGCTGCTAACAGAGCAGTCAAGAGTGAGTTGATGCTAACAGCAGATGCTAACAGAGCAGTCAGAGTGAGTTGATGCTAACAGAGCAGTCAGAGTGAGTTGATGCTAACAGAGCAGTCAGAGTGAGTTGATGCTAACAGCAGATGCTAACAGAGCAGTCAGAGTGATGTCGGTGCTAACAGAGCAGTCAGAGTGATGTCGGTGCTGCTAACAGAGCAGTCAGAGATGTCGGTGCTGCTAACAGAGCAGTCAAGAGTGAGTTGATGCTAACAGCAGATGCTAACAGAGCAGTCAGAGTGATGTCGGTGCTGCTAACAGAGCAGTCAGAGTGAGTTGATGCTAACAGCAGATGCTAACAGCAGTCAGAGTGATGTCGGTGCTAACAGCAGATGCTAACAGCAGTCAGAGTGATGTCGGTGCTAACAGCAGATGCTAACAGCAGTCAGAGTGATGTCGGTGCTAACAGCAGATGCTAACAGCAGTCAGAGTGATGTCGGTGCTAACAGCAGATGCTAACAGCAGTCAGAGTGATGTCGGTGCTGCTAACAGAGCAGTCAGAGTGAGTTGATGCTAACAGCAGATGCTAACAGCAGTCAGAGTGATGTCGGTGCTAACAGCAGATGCTAACAGCAGTCAGAGTGATGTCGGTGCTGCTAACAGAGCAGTCAGAGTGATGTCGGTGCTAACAGCAGATGCTAACAGAGCAGTCAGAGTGAGTTGATGCTAACAGCAGTCAGAGTGATGTCGGTGCTAACAGCAGATGCTAACAGAGCAGTCAGAGTGAGTTGATGCTAACAGCAGATGCTAACAGAGCAGTCAGAGTGATGTCGGTGCTGCTAACAGAGCAGTCAGAGTGAGTTGATGCTAACAGCAGATGCTAACAGCAGTCAGAGTGATGTCGGTGATGCTAACAGAGCAGTCAGAGTGATGTCGGTGCTGCTAACAGAGCAGTCAGAGTGATGTCGGTGCTAACAGCAGATGCTAACAGCAGTCAGAGTGATGTCGGTGCTAACAGCAGATGCTAACAGCAGTCAGAGTGATGTCGGTGCTAACAACAGATGCTAACAGAGCAGTCAGAGTGATGTCGGTGCTAACAGAGCAGTCAGAGTGATGTCGGTGCTAACAGAGCAGTCAGAGTGATGTCGGTGCTAACAGAGCAGTCAGAGTGATGTCGGTGCTGCTAACAGAGCAGTCAGAGTGTGTCGGTGCTGCTAACAGAGCAGTCAGAGTGAGTTGATGCTAACAGCAGTCTGAGTGATGTCGGTGCTAACAGCAGATGCTAACAGCAGTCAGAGTGATGTCGGTGCTAACAACAGATGCTAACAGCAGTCAGAGTGATGTCGGTGCTGCTAACAGAGCAGTCAGAGTGAGTTGATGCTAACAGCAGATGCTAACAGCAGTCAGAGTGATGTCGGTGCTGCTAACAGAGCAGTCAGAGTGAGTTGATGCTAACAGCAGTCTGAGTGATGTCGGTGCTAACAACAGATGCTAACAGCAGTCAGAGTGATGTCGGTGCTGCTAACAGAGCAGTCAGAGTGAGTTGATGCTAACAGCAGATGCTAACAGCAGTCAGAGTGATGTCGGTGCTGCTAACAGAGCAGTCAGAGTGATGTCGGTGCTAACAGCAGATGCTAACAGCAGTCAGAGTGATGTCGGTGCTAACAGAGCAGTCAGAGTGAGTTGATGCTAACAGCAGATGCTAACAGAGCAGTCAGAGTGATGTCGGTGCTGCTAACAGAGCAGTCAGAGTGAGTTGATGCTAACAGCAGATGCTAACAGAGCAGTCAGAGTGTGTCGGTGATGCTAACAGAGCAGTCAGAGTGAGTTGATGCTAACAGCAGATGCTAACAGAGCAGTCAGAGTGTGTCGGTGATGCTAACAGAGCAGTCAGAGTGATGTGGTCTACGTGTCTCTCTTTAACCCCTGTGTGTCTGTGTCCCTGCAGGGTCTCCAGCGTCTCTGCTATGAGCAGCTCTGTGAGTATTCTTCTTCAGTGTTTCAGTCTGACCTCAGATCAGGATCTGAACTTCACCGATTGGTCCAGTTTTTTCTGTTTGTTAGCTGCTTTTTCATTTAGATTAAACCCCGCCCACCGCTGTGATGTAATGAATGTGTGTTGTGATGTATAGACTCAGAGGAAGAGGAGGATCACAGGAAGTCCTCTAGTTTCCAGACCCAAGAGCAGCAGAGGAGCTAATGCTAGGAGGACAGCTAGCGCTAACAGGGCAGCTAACAGGACGGCTAACAGGACGGCTAACAGGACGGCTAACATTAGCAGGGCGTCAGATGGTAACCCTGCCCCCCGCACAGAGACCATCGCTGTGATGGACAACACTGAGGACAGTCAGTACAGATCAGTACTCAGTTATTAATTAGCAGCGCCAGATCTGATCAATAATCAATAACTGATGTGTGTTCAGGTGTGGAGGAGGTGGTGGATCTGACCTGTGAGGGATCAGAAGCTGCTGTGGTCGACCTGACCAACAACGACTCAGTACTGGTAACATTCAACACACGTTAACGCTAATACCTGCCAACACATGCTAAAACATACATGCATACATAAACATGACGCTGTATCGCCATAGCCTATCAGTGTTGAGACTGTCCGGATGTCACCGACGGCATCAGGGTGTGTCGAGGACAGGGACGCCGGGCTGAGGGACAGAGTCTCTGCCGGCCGACAGACGGCAGCTCTGGAGGAGAGAGCCGGGGCGGCGCCGGAGCTTTGGACCAATAAAGACCCACAGTGCGCCCGTTTACCAGCAGGAGGAGCTCAGAGTTAACGTCTTTTATTAAATTAACTTTTTACTTTAATTTTCGGGATTAAAACGTTGATGTATCTTCACTCACGCTTCTCAGCAGCGAGCTGCCGTGTGTTTTGTTAGCGTCAGTGGTCACCCACTTGTGATCTTGCTGACAGACCTGACAAAGCGTTACTTAATATTTAGAGAATAGAGGAAATCCGTTTCTTGCAACTAAATCCCAGCTAAATGTTGACTTTGAGTTCATGCAGCTGCAGGAATGATGGGTTTGTATGAGAACACCAGGCGAGTAGTGCAGCCATCAAACTCACGCGAGTCACTTGATGCAAAGATTAAATTCCATTTTGGTCTGAGAAAGCGGCGCTTTGTCTACACGGCACATCAGTTTCTACGGCACATCAGTTTCTACGGCACATCAGTTTCTACGGCACATCTAGCTGCAGCGTTGGGCAAATTACTCAGAAGTAGTAATGATTTACTTTTTACTCATTTAAAAAGTAATAATATTACTTCACTTATTACTGGGTATTAAAAGTAAATAGTCACGTTACTCGTTCCGTTAGTATTACTTTCAACCACCCTGTCCTTTAAAAGTGACGGGAAACCTGTTCAGCAGCGCATTTCAGAAATGAACTGGAACAATTATTAACCTGAGAACAAACTCAAACCGCCTCCTTCTCCCCAGGACAAAGCTCAGCACCATGGGTGGTCGGGCTTTCTGTTCTGCCGCTCCTCTGTCTTTTTAGCAGAACGTATGAGTTTTAATTAACCCTGCAAGCTGTTGCATTACCTATTTGTATTTTATATTGCATGTTTTTTTACCTTGCTTTTATGATCTTAACTGTAGCACTTTGGCTACGTTCAGACTGCAGGCCAATGTGACCCAAATCCGATTTTGTTTTTTTTATGCGCCCATATGTGATTCAGATCTGATCTTTTTATGACAGTGTAAACAGGCAAAGTCACATGGAAGCTGATCTCTTCCAGTTACAGATCGGATCTTTTTATGTGCGACTTTGACGTCACTGTAGAGCACAAAAGCCATTATCAAACATGTGGAACTCTCCCTCCTCTACCTCGCTATCATCTGCTCACAGATTCCTTTTATTATACCTGAAGTTCACCGGACCGCGAGCTCTCTTCTGAGTTACGTGCATGCTACTTGTCCGAGCGGACACAGTGGGGAGAGAGTGAGTTGTGGGGCAGTTGCGCCAGAAACTGTAATGAAAAGAACAGAAAGTTGTGTCATAATTTGGTAGAAATGTGACCCGTCAGAGGACAATGAAAAACGGGAGTCTCCCGCGAGCTAACTGGAGTTAACCTCTGTTGCTCCTTGTTTACTTCTGCAGCCTGCAACAGCTGCTGCTGCGTGTTCTTCTTCTGCGCATGCGGGTCACTTTAAGGCCGCGGACAGTTCACGCTGGAGTCTGATATGGGCCACGTTTAAACTATAATGTGAACTGTCAAACAATCTGGGGAAATCAGCGTTAAGGCCTGCAGTCTGAACGTAGCCTTTGAGATTTGTTTCAAATGTAAAGTGTATTAAAAAAACAATTTTTTTTTTTATTATTCTTATTGAGGAGGCAACAAGCAGCCGAACTGAAAAACGCCTCTCAGAGCAGAGGATGCCGGATCTATAGGCTATTTAAAGATAATAAAAACCGTGTGTTCATAACAGCAGCAATGAGGATGATTTTTACAGAAGAGGCTTTTTAACACCACCGTCTGGACTTTTGGACTAACGTTACTGTTTTGTAAATGCAATAATAAGAGAAGTATTCAGTGGTTTTACTGAACACATAACGATGCTGAACGCCACTCTCTGCTGCGGAGCGGGTGCTTCACTGGCAGCAGCTGCTGGAGTTTCTTTCTACAGGCTAAGCTTCACGTTGCTCAGCTGCTTCAGCAGATGCTTCAATACAAAATTGTTTGCGGTGAAAAGCTTTTTGCTGGTCGCACAAAGTTCACAACAGAAGACGCAGCTCGGCCTGATGGCAGCACTTACTGCTGGGGAAAGAACGCCTCTCTACCTCGTTCTTCCTTTAGCTTTTTGGCTAGCGGCTGACTTGAACAACAGCAGGTCTGGTGTGCTCACATATGTTTTAATTTACAAACGAGGCGTAATCTACGTTGACTTCAGTCTTCTGACCGGCTACCGACACGCTTGTGCCGCCTGGCCGCGCCCCTCCAGTAGTGTTTCTATACAAGAAACAGTCTCTACACGCTAATACATGCTAATGCACAGGAAAGGGCAGCAAAGCACACGTTCTCCCTACAAACTAATAATTAGCATATTGATCGGTTGCTGAATTGTGTTCAGACTTTTTAGTCAAAGAGAAAACGGATCAAACTAACGGTCTCTTTTTCTTCTGCCGCCGCCGCCGTGATGAGCCAGCTGGTGGACGAAGGTAAAACTTTTATTCTGCCTGAGTTTCATGTTGAAATAAAGTTTCATTAAAGAGACAGTGCAACAATTTTCTGGGTGTCCTCCATCAGGTCCTCAGAACAGGGGCGGGGTCACCACAGGAGAGAGTTACGTCGTCAGCAGTGATGACGACGAGGACACGCCCCCTGTCCTCAACGCTGCACTAATGTCCTCTCTACACGCCAACAGCTCCTCCAGGTAGTAGTCCGACCCACCTGGTCTCAGCTAACGTTGTCTTTACATCACAGCCAGGTAGTAGTTTGACCCACCTGGTCCCAGGTAGCATGGTCTGTGTGTGATGTGACAGTAGAAACCAGCAGAGTCTCTGTGTTTCAGGTCGACCCCGGGGACGATCAGCTGTCCCGTCTGTCTGGACTCGTACTCTGAGGTGAGACTCAGACACACCTGTCACACACCTGGGTGCTGTTTCAGGAAGCAGGTTTAACTAACTGTGACCCTGACAGGGAAACCTGAGTTCCTGTTCCAGAGCAGCTGGTCAGAATCAGAGTTGAGCTCGAGGGAAGAAAAAACGTCGTGTCAACAAGTAAACAAAGTTTTATTTTAGTGTTTCACCATTTAGCAGTCTGAACCAGCAGGATCCAGATCCTCACAGTAAACCTACTGAAACGGTCTGAACCAGCAGGATCCAGATCCTCACAGTAAACCTACTGAAACGGTCTGATCCAGCAGGATCCAGATCCTCACAGTAAACCTACTGAAACGGTCTGACCCAGCAGGATCCAGATCCTCACAGTAAACCTACTGAAACGATCTGATCCAGCAGGATCTAGATCCTCACAGTAAACCTACTGAAACGATCTGATCCAGCAGGATCTAGATCCTCACAGTAAACCTACTGAAACGATCTGAACCAGCAGGATCCAGATCCAGATCCTCACAGTAAACCTACTGAAACGATCTGAACCAGCAGGATCCAGATCCTCAGAGTAAACCTACTGAAACAGTCTGAACCAGAAGGATCCAGATCCTCACAGTAAACCTACTGAAACAGTCTGAACCAGAAGGATCCAGATCCTCACAGTAACCAGCAGGTAGAGTCCTGCGTTCTGATTGGCTGGTTGTTGTTTCCTCCACAGATCGTCGAGAGCGGCCGATTGGTTGTTTCCACTAAATGTGGCCACGTGTTCTGCAGCCAGTGTCTTAGGGACTCTCTGACATCATCACACACCTGTCCTACCTGCAGGAAGAGACTGACCCACCGCCAGTACCACCCCCTCTACATCTGACATCACTCTGACATCATCACACACCTGAGCTGCATCATCAGTGACATCACGTCAAGAGTTTCTTTTAATTGGAAACAACAGACTGTGTGTCCGAGCTGCGTTTTAATGACAGAGTATACGTGATTATTGATTATTGACTTCTTCAGTTTCAGCTCAGGTTTCTTTTTTTGTCTCCCATCGTCGTTTTGCACTCTTTGTTTTCTCTGTGATAAAAAGTCTAAATAAATTCTGTTGAAAAGTTTTTTCATTCAGTCTATTTGTGGAACGTCAGAGCTCATATACACACGATCAGTACTACTTAGTAAAAAGTACCATAACATGATACTGTTGTTGAGATGCATTCTGGGAGGTTATCGAATTACTTTTTTTGTGTTCATCTTGTGATTCTGAGTCACTTCACATTCACACGCCGACCTGCAGCTCACAAGGCTGATGACTCTCCGTCACCTGACACAGACTGCTGCTGATTGGCTGCTGGAACATCCACACAGAATGATGTCACCACAAAGTCTGGACATGTAAACATCCAATAAAACCAGATTTCTTTTTCCCTTTTATTTATTTATTTATATATTTTAAAAACCTGCCCTATAAAACCAGATTTCTAACTGAACTAAAGGGCTGAATATAAATACAGATTTAAAAACCTGATGCACGTTATGAATGAAGCAAGAAACAACAACACTTAATATACTAAATGTGTAGTTATAATAATTTCAGCTTTAATGGAGTCACAAGGATTCAATAAAAAAGGGTTTTATGTATATAAATAGCTACTGTGAGGTGTGTGTATATATATATATATATACACACGTTGTACTGAAATATCTGAAATATAAAATATCACAAAGAAGAACAGCAAATTAACATGTTTTTTAAAAAATGTTCAAAATAATATATATCAGTTTGGTTAACTTTGGGTTAGTTTCATTATATTTAGTTAATAAAAGTGTGTGAAGGTCATTGTTTGTTTACACTTTGGTAAAAACTTTCCATCATGTGTTTTGTAACGATGACGCAGCGTCATTTTGCTTCAATATGAACTTTATTCCGGATAAACCTGATTGGTCAGCTGACTCAGCGAGGAAATCCCCTCATTGGAAAGTGCGCAGTCACTCCGCTGCCTGTCATTGGTCGTCGGGGCGGGACTCCGCCAGCTGACCAATGGGAAGCCGCGTCGATGTTTACTTCTCGGGACGACAGTGACGTTGATCACGGAAGTAAACATAAAGGAGAGGATTTAAAGCTGCGTCACAAAGTTTCTCACTTTGTTTGAGAAAGTCTCCAGAAGTGCGTGTTTTCTCTCCGGAGTCTGGTTCCGTCCTCTGTCTGAAGTGTACCCGGGATCTGCAGCAGGATGTCTCTGACGGTGAAGGCCTACCTGTTGGGGAAAGACGAGACGGTGAAAGAGGTCCGGAGGTTCGCGGTGGACCAGGACGTCTCCTGCAGCTTCGAGTATCTGAGCAGGAAAACCGAAGGAATCTTTAATATCCTGAAGAGCAACGGCTTCAACATGTACTACAGAGGTAAATATATATATAAATAACTTGGCAGCCCTAAAGTGTTAAATAACCTTAAAAAACGTTTTCAACTTGTTTAATTTTTTTTTTAATGTAAATTTAAATTATTTTACATAAATCAATGTTTCAGTATGTTAGTTTATTATGGTAAAATGTTAAAATTATTACAAATGTATTATAAACATGAAATCAACCTGAAGATCTCCTCAGTTAAAAGTGTGTGTTTTTCTGCTGGAGTTCTGCATAGAGAGACCAGGGGCCTGTATTCGGGAGCGGCGTGTGGATTTAGCGAGGTAACTTCAGGTTTATGTCGTAGCCACCGTGACGTCACCCGTTACTTGATGGCTTTTTGGCCGTCGCCATCTTTGTTTTTTTGCATCCAGACGTGACCATATTTGGACAAGAGGGTGGAGCTAGCGAGCTCCACCCTCTTGTCCAAATATGCTTGGTTAGCAAGGTGCATCCGTCATTTACGTTAATGTGATATTAGCTGGGATGCTAATTTTGGCTAGCGAGAAACGGGCTTAAAACAAAACGTACTTTCCAGAAAAATGAACATTCGACTCCTTAGAGAGTCTTTTAGCACAACCGAACGCTGATAAAGATGTTTTTTAGGACCAAAATGTTCCAGTTAACGTTCATAAAGTGTAAACGGACTGAGACAGCGCAGCGGATACGAGTCTCCTCTGTCCTGATTGACAGTTCGGAGCAATTCGTCAATCACAAAGTTGCATCGGTAACTGAACCTGCTCCAGATCAGGTTCTGTTCAAGTCAGACAGCAACACTATGAAAGCCACGCCCACTGATTAAATAATGACATCACCATCTGTAGATCGCGACTATCTGAGCTCCTTTTTTGGTTGAAGGGGTTTTTGGTTTTGTTGTTTTATGATGTTAAGACGTGACGCTGCAGGTGAATGTGATTTCTCACATTAAGACAATAAGTTTTTTTTGTTTCAATATGCAAATGAGCGCATTATCTAATGAAATATGCGCGGATTTGCATCTATTTCACAAACTGAAATCTGAACTCTGGTTAAAGTCAGGTTCAAAATTATTGTTTGATTTTGTTGACACATTAGACTCAAATGTTTTTACTGAGAGGAGTTTGACTTTTTTATTATTTCATAAATCAGAAAATACAGTCAACAGACATAAAACTAAATTTTCAATCTCAAACTGATTACTGAGGAACAGCACGTGTCAAAGCACGCCACGTGACGCATCTAAGCCAGTCACGTTGTCAGTAATCGACGCTAGCCAATCAGTTTAAAAGCTTAAATCCGCCTCTGCACTTTCACGATTGGTTGGCTGGTACAAAGGAAATGACCATATTTGGATGTGACAGCGTTGTGCAGCAAAGGGCTTTCTAACGGTACCGGGGATGATCCGGTGCAGACGGCGACAGCAGGAGGAAGCGTAGCGTTAGAAAGCTAACTTCGAGAAACCTACAGATGCTCAGAGAATGTGGATTATTATATTTATATATTATTCTGAAATGAAACAAATTGTCAGAATTGACCAGAGTATTATGAAGCGACGTTTTTTCCGGCCGTGTCTCGCCTTACGTTAGAACGATGTCTGGAACATTTAGAGTTTGTTAAATGAATCTGATGAAGTTCAGAGCTGAACGACCTCTGATGCAGCGCGTGAGGCTTTTAATGTGAAACGCTGACGTGGTCAAACATCGGAACACGTTGATTTAATGAAACACGTGATCACATGTCATCAGCTGGTCACGCACCTGGAGAGTTTCTGACTTCCTGCTGCAGCTGGATCAGGTGTCACCTGCTTCCTGTCCGTCTCGTTATTTAATATAACTGTAATCTGTTTGTAGAACATGTTTCGTAGCACAGGTAGCACAGGTAGCACAGCGAGCACAGGTCAAGTGTTTGGAGAGAAAACTGTCAAAATGATTCTCTTGGAGGCCACGAGTTCTGTGTGAGCTCAGGTGCTGTGGGCGGGTCCTCTGGGCTCAGGTGTGGTGAAAGACAGGTGTTGTGGGCGGGTCCTGTGGGCTCTGGTGTTGAGGGCGGGTCCTGTGGGCTCAGGTGCTGTGGGCGGGTCCTGTGGGCTCAGGTGTGGTGACAGACAGGTGTTGTGGGCGGGTCCTGTGGGCTCAGGTGTGGTGACAGACAGGTGTTGTGGGCGGGTCCTGTGGGCTCAGGTGTGGTGACAGACAGGTGTTGTGGGCGGGTCCTGAGGGCTCAGGTGTGGTGACAGACAGGTGTTGTGGGCGGGTCCTGTGGGCTCAGGTGTGGTGACAGACAGGTGTTGTGGGCGGGTGCTGTGGGCAGGCCCTCTGGGCTCAGGTGTGGTGACAGACAGACCTGTGGGCGGGTCCTCTGGGCTCAGGTCCTGTGGGCGGGTCCTGTGGGCTCAGGTCCTGTGGGCTCAGGTGTGGTGACAGACAGGTGCTGTGGGCGGGTCCTGTGAGCCCAGGTGTTTTGGGCGGGTCATGTGGGCGGGTCCTGTGGGCTCAGGTGCTGTGGGCGGGCCCTCTGGGTCAGGTGTGGTGACAGACAGGTGCTGTGGGCGGGTCCTGTGAGCCCAGGTGTTTTGGGCGGGTCATATGGGCGGGTCCTGTGGGCTCAGGTGTTGTGGGCGGGTCCTGTGGGCTCAGGTCCTGTGGGCTCAGGTGTGGTGACAGACAGGTGCTGTGGGCGGGTCCTGTGGGCTCAGGTGTTGTGGGCGGGTCCTGTGGGCTCAGGTGCTGTGGGCGGGCCCTCTGGGTCAGGTGTGGTGACAGACAGGTGCTGTGGGCGGGTCCTGTGAGCTCAGGTGTGGTGACCGACCGTTTCCTTTTACCTGTCATCGTCTACGGGAGCAGATGATCCATCGCTCATACGAGTCCAGGAGCTTTTCAAAGCCGACTCCGGATCGAACAGTTTTGTAGCGGCGTGATTACAAACATCCGTACTTGAAAAGCAGGTGCGAGCTCACCTGTAACGATGGACACCCGGAGACTCCACCTGTTGACTTTTGAAAACTTCCTGTTTATGCCCAAAGTTGGGTTAGTGTGTGTGTGTATATATTGTATTTATATTGATTGATGATGTTTTATATGGGAATGTATTATGGTTCTGGGAGGTTTGTTAGATTCGGCTTATTTTTAATTGGTTGGCCTTTTTATTTATGAAATGTAAGCTTTGGATTTGGGAGTATTATTTTTATTTTTTTTACTGTAATATCTTGCGCGCTATTGGCAGCTGCAGATAGAAGTTAGCTTTTATCTACATCTGGTGCAGCACATGTATTGTGCCTTGTCCCTGTTGGATAAATAAATGATGTTTCTGTACGTTTCAGATGAAGATGGAGACCTGGTGGCGTTTTCCTCTGATGATGAACTGATGATGGGTCTGGCCTGCATGAAGGACACCACCTTCCGCCTCTACATCAAAGGTACTCACCCGAAGCCCGTCTTAACCCCACCTGTACCCCACCTGTGTCCCGTCTTAACCCCACCTGTGTCCCACCTGTGTCCCGTCTTAACCCCACCTGTACCCACCTGTGTCCTGTCTTAACCCCACCTGTACCCACCTGTGTCCTGTCTTAACCCCACCTGAACCCTGTCTTAACCCCACCTGTACCCACCTGTGTCCCGTCTTTACCCCACCTGTGTCCCGTCTTTACCCCACCTGTGTCCCGTCTTAACCCCGTCTTTACCCCACCTGTGTCCCGTCTTAACCCCGTCTTAACCCCACCTGTGTCCCGTCTTAACCCTCTTAACCCCACCTGAACCCCACTAGGGTCAGAGTCAGAACAGGTGAACTTCCGTTCTAATAAAGTTTTATTGAACTCTTTCAGAGAAGAAGGAGCACCGCCGAGACTTCCCTCTTCACGCCTTCCCTCCCTTTGCCTTCGGCCACCCTCCTCCAACTGGAGCTCCTCATGCCCCGCCCCCTCACCTGGCCCCGCCTCCGGCCCTGCACCCTAGCGTCACCTGTGACGGCTGCGAAGGCCCCGTGGTAGGAACTCGCTTCAAGTGTTCCGTTTGTCCGAACTACGACCTGTGCTCCGCCTGCCAGGCTCGAGGGACGCACACTGAGCACGCTCTGCTGCCCATCTGGCACCCTCTGCAGGTGAGGAGCATCATGGGAAGGAAACGGGGGCGGGGTCTAACAGTAATTATGAGACCATGCCCTCCAGTGATGTCACACTGTTCTCAGAATACAGTGTGACCTCACCGGTGACAGGAGGTAGATGTGATGCCAGCCCCGCTCTGTGACTGTCAGGAGTGTGTGTTTTTAACCCTGCCTTGTGAGTGATTGGTGTTTTTGTGAACTGTCCTTTGTCTGTCTGCAGTGGTTTCCTCGGGGGAAATGGATGAAAAAGATGAGACACTGCATGTGGAACCAGAACCTGAACGTGAACCATGCTCAGAACCAGGATCAGGACCAGGCTCAGGACCAAGCTCAGGATCAGCCTGGATCCTCCAGACCTGCTGCTGACTGCAGCGCCCCCTCTGGTGAGTGTCAGGAACTCTGCTAAAATAAGTTTTTACTTGATTAAGTGACATGATCTAATCCTCGTTAATGACATCATCGGTGACCTCTGACCTCTGTCTGTAGCCTCTCAGGCCAACGTGGACTTCCTGAAGAACATCGGAGAGGGCGTGGCGGCCTTGTTGAGCCCACTTGGTGAGTGATGTCAGTGTTTATGCCTGAGATCAGTACAGGTTTCTGATTGGCTGCTCTGGAGAGTGAAACCAGGAGCGAGGTTCAGGCGGTTTCTAACTCTTCAAACCAACCAGACTGCAGTTTCAGCGGTGGCGCCCGCCGACTCTGAGGGCGTAAACGACAAAACATGACTTTAACAGAAACACCTATGGATACCTGGAATACCGCCCGAGCCTCCCTGGCGCTTGCTTGCAGGAAGCGATGTTGTCCTTTCAAAGTAATAGTGCGGTTAAAGGAGGTTTGCTGTAAGACGGCACTAACAGGAAGTGATGTCACGTGTGTGTGTGTGCAGGTATCGATGTGGACATCGATGTGGAGCATGACGGACAGAGGACCAAAGTGACCCCTCCCTCCCAGAGCGGAGGGGAGGAGGGAAACGTGGAGATGGATGGCGTTGAGGGCGTTGAGGGCGGAGCCAGCGAGGGGTCAAAGGTCAGTCTGTGTGACGTGTTTCAGCTTCAAGAGACGATCAGTTTGAAATCCGTTTGGTTTAAAGATCAATAATCAGTATTAGAGTCAGTTTCAGGTTTTTGTTGACAGAAACTTTCTAATCAATAAATCAGTCAGACGCATCAGAAGCTGTGACATCAGCAGCCAGTCAGAAAGCGATCCGTTACCGTGGAAACACAGGTGTTAGTTCAGAAGTGTTCCTGTGCACTGATCCACATGAGTCTGGTCTAAGTCTGATCCTGGTCCTTCTCAGACCAGTAGAACCAGTAAACCTGAGCCAGGCTGTGCTCTTCAGGTGTGCAGAGACTCAGAGACCGATGAGGAGTGGACTCACCTGAACCCCCGAGAGGTCGACCCCTCCACCGGAGAGCTGCAGTCCCTCCAGCCCGGGAACCAGGACCAGGACCAGAACCAGGACCAGGACCGGGGTCCCCCGTCAGGACAGCATGGGCCAACAGGTCTGAAGGAGGCGGCTCTGTACCCTCACCTGCCTGAAGGTAAGACCCCGTCCTCCCCTGTGCTGTTTGGTCCTTGTGTATGATGTCACTGCTGACCTCTGACCTCTGATCCTGCCCCCCCCCCAGAGGCGGACCCCCGCCTGGTGGAGTCTCTGTCTCTCATGCTGTCGATGGGTTTCACCGATGAAGGCGGCTGGTTGACTCGCCTCCTCCAGGCCAAAAACTTCGACATCGGCGCCGCACTCGACGCCATCCAGTACGCCAAACAGCCCCGCCCACACCAGCCCTGATGTCACCACCATGATGTCACCACTGACATCGTCTATCTAAACCATGATTGGTTCCTGTTGTTTCTATAATCTGTTAGCATCAATCAATACTTTTAACTCTTTGATTTCTGTCTCCACCTTCTGATCTCTGTTGCTCTGATCAATAAACTCATCAGACTGAACCTGAAACTACTGATCTGTCCGGCTGGTCATTCGCCTCAAAGCCTCAAGCGAGTAAACGATCAGCTGTAAGTCCTCGGACCTGGATCTCTGTCTCTGCTTTAAAGAAATACTCGCAGAGGAAACCGTGAAAACACTCTTCAGAGCTAAATGCTCGTTAGGAGTAGAGTGACTTGACGAGGCGTTAATCTTGATTCCATGACATGAAATCCACAAAGAAGAGATGGTTAGATTATTGCTCAGTGTGGCGACAGTGAAAAGGAGTTTGTGGTTTCAGATACTAAGACCTGTAAGCTTCTCTCTCTCTTCACAGAAGATGACTCTTTTCAGCTATTATGGCCACTGGCCCATCACTGTCAGCAGAAGACAAAACGGGTCACGTTCATCATGATTACCACTCTTATCCACGGATCACCAGGTGGCGTTATGGTCGCATGACCTTACAGGGTTCGTTCACATTTTGACCAATGAATTTCTATGACATTTAAGACAAATTTTCATGACCAAACAAAGAAAAAGAGCAGGCCTGCGTCTGCACATGATTTGTAAGAATAATGCCAATTAGCCACCGTTAGCAGCCAAAGTGTCCCTCATCGTTAGTAGGCTTGTTCAGTCTGTACCGCGTCTGAGATTAACCTTTTAGCAGCTGGCATCCTCGCCAGTGTTATTAAATCTACATAACGCACGTGGGAGCGTCATGTATGTGGCGAGTTCTCACCAGAGCCTTCGCTATTTTACGTGCTAATGACTAATCGGTAGGTGTCAGGAAAAGGAACAACACAAGAGCACATGGTGCGGTGCTGTGGCTCCTCTCCCAAGAAAAATGGAGTTGTTTGAATAAAAACTGCATATCTACGTAGTTTTAGACGAGTATCATTAATGCGTTTCAGTGCGTCCTGGCTCCGGCTAAATCTACATCGCTCCACAACCTGGAGGAGGAGCTAGCAGAACTGAGTGTCAGTATAATATTCTGACAATAAAGTTCAATTAATAGGATGCTGTTAGTATAATGTCATTATTTCATATATATATTCATAACACTGGTATGATATAAATTCCAGTTAAATACAGTAGTTTATTTTCATTCATTAAATTCTTGTGCAAGAAAATGGTCTGTAATGTGCAAAAGTTCTAACTCGTCAATAATCAGAACCATCAATGCAGAACAATGAGTTCAACACTAAAAGGTTTCTGTAGCACAACAAACTTTTTATTTTTATTATTCAACCCCACCGACGCTGTGATTGGTCTAAAAGTGACATTAAAGGAGCACATCGACTTTCTAAAAGTTGAACATGTTTCAACAGAAAGCTAAACGGGCAGCGAGCCAAACCTTCCTTATGTGATCACCAGCCATGTTTCCATCCAATTGTCATGCGAACTTTAAACGTCCTTTTGAAATGTCGCAAAATCCATCGGCTGGTTTGGAGCAAATAAACCAGGCTGCGGCGAGCGTCGTTACGTCAGTAGTTGACGTTACACAGGGCTGTAATAAACAAGACGTCTGGGTTCCAAACCAGAAACAAAACCAGTCGCGTGAACCTGAGGGCCACTGAAACAGAGAGAGGTCCTCAGAAATGTGTTTCAAGCGGGCAAGTTACGTTATGGGAATATCCGGTGTTCTGCAGAGTTTTGCATGCACCTCCAGATAATGATTATAAACGCTATAATCCTAATCAATCCTTTATGGGGTTCATCAATGGTGATGAATGAATGAACCACCTCAGAGCGACCGGACGGTAAGATTACCAAGAGTTCAGTTTAGAGCTGCTCTGTATGAAAAGTGCAATTAGATACCTTCTGCTATGAATGTGCACTTTATGAAAATAAATAACTCATACTGACGCCTTTTCTTTTAGCTAGTTCGTAACAACAGGCGGAAACATCGCTTTCCTACGTTCCCACTTCACCTGCTTCGCTGCCTTCACCGCCGCCTCTCTGCTAAGCTCCGCCCCCGCAGAGCACCGAGCAGCACGACTATATATTTTTTTACAGATCTGTCTGATTCACGTGGGTCACCTTTTCAGGTCTCAGTAGGGCTGGGATTCAGTATTGAAACTAATTTCCATGACAGAAGACATTTTCAAATACCAGGACTTTTCCAGGTTTTTCATGACCGTAGGAACCCTGATCTCAATACAGAGAGGCCGTTATCCTCGGTCACTAGGTGGAGTTGATGATAAACAACCTGTTCACAGATTTGTTGTGCATCGCACAGACGTCTCAGTTGGACTCTTCTTCCAGAAAACGTTCTCAACTAATTTGACATTTGCTTCTACAAGAATCCATATTTGGGTTTTCTGACACATCTGCTGACGTGCTCCGTCTCAGAGGCCAGAAAGGGGTTTTATTGTGTGTGGGCTTGTTTTTATTAAGTCTGGGGGCTCCAGAAACCAGGATTCCACTATATATGCGGGGACCAAATGCTGGACCAGGGGCCTGCACCACAAAGCGAGTTCAACATACCCCGGATCTCCTCCAGTTAGCCGGCTTCACTAACCCGAACAATCGCGGTCGTGATAAGTGGGACCATGAAGCTGGTTATGAACTCCGTAAGTCAACCCAGGGTTTCCCGATCCAGCCGGGCGCACGTTCACATGACAGAGGCGGAGTCAGCAGCAGAGGACCAATCACAGACATGAACAAGTCCCCCGTCAGCAGAGCGTCATATTTCACAAAGAGCAAAGTGTAACTCTGCAGAAACAGGACCGGGTCCAACAGCTGCAGCTGACTCATGCATGTCGATGTCTAAATGAACAGTAGTCTATAATAATGTGTTGATCTGATGAGCTGGATGAAAATATCAGCCTTATTCTTTCAGCTCGGCTGTGAGTCGGTGTTTCCACACCTATTTCTAGGAAAAAGACCTAAAATAACAAACCCAAAATGAATCAGTAATATCTCCTCAACCATTTGGCCTAGATGCGTAATTCTGGTCTCCTTTGAAAGGTCAGAAGCTAAGGAATATAAATCCATTGTATATTAACACATTTATTTTACCATTACAGACTACATGGAGATGAAATACAGAAAAAAATATATTTTCATCCTCGCCTGGTAAAAAAAAGCTTTAATTTAATGCAATAAACCATCAAAACCATCATAAGGTAGATTATTATGCACCTGAATATCTTCTAATACACCTGGAATATAACTGTAACTGTAAATTTGATGAAAAGAAACATTTATTACACAATTTTTTTTTTTAAATGTCCATGTTTTGGCCATATTTACTGTTTATATGTTCACTTTTATTGGTAGTTATCTTTAAAACATTATTTCTCTCCATACAACCACGTTCCAAATAACATAAAGCTTCCAAAACAATGAAATATTGATAAAAACAGGCAATATTAATGACCAAAAGCACTCCCGTGCTTTACAGGCCACAGCTTGAGAACAGAACATCCTACAGGGCTCTTTCTTTTTGTCTCTTCAAGACGAAGAGAGGGGCTGCATGAGGTTGTAGCTCCTACGGTTCGCCAGCAGAGGCCGATGAAGGCCGCTGCCTCCAAACAAGCTCTTCTCCTATGAGAGAATTTGAGGTAAAAATGAAACTTATGGTGCTCCGTCGACCTCATCAAGATGGCGGCCCGCCAGGCGGTCTCTGTGGACACAAATGGCCACTGTTTTTGGACAGAAACCAGCTAGAACAGCGAAAATCGATTACGCCCCTAACCCTTTACTGTAAAAACCTGCGGGCAACAAGAACCTGAGGATTTTAATCAGTCTCTGTAGGATGATGGGATCTCCTACAGATGGTGATGTCATTTTCCAGAGAGCCGATTGGTCAGCAGGCTGCGTTTTCATAGAGTTGATCTCTTACCTGGATCAGAACCTGCTCCAGCATAAGTTACCATGGCGATCTACCCCGGCAAGAGGTGAAAACCCAGCAGGGTTAACCCCGAAGTTACCTGGATAAGCTCAGATCCTGCTTCGTGGTGCAGACCCCTGGTGTTACAGAGAAAGTCGGCACCACGGTCCGAACCAAAGTTCATGTTTTGATACATTTTGATTCATTCGGTTAGTTTTGGTTTGGTTTCACACTGAACTCTGCGACCGCACTAAAGGACTTCACCTGACAAACCTGTCGTCATCATCGATGTGGGCTGCGTCTCCTTGTACTTGGCATTGATTGGTTTATTAAACAGTTCAGTGGGGAGCTTTGACAAGAATGAATGAATAAAAAATGAACATATGCAGATTTGCCACTATATTACTTTTATGGCATTACTACCTGCAGCACCAGCTATACTGAAGGCTCGTTCACATTCGCAATTAAACGTCTTCGCTGTGCAAACATTATAACGGCGCCGACAGGACAGGAGGAGAAGACAGCAAGCGATCCTTCTGCACCTCCGTCTCAGGAGAAACTAAAGATGTATGTGGCAGTGAGCTTCTACAGCGGCCGTCTGTTTAAAAAGATGAGCTGTGACGGGAGATTTATAATTGTGTCCTTATTTCAGTGCATTTATGTTTCCGGTTTACACGTCAATCGCCAATCTTCCTGTAAATAGTCTGAAAGTCCGAACCGTCCAAAAAATGCTTTCACACCAGAAACGAACCGAACCATGTTTCAGTTTGATCCGGACCGAGACTACCTCTTTTCGTTGGACCAAATTCCGTCTGTTTGGTCCGGACCAAACGGGGCAGGTGTGAAAGCCCCCTGATCTGCAGCCTCATGAAGAGTTCAGGACTTTATCTTTCTGCGAACTCTACGTTTAATAATTACGTTTCATGTAACTTTTCCCTTAAATCTTTGAATCTGTGTATTTTAAACAAACAGCAGGATGAATCTTTTTGGAAACAAACAAAATCATCAGTTCTACCTTCATATCAGCATGTTTCAGTACAACGTTCAACATGTTTGAGTGACATCTGTGATGATGACAGCGGTCATGTGACCATCAGTTAGTCGTGTGGACAGGTAGCGTGGTTCTGACAGCGACGTCTCAGACGATGACCGTCCTGGACGTCAGGGTGACCTTTGACCTCAGGCCCGGTAATGATGAAGAGCACGACACGTTCCCCAGAGTCTGGTCCTCGGGGTCGTCGTGGCAGCACAGAGCGCTCCTGGCCTTCTTTCTGAACTCTACCGACACGAAGTAGAAGATGAAGGGGTCGATGCAGCTGTTGAAGGCGCTAAACGCTAAGCTAACCATGTAGGGCATGTAGAGGTCCTCGCCATCTTTGTGTGCGTAGGTGAGGAGGAGGAGTATGTTGCTGGGCAGGAGACACACGATGAAGACCAGCAGCACCAACACCGTCACCCAGACGGCGTGTCTGTACTGCTTCCCTCCGTTCATCAGGGCGCGCAGCACGGCGCCGTGGCAGAACAGCACGACCAGGAAGGGCAGCAGGAAGCAGAGAGTGAACAAGATGACAAAGTAGGGCAGGAAGTAGTTCTCCTGCGCCTCCTCGGGCAGCGCGTCGTGGCAGGTGGTGATCTGCAGCTCATCCAGCTCGTAGGTCTGCCGTGACACCAGCAGCGGCAGCATGGCGGCCGGCACCACCACCCACACCGCCGCCGACATGTACAGAGACGCCCGCCAGCTGCGCAGCGTCATGCTGCTAAACGGGTGAACCAAAGCAATGTACCGGTCCAGAGCCACCAGCGCCAGACACAGTACGGACCCGTACATGTTGCCGTAGAACATGGCCATGACGACGCGGCAGAAGGGCTCGCCCAGCGCCCAGTGGTTTCCTCGGAAGTGGTACCCGATGCGGAACGGCAGGACCAGCAGCAGCAGGAAGTCCACAGCGGTGAGGTTGATGAGCAGCACGGTGGACGGCAGCCGTTTGGTCCTGAACAGCAGGACCCAGAGAGCCAGCAGGTTGGAGGGCAGACCCACACAGAAGGCCAGCAGGTACAGGACCGGCAGGTACAGGTTGGTGATCGGAGCCTGGATCTCCTTCAGCTGCTTCTCCTCCAGAGTCGTGAAGTTACAGGTCCGCTTCAGCCTGAACGCCCGCAGAACTGCAGAGACCAGAACACACGTTGTAGTACAGAAGTGTAGTACTGTATTATAGTACTGTAGTGTAGTACTGTAGTATAGTACAGAAGTGTAGTACTGTATTATAGTACTGTATTATAGTACTGTAGTGTAGTACTGTATTATAGTACAGAAGTGTAGTACTGTATTATAGTACTGTAGTGTAGTACTGTAGTATAGTACAGAAGTGTAGTACTGTATTATAGTACTGTATTATAGTACTGTAGTGTAGTACTGTATTATAGTACAGAAGTGTAGTACTGTATTATAGTACTGTAGTGTAGTACTGTAGTATAGTACAGAAGTGTAGTACTGTATTATAGTACTGTATTATAGTACTGTAGTGTAGTACTGTATTATAGTACAGAAGTGTAGTACTGTATTATAGTACTGTATTATAGTACTGTAGTGTAGTACTGTATTATAGTACTGTAGTGTAGTACTGTAGTATAGTACAGAAGTGTAGAACTGTATTATAGTACTGTAGTGTAGTACTGTATTATAGTACTGTAGTGTAGTACTGTAGTATAGTACAGAAGTGTAGAACTGTATTATAGTACTGTAGTGTAGTACTGTAGTATAGTACAGAAGTGTAGTACTGTATTATAGTACTGTAGTGTAGTACTGTATTATAGTACTGTATTATAGTACTGTAGTGTAGTATTGTAGTGTAGTACTGTAGTATAGTACAGAAGTGTAGTACTGTATTATAGTACTGTATTATAGTACTGTAGTGTAGTACTGTAGTATAGTACAGAAGTGTAGTACTGTATTATAGTACTGTAGTGTAGTACTGTAGTATAGTACAGAAGTGTAGTACTGTATTATAGTACTGTAGTGTAGTACTGTAGTATAGTACAGAAGTGTAGAACTGTATTATAGTACTGTAGTGTAGTACTGTAGTATAGTACAGAATTGTAGTACTGTATTATAGTACTGTAGTGTAGTACTGTATTATAGTACTGTAGTGTAGTACTGTAGTATAGTACAGAAGTGTAGTACTGTATTATAGTACTGTAGTGTAGTACTGTAGTATAGTACAGAAGTGTAGTACTGTATTATAGTACTGTAGTGTAGTACTGTATTATAGTACTGTAGTGTAGTACTGTAGTATAGTACAGAAGTGTAGAACTGTATTATAGTACTGTAGTGTAGTACTGTAGTATAGTACAGAAGTGTAGTACTGTATTATAGTACTGTAGTGTAGTACTGTATTATAGTACTGTAGTGTAGTACTGTAGTATAGTACTGTAGTGTAGTACTGTAGTATAGTACAGAAGTGTAGAACTGTATTATAGTACTGTAGTGTAGTACTGTAGTATAGTACAGAAGTGTAGAACTGTATTATAGTACTGTAGTGTAGTACTGTAGTGTAGTACTGTATTATAGTACTGTATTATAGTACTGTAGTGTAGTACTGTATTATAGTACTGTAGTGTAGTACTGTAGTATAGTACAGAAGTGTAGTACTGTAGTATAGTACTGTAGTGTAGTACTGTATTATAGTACAGAAGTGTAGTACTGTATTATAGTACTGTAGTGTAGTACTGTAGTATAGTACTGTAGTGTAGTACTGTATTATAGTACTGTAGTATAGTACTGTAGTGTAGTACTGTAGTATAGTACAGAAGTGTAGTACTGTATTATAGTACTGTAGTGTAGTACTGTAGTATAGTACAGAAGTGTAGTACTGTATTATAGTACTGTATTATAGTACTGTAGTATAGTACAGAAGTGTAGTACTGTATTATAGTACTGTATTATAGTACTGTAGTGTAGTACTGTATTATAGTACTGTAGTGTAGTACTGTATTATAGTACTGTATTATAGTACTGTAGTATAGTACAGAAGTGTAGTACTGTATTATAGTACTGTAGTGTAGTACTGTAGTATAGTACAGAAGTGTAGTACTGTATTATAGTACTGTAGTGTAGTACTGTAGTATAGTACAGAAGTGTAGTACTGTATTATAGTACTGTAGTATAGTACAGAAGTGTAGTACTGTAGTATAGTACAGAAGTGTAGTACTGTAGTATAGTACTGTAGTGTAGTACTGTATTATAGTACTGTAGTATAGTACAGAAGTGTAGTACTGTATTATAGTACTGTAGTGTAGTACTGTAGTGTAGTACTGTAGTAGCTCCGTATCTACTGGTTGTGTCACTGATTATTTTAAAACGGCTTGCGTGAACCCACTTTTAAAGAAACCTGGTTTCGATCCCTCCCTCCCACATAATTTTAGACCAATTTCAAAACTGCCTTTTATTGCAAAGATTCTAGAAAGAATTGTATCCAAACAGCTGCTCACTGTGCTGGAAAATAACAAATTATTTGAAAAGTTTCAGTCTGGTTTTAGGAAGTACCACAGCACTGAGACTGCCCTGCTTAAAGTCACCAATGACCTTTTAATGTCTGCTGATGAAGGTATGTGCTCAGTCCTTGTACTCCTGGACCTTAGCGCTGCTTTTGACACCATTGATCACAACATCATGTTAGACAGGCTGAGGCACTGGGTGGGGATCTCTGGTACTGCCCTAGAATGGTTTTCATCCTACCTGTCAAATAGGAAGTTTTGCGTGTCTGTAAACAACTATGTCTCCTCGTTCTGTCCAGTTAAATATGGTGTGCCTCAGGGGTCGGTCTTAGGACCCGTTTTGTTTTCCTTGTATCTCCCCTTGGACATATTATCCATAAACATGGCATTTCTTTTCATATTTATGCTGATGACACACAAATATACTTGCCTGTCAGATCCACAGACCCTGGAATGCTGAGTTCACTTAACAACTGCCTTTGTGAAGTTAAAAAATGGATGTCAAATAATTTCCTCCAGCTGAACTCAGACAAAACAGAAATCCTGGTCATCGGGTCCCAGCAGATGGCAAATCAAATACTGCCATCTGCTGGTTCCCTAGTAAATCACATTAAGCCTGTGGCAAAGAACCTTGGTGTTTGGTTTGATAGTAATTTAAATTTCGAGCAGCACACCACAAAGCTTGTTCAATCATGTTTTTATCAACTTAGAAATATAGCAAAAATTTGATCTATGTTAACTTTTAAGGACACCGAGACCATTTTACACGCCTTCATCTCATCACGCCTGGATTATTGCAACAGCCTTTTCACCTGTTTAACCCAAAAATCTATTGATCAACTCCAGACTGTCCAGAACTCAGCTGCCAGGCTTTTAACCAGAACAAAGAAATATGACCACATTACTCCTATTTTAGCTTCATTACACTGGCTCCAAGTAAGACCTGGTCTGATCCGGAGAGACTGCATCCATCCGACTTGGGAAGGAGCAGCTCTCATTTCTAGAAATCTGGCCAAGTTTATTAGTGGACCAAATCCATGACAACCCAGAGTTGAGACCAGGAGGCAGAGTCGCAGTCTAACACACTTCTCTGCTCCTCCATTTCAGGAGTTACTTAGTGAAAACCCTACAGTGACGTGTCTGTCCCGAATTGAATTTAATATTACTGTAGTGTAATCCTGTAATATATTACTGTAGTATAGTACTGTAATATATTACTGTAGTATAGTACTGTCCTCTCTTTGTTATAACGTCCTCTCTCTAATAAGACGTCCTCTCTTTGTTATAACGTCCTCTCTCTAATAAGACATCCTATCTCTGTAATAACGTCCTCTCTTTGTTATAACGTCCTCTCTTTGTTATAACGTCCTCTCTCTAATAAGACGTCCTCTCTTTGTTATAACATCCTCTCTCTAATAAGACATCCTATCTCTGTAATAACGTCCTCTCTTTGTTATAACGTCCTCTCTCTAATAAGACGTCCTCTCTTTGTTATAACGTCCTCTCTCTAATAAGACGTCCTCTCTCTGTAATAACGTCCTCTCTTTGTTATAACGTCCTCTCTCTAATAAGACATCCTATCTCTGTAATAACGTCCTCTCTTTGTTATAACGTCCTCTCTCTAATAAGACGTCCTCTCTTTGTTATAACGTCCTCTCTCTAATAAGACATCCTATCTCTGTAATAACGTCCTCTCTTTGTTATAACGTCCTCTCTTTGTTATAACGTCCTCTCTCTAATAAGACGTCCTCTCTTTGTTATAACGTCTTCTCTCTAATAAGACGTCCTATCTCTGTACTAATGTCCTCTCTTTGTTATAACGTCCTCTCTTTGTTATAACATCCTCTCTCTAATAAGACGTCCTCTCTTTGTTATAACGTTCTCTCTTTGTTATAACGTCCTCTCTTTGTTATAACGTTCTCTCTTTGTTATAACGTCCTCTCTCTAATAAGACGTCCTCTCTTTGTTATAACGTCCTCTCTCGAATAAGACGTCCTCTCTTTGTTATAACGTTCTCTCTTTGTTATAACGTCCTCTCTCTAATAAGACGTCCTCTCTTTGTTATAACGTCCTCTCTCTAATAAGACGTCCTCTCTTTGTTATAACGTTCTCTCTTTGTTATAACGTCCTCTCTCTAATAAGACGTCCTCTCTTTGTTATAACGTCCTCTCTCTAATAAGACGTCCTCTCTCTAATAAGACGTTCTCTCTTTGTTATAACGTCTTCTCTCTAATAAGACGTCCTCTCTTTGTTATAACGTCCTCTCTCGAATAAGACGTCCTCTCTTTGTTATAACGTTCTCTCTTTGTTATAACGTCCTCTCTCTAATAAGACGTCCTCTCTTTGTTATAACGTCCTCTCTCTAATAAGACGTCCTCTCTTTGTTATAACGTCTTCTCTCTAATAAGACGTCCTCTCTTTGTTATAACGTCCTCTCTCTAATAAGACATCCTCTCTTTGTTGTAACGTCTTCTCTCTAATAAGACGTCCTCTCTTTGTTATAACGTCCTCTCTCTAATAAGACATCCTCTCTTTGTTATAACGTCTTCTCTCTAATAAGACGTCCTCTCTTTGTTATAACGTCCTCTCTCTAATAAGACATCCTCTCTTTGTTATAACGTCTTCTCTCTAATAAGACGTCCTCTCTTTGTTATAACGTCCTCTCTCTAATAAGACATCCTCTCTTTGTTATAACGTCCTCTCTCTAATAAGACGTCTTCTCTTTCAGGGACTAAAAGTCAGCTCGGTCCTCTCAAAGATATTAAAACATGAACCATGTTGCAGCTGCAGCTATGACACTAAGAGAGACTCTTTGCTTGTGAGCTCTTTATTGCAGAAACTCCCAGCAAATGTCTGAGAGAACCTGACTGTTTAAACTGAGACTCTCTCTGAGACAGTATGTCCTGATCTGAAACAGGAGCTGCTGACTATTAAACTTGTCCCCAGCTGTGTTCAGAGGAGGAGGAATAAGACTTACAGATGGACATGTTGCGGCATTCGTCTGCAGGATGAGAATCTGGAGAGAAGCTGCAGACGGACGGCAGCAGAGAGACCAAGACCAGAGTCCCAAATAATAACCCCATCGTCTTCTGCTTCTTCTTCTGCTTCTTCTTCTTCTTCTTCTTCTTCTTCTTCTTCTTCTTCCTCTTGTAGCAATACTCTTGCAGTAGTAGTCTTAGTGGGATCAGTGCTGTGAGGCTCAGCAGCCTGTAAGTATTAACTGATCTCAGAGCTGCTGATGTCGACTGTCGTCTTCCGCTGATGGAAACCAGATGGGTGTGTGCGAGTCTTGTATGTCTATCGTTGTGAGGACACACAATCACACAGCTGATACCATCAGGACGTCTGACGGTAAATGTGTGTTTCAACTTCAGCCGCAGCCGTGTGACTCAGACTTGGCAGCAAAGAAAAACTAAATATTAAGCATTACTGTCATATCTTACAAAACAAGCAGTACGAGGCTTTCCAGCTGTTGCTGATAACATCAGTGCACAGTGGAATAACTGTGACAGTGTTTACAGGCAGAAGGACAGGAAACCCCCCTGAATGACGCCCCTTCCGCTGCTTATATTATAACTCTGCAGGAAAAGCCAAAGGCTTGGCTCTGAACACTCCTGAGAGATCATCTCATATATCATCACAGAGTACGGTCTAGACCTGCTCTTTTATGAAAAGCGCTGTGAGATAACTGTTGTTGTGATTTGGCGCTATATAAATAAAATTGAATTGAATTGAATTGAATCTAATGAGCCACGCACATCAGTTGGCTGGGCTTTTTAGAAAAATGATGTTTTCACTTTTTTATGGTTTACATTTAAGGAATTGACAACCTATAAAAATCACGCAGATAAGCCGATACCGCAACCAGCAATCATATTTCTCCTGTCTTAGCTTTTCTGCATTGGCTTCCTGTAAAATCCAGAATAGAATTTAAAATCCTTCTTCTTACCTACAAAGCTCTTAATGGTCAAGCACCATCTTATCTTAAAGAGCTCATAGTACCATACTAACCCACCAGAGCACTGCGCTCCCAGAATGCACCTGGGGTGTAGGCCTAAAGGACACGCAAATTCTTTTTCCAATCTACAGTTAAAAAAGACAGAGGTGGTATGGAATGCACACATGGCAGCTGTCTAACAGCAGATGGCGTTATAATCAAGGTAAGTGCGTTTGGGCCTGTGAACCCCAGTTACATCACATGTTCAATCATTACATGTGTTCCATGAATAGAGCTGCTTCCTGTAAAACATTATTTTTCCTAACTAACCAGATGCAGTTTGTACCGGGCTTCGACAATCATTAAAACTAGTTATTATTACTGTTACTTACATTTTATGTGGAACTTGCGTTGTCCTACTAAATGAACAGGTGTAGCCTTCAGTATGAATGTGTTGATTTGATGTGTTCTTATGGCGTGTGAGACAGCTTCAGCCTTATTCTTTCAGCTCAGCAGTGTTTCGGAGTTTCCACATTAAAAGCCTCGGGGACAGAATAAGTGGTTGTTCCAACTCATTTTAAGGACTTCAAACATCAGATTTATTTATTTACCGCACTCAGAAATGTTCCAAACATTGTTCTACGTTAACTTCCCAAAGCAACAAAATGGAAAATGTATTCATGCCATAAAAGCTGCTCAGAGAGTGGTGAAAGACCGCAACATTTACTGAACACTCCCCCACATTACCTGCACAGCTAGCAAAAGGTGGCGCTACATGACCAGTCTCTGTAATACAAGACAACTACTAACCTAAAATATACACATTCATATTAAACTTAACAGGTGGACCAAACTGTATGCTCTGAAAATAATACAAGTCTTTAGTGCCCTACAAGGCTTTAGAAGCTACAAGGCTTTAGTGAGCTACAAGTCTTTAGTGCCCCACAAGGCTTTAGAAGCTACAAGTCTTTAGTGAGCTACAAGTCTTTAGTGCCCCACAAGGCTTTAGAAGCTACAAGTCTTTAGTGCCCTACAAGGCTTTAGAAGCTACAAGTCTTTAGTGAGCTACAAGTCTTTAGTGCCCCACAAGGCTTTAGAAGCTACAAGGCTTTAGTGCCCTACAAGGCTTTAGAAGCTACAAGGCTTTAGTGCCCTACAAGGCTTTAGAAGCTACAAGGCTTTAGTGCCCCACAAGGCTTTAGAAGCTACAAGGCTTTAGTGCCCTACAAGGCTTTAGAAGCTACAAGGCTTTAGAAGCTACAAGGCTTTAGTGCCCTACAAGGCTTTAGAAGCTACAAGGCTTTAGAAGCTACAAGGCTTTAGTGCCCCACAAGGCTTTAGAAGCTACAAGTCTTTAGTGCCCTACAAGGCTTTAGAAGCTACAAGGCTTTAGAAGCTACAAGGCTTTAGTGCCCCACAAGGCTTTAGAAGCTACAAGTCTTTAGTGCCCTACAAGGCTTTAGAAGCTACAAGGCTTTAGCGTCCTACAAGTCTTTAGTGCCCTACAAGGCTTTAGAAGCTACAAGGCTTTAGTGAGCTACAAGTCTTTAGTGCCCCACAAGGCTTTAGAAGCTACAAGTCTTTAGTGCCCTACAAGGCTTTAGAAGCTACAAGGCTTTAGAAGCTACAAGGCTTTAGAAGCTACAAGGCTTTAGTGCCCTACAAGGCTTTAGAAGCTACAAGTCTTTAGAAGCTACAAGGCTTTAGTGAGCTACAAGTCTTTAGTGCCCCACAAGGCTTTAGAAGCTACAAGTCTTTAGTGCCCTACAAGGCTTTAGAAGCTACAAGGCTTTAGCGTCCTACAAGTCTTTAGTGCCCCACAAGGCTTTAGAAGCTACAAGTCTTTAGTGCCCTACAAGGCTTTAGAAGCTACAAGGCTTTAGTGCCCCACAAGGCTTTAGAAGCTACAAGTCTTTAGTGCCCTACAAGGCTTTAGAAGCTACAAGGCTTTAGCGTCCTACAAGTCTTTAGTGCCCTACAAGGCTTTAGAAGCTACAAGGCTTTAGTGAGCTACAAGTCTTTAGTGCCCCACAAGGCTTTAGAAGCTACAAGTCTTTAGTGCCCTACAAGGCTTTAGAAGCTACAAGGCTTTAGAAGCTACAAGTCTTTAGTGCCCTACAAGGCTTTAGAAGCTACAAGTCTTTAGAAGCTACAAGGCTTTAGTGAGCTACAAGTCTTTAGTGCCCCACAAGGCTTTAGAAGCTACAAGTCTTTAGTGCCCTACAAGGCTTTAGAAGCTACAAGGCTTTAGCGTCCTACAAGTCTTTAGTGCCCCACAAGGCTTTAGAAGCTACAAGTCTTTAGTGCCCTACAAGGCTTTAGAAGCTACAAGGCTTTAGTGCCCCACAAGGCTTTAGAAGCTACAAGTCTTTAGTGCCCTACAAGGCTTTAGAAGCTACAAGGCTTTAGAAGCTACAAGGCTTTAGTAAGCCACAAGTCTTTAGTGAGCTACAAGTCTTTAGAAGCTACAAGGCTTTAGTGAGCTACAAGTCTTTAGTGCCCCACAAGGCTTTAGAAGCTACAAGTCTTTAGTGCCCTACAAGGCTTTAGAAGCTACAAGGCTTTAGAAGCTACAAGGCTTTAGAAGCTACAAGTCTTTAGTGCCCTACAAGGCTTTAGAAGCTACAAGTCTTTAGAAGCTACAAGGCTTTAGTGAGCTACAAGTCTTTAGTGCCCCACAAGGCTTTAGAAGCTACAAGTCTTTAGTGCCCTACAAGGCTTTAGAAGCTACAAGGCTTTAGTGCCCCACAAGGCTTTAGAAGCTACAAGGCTTTAGTGCCCTACAAGGCTTTAGTGCCCTACAAGGCTTTAGAAGCTACAAGTCTTTAGTGCCCTACAAGGCTTTAGAAGCTACAAGGCTTTAGTAAGCCACAAGTCTTTAGTGAGCTACAAGGCTTTAGTGAGCTACAAGTCTTTAGTGCCCCACAAGGCTTTAGAAGCTACAAGTCTTTAGTGCCCTACAAGGCTTTAGAAGCTACAAGGCTTTAGTGCCCCACAAGGCTTTAGAAGCTACAAGGCTTTAGTGCCCTACAAGGCTTTAGTGCCCTACAAGGCTTTAGAAGCTACAAGGCTTTAGTGCCCTACAAGGCTTTAGAAGCTACAAGGCTTTAGAAGCTACAAGGCTTTAGTAAGCCACAAGTCTTTAGTGAGCTACAAGTCTTTAGAAGCTACAAGGCTTTAGTGAGTGTCACATCCCGGCTCATAGAATGTGACAATAAGACCGAGCAGGTTAAAGTGCCAAAAAAGAATGTTTTATTACAGAAACTATAAACAACATAACTATTTACAAAAAATTAAATTTGATTATCAGTGGCATCAGTGGTGAGTGGAGTGCATGGATGAGTGAAAAATGTATGAATGAAGGGTGATGGCAACTCAAGACAGAAAACAAACCAGGAGATGAGGCTTTAGTGCCCTACAAGGCTTTAGTGCTTCAGTCTCTGTAGGATGATATCGCTGTACAAATGCATCGTCCACAGCAAACATACTTTCAAGCACTGTATCTGTGGGATCTCCTACAGATGGTGATATAATTTCCCAGACAGCTGATTGGTCAGTTGTCTGGGCCTTTATAGCGTTTATCTCTGATCTGTAACAGAACCAGAGGAGGTTAGCAGTTCAGAACCATAGCGATCTACCTGGAAAGAAGTGGACCTGAAAAGGGAGCAAAATGAGCCTCCATCTGCAGTTACTGACCATATCCACCAGGTGTCAGTCCTGACCAACCATCATCATCTTCATTTCCACCTCCTTCTGTCCTGTAACTGTGAAGTCTCCAGAGAAACACAAACACAGTCCGTCAGGTGGAAATATTCTTCAGGGCTGCTTCGTCGTTTCATTTGCCCACAGCCTGACTGTTTCCCAGCTGTTCTGTTTTTACAGCTAAAGATCTCGGATGGATTTAAAGGTCCGGCTTCAGGAGACAGACAGACGTCTTTGTTTGAAGGCAACTAGATGAACAAAGATGTTATTTTATTTGTGCAGTTGGTTTAATTAAATCAAGTTCCACATCCATAAAAAAGAGGTATCGCAGTCCTGACTGTCGGTTGTAGTCTGCTCCTGTCCTTTTTGGTGGCAGATCCAAACCAGACAGTGATGGACGTGCAGAGGACAGACTGGATGATGGCTGTGTAGATCTGGATCAGCAGCTCCTTAGGCAGGTTGAGCTTCCTGAGCTGATGCAGGAAGTACGTCCTCTGCTGGGCCTCCTTGATGATGGTGTCAGTGTTGGGCTCCCACTTCGGGTCCTGGGATATAGTGGATCCCAGAAACCTGAAGGATTCCACAGCAGACACAGGGCTGTTGAGGATGGTGATGGGGGGCAGAGTGGGGGGGGGGGTCCTCCTGAAGTCCACGGTCATCTCCACAGTTTTGAGCGTGTTAAGCTCCAGGTTGTTCTGACCGCACCAGAGAGCCAGCTGATCAACCTCCCATCTGAAGGCCGACTCATCACCGTCCCGGATGAGGCCGATGACCGTTGTGTCGTCAGCGAACTTCAGGAGTTTGACAGATGGGTCTCCTGAGGCGCAGTCGTTGGTGTAGAGGGAGAAGAGCAGTGGGGAGAGCACACACCCCTGGGGGGCGCCAGTGCTGATAGCCCGGGTGCTGGATGTGATGTTTCCCAGCCTCACCTGCTGACTCCTGTCAGTCAGGAAGTCTGTGATCCACTGACAGGTGGAGGCTGGCACAGTGAGCTGGGTGAGTTTGGTGCTGAGGATGTCCGGGATGATGGTGTCGAACGCCGAGCTGAAGTGCACGAACAGGATCCTTGCATATGTCCCTGGAGAGTCGAGGTGTTGCAGGATGTGATGCAGTCCCAAGTTGCAACATCCACAGACCTGTTAGGCCTGTAGGCAAACTGCAGGGGGTCCAGCAGGGGGCCTGTAATGTCCTTCAGGTGGACCAACACCAGTCTTTCAAAGGACTTCCTGACTACAGATGTCAGGGCGACGGGCCTGTAGTCAACCTCAACCTGTTCTTGTTCTAAATCACACAGTGGAGCAGAACACGTGAACATCATCACGAGCTCATAACCACACAGCAGCATCTGTAGTTTCAGCAGCTCCTCTGGTTTGAAATGTTCTCTCTCTGAGTTTTCAGTCCAAAAATGGCGGCAGCGCCATCTGGCGGCGGTCGCTTCGTCTCTTTGAAGATGCCGCACACGCGCCCTGCCTGCCGCCTCCCCGTGACGTGGCTCCACGCCTGCGCAGTGCGCCCAAAACTGACGAGAGACGGGGCTCGATCCTCCGCACCGTTCAACAACCACCGGGAATAAAACGGGAAAAACACCGAACGACAGCCGCATCCATCGCCCGTAAACCCGCCGAGCTCCGCCAGACATTCAGCGGGATAAACAGCGGGGGAGAAGGCGGGAGGAGAGCGGAGGCAGGCGGGGGTCGGTAGACCGGGAGCCTGCGTGTCTGTCCGCCTGCAGACGGTAAGACAAAGCGGCATCAAGCGACTGCGTTTAAACACTGAGTCATGGTGCGTGTTAAAACCTACAGTTATTAAACGGAGTTCTGAATGCAAAGTGTGTTTGAACCAGCGCAGGATTCAGGACGGACACAGGTCCAGATGCTGGCCTAGTGATGATGCTCCAGTCCTGACAGACAGCAGACACTCTGTCGGTCCCTGGTAGTCTGAACCCAGGGCTGACTGTCAGGACAGGATCTGTGGAGGACTAACATGTAGAGACAAGGATCTCAGACAGGGACATCCAGGAACTGACGCTAAGGCAGATTCTAACCATAAAGAGACAGTAAGACATTAAATAAGACGTTCTGGGGCAAAAAGGACATTTTTACACATTAAAAACATCACAAAGACATTTAGTGGAACATGATTATATTAGTCTAGGCCATGTCTTTTTAATAAAACGTTGAGACACAGACATGAGAAAAGACAAAACATTTGGTGGAGATGAAGCAACAACAACATGCTTACAGAGTGACACAAAACTAATGTTAGGACACAATACACTGAAAGACAAAGACACATACAGATATAAGAGACGTTTTGGAGATACTGGACACAAAGAAGGACTGATAGATGTAAAAGGGGGTTTATTTGTACAGACAATTCAAAGTGCTAAACTTCATCATTTCTTTAACGGGTTACGAATAATCTTTTCACCTTCCGTTGTTTTGCTTTTTCGATTCTCACGTCAGTCAAACCTCGATATTCAGTTTTCTCTTGTTCACGATCGTCACCGTGAATCCAGATCGTTTGAGCTCCAATCTTAGTAAAAGCAGTCCAAACAGAGGAGAAACACTTGTAAGAATTCTGCAGGAAGACCTCAATGAGACATTTAGTGGACACAAATTGATCATTTAAGACTTAACAAAATGTTCGGAGGACATGAAGAGACGCAAAGGCGGGCTTTTTAGGACATAAACTGACATTAAAACATTTTCAGAGAACGTAAGGAGACAAGAGAGGACATTTTGGTACACAAACAAACTGGAGGACAATAAAGACGTAAGAGACATTTAGTGTAAATAAAGAAAGACCTTTTAAAGACATAAAAGACAAAGGCCTTTTTGGGAAGTAGAGACATAAAGACGTCCTTTTAAGGTCTGAACTACAATTAAGAACAGATTTGGAGGGAAAATGAAATATAGGACGCGACATTTTCAATACAGACATAAACAAATATACTTTGTTTGAAGGACAGAAACTGACCGCAGCTTCTGAGGTCAAACACTAAGATATTGGGAGACAAAGGGACATTCATTCAGAGGATATTTGGACAGTGAAATATTAGGATATAAAGAGACAAGTTGAGATGAAGACGACACAGAGACAGGACATAAACACTAAACCATGTTAGGACGAAGACACAGGAGACAGTTGGACCCTGCAGTCCTCAGGAGGTCCGGATGTTGTGGTTCTGGTTCTGGTCTAAAGGACTTTATTTCTGCTTCCTGACAGTTTGGATGTAACGAGGACCGAAAGGACGACATGACGTCCCCAAGGTGGACCCGTCCCCCTGTCCCGTCGGTCCTGGTCCAGGTCCTGGTCCTGGTCCTGTCCAGCTCAGTGTTGGCAGCCCGCTCTGACAGAAACATGGTGTCTGAGGAGTATGTCGGTGCCACGGTGAACGCCACGGTGCTGGACGTGCGAGGAAACGCCATCCACCTGATGAGCAGCGACGACGGGAAGTACGGACAGAACTCGCCAAAGATCGACACCAGGGGCGTCGTCATCGCACCTGCACCGCATCACGGAGGTACTGACATCACAAGACCCCTGAGGTCACAACACACCCGAGGTCACAACTGAGGTCACAGCACACACACACACACACACACACACACACACCACCCGAGGTCACAACACACACACACACACACACACACACCCCCGAGGTCACAACACACACACACACACACACACACACACCCCCGAGGTCACAACACACACACACACACACACACACCCCCGAGGTCACAACACACACACACACACACACACACACACACCCGAGGTCACAACACACACACACACACACACACACCCGAGGTCACAACACACACACACACACACACACACACACACACACACACACACACACACACACACACACACACACACACACCAGTGGGGCGGCTGTGGCTCAGGAGGTAGAGCGGGTTGGCCGTTAATCGGAAGGTCGGCGGTTCAATCCCTGGCTCCCCCTAGTTGCGTGTCGAAGTGTCCTTGAGCAAGATACTGAACCCCGAATTGCGGGCTGTTCCGCCAGTGTGTGAATGAGTGTGACTGTTAGTTTCCGTTTGAGCACTTAGGCTCAGTGTGTGAATGTGTGTGACTGGTGAATGCAGATGTAGTGTAAAAGCGCTTTGAGTGGTCGAAAAGACTAGAAAGGTGCTATACAAGTACGGAGCATTTACATTTACACAACACACACACACACACCCGAGGTCACAACACACACACACACACCCGAGGTCACAACACACACACACACACCCGAGGTCACAACACACACACACCCGAGGTCACAACACACACACACACACCCGAGGTCACAACACACACACACACACCCGAGGTCACAACACACACACACACACACCCCCGAGGTCACAACACACACACACCCGAGGTCACAACACACACACACACACACACACACACCCGAGGTCACAACACACACACACACACCCGAGGTCACAACACACACACACACACCCGAGGTCACAACACACACACACACCCGAGGTCACAACACACACACCCGAGGTCACAACACACACACACCCGAGGTCACAACACACACACCCGAGGTCACAACACACACACACACACCCGAGGTCACAACACACACACACACACACACACCCGAGGTCACAACACACACACACACACACACCCGAGGTCACAACACACACACACACACACCCGAGGTCACAACACACACACACACACACATCCGAGGTCTGTTATCTCGCTCAGACATCTAACGAACGTTAGATGTCTGAGCGGTGTAACGTTGCGTTACCGTGACAGCAGCGGGGCAGAAATGACTGTTAACCTGACATCACAACACATCAACATGCTCTGAATCCACACCTGTTTCTGATGATGACATCACAGCTTTTGAAGAGAAGGATGAGAGAGAGAAGAGATGAAACAGGAAGTGCATGTGTGAACTGTTTCCTGTTTAAAGAAGTTTTGTTATTAATTTATAATTATTTATAATTATTCTAAAGATAATTATTTAAATACTCAAATAATAAAACAATTCATTTTTCCTAAATAAATATCAAAACATTATATTCTCATTAATATTTCATCAGTCATCCTGAAAAAGACATAAAGCATATTATGGCTGAGTCGTCTAATGTTCAGTCAGATCATCACTAACGTGTTTCCGCTTCAGCGACACTGATTTCACAACAGCCATCGTTTGGGACTAAAGAGTGTTAACGGCCTCTAATCAGAGGGGGCGGGTCTTTAATCATTGGGGGCTGGTCTGTAATCGGAGGGGGCGGGTCTTTAATCAGAGAGGGCCGATCTGTAATCGGAGGGGGCGAGTCTCTAATCGGAGGGGGCGGTTGTTTAATCGGAGGGGGCGGGTCTTTAATCTGAGGGGGTGGGTCTTTAATCAGAGGTGGCGGATCTTTAATCGGAGAGGGCCGATCTGTAATCGGAGGGGACGAGTCTCTAATTGGAGGGGGCGGTTGTTTAATCGGAGGGGGCGGGTCTTTAATCTGAGGGGGTGGGTCTTTAATCAGAGGTGGCGGATCTTTAATCAGAGAGGGCCGATCTGTAATCGGAGGGGACGGTCTCTAATGAGAGGGGGCAGGTCCTTAATCAGAAGGTAGGGATCTTTAATTGGAGGGGGCGGGTCTCTAATCAGCTGGAAGGGATCTCTAATCGGAGGGGGGGGATCTTTAATCAGAGGGGGCCGATCCGTAATCGGAGGGGGCGGTTGTTTAATCAGAGGGGACGGGTCCTTAATCAGAAGGAAGGGATCTTTAATTGGAGGTGGCCGGTCTCTAATCGGAGGGGGGGGATCTTTAATCATTGGGGGCCGGTCTGTAATCGGAGGAGTCGTGTCTGTAATCGGAGGGGGTCGGTCACTAATTGGAGGTGGCGGATCTTTAATCAGAAGGAAGGGATCTTTAATCAGAGGGGGCGAGTCTCTAATCGGAGGGGGCGGGTCCTTAATCAGAAGGATGGGATCTTTAATTGGAGGGGGCGGGTCCTTAATCAGCTGGAAGGGATCTTTAATCGGAGGGGGTGGGTCTTTAATCAGCTGGAAGGGATCTTTAATCAGAGGTAGCGGGTCTCTAATCAGAAGGAGGGGATCTTTAATCATTGGGGGCCGGTCTGTAATCGGAGGAGTCGTGTCTGTAATCGGAGGGGGCGGATCTTTAATCAGAGGGGGCCGATCTGTAATAGGAGGGGCGGATCTTTAATCAGAGGGGGCGAGTCTCTAATCGGAGGGGGCGGGTCTCTAATCAGAAGGAAGGGATCTTTAATCGGAGGGGGCAGGTCTCTAATTGGAGGGGGCGGGTCCTTAATCAGAAGGATGGGATCTTTAATTGGAGGGGGCAGGTCTCTAATTGGAGGGGGCGGGTCCTTAATCAGAAGGATGGGATCTTTAATTGGAGGGGGCGGGTCTCTAATCAGAAGGATGGGATCTTTAATTGGAGGGGGCGGGTCCTTAATCAGAAGGAAGGGATACTTAAATTGGAAGGGGCGGGTCTTTAATCGGAGGGGGACGGTCTCTAATGAAAGGGGGATGGTCTCTAATCAGAGGGGTCGGGTCTCTAATCAGAAGGAAGGGATCTTTCATCGGAGGTTGCGGGTCTCTAATCGGAGGGGCGGTCTCTAATGAGAGGGGGGCGGTTGTTTAATCAGAAGGAAGGGATCTTTACTCGGAGGGGGCGGGTCTCTAATTGGAGGTGGCGGGTCCTTAATCAGAAGGAAGGGATGTTTAATTGGAGGGGGAGGGTCTCTAATCAGTCTCTAATCGGAGGGGACGGTCTCTAATGAGAGGGGGCGGTTGTTTAATCAGAGGGGGACGTTCTCTAATCGGAGGGGGCGGGTCTCTCATCAGCAGGAAGGGGTCTTTAATCAGAGGGGGGGGGGCGTTTCTTTAATTGGAGGGGGCGGGTCCTTAATCAGAAGGAAGGGATCTTTAATCGGTGGGGGAGGGTCTTTAATCAGAGGGGGGGGGGGGGGGCGGGTCCTTAATCAGAAGGAAGGGATCTTTAATTGGAGGTGGCGGGTCTCTAATCAGAGGGGGCGGGTCTCTCATCAGCAGGAAGGGATCTTTAATCGTAGCGGGTGGGTCTTTAATCAGAGGGGACGAGTCTCTAAGCGGAGGGGCGGAAGCTGTCATGACGTCCAGGCAATCTCAACGCTGATAGGCTGTCGCCACACAGCGTCACGCCACTTTGTTGCTCGGTGCGTTCTCTGCACTGCCTGACAGGAAATCTCTCTGCGTCTTGAGGGTGGGCCCGAATGTCATTTTTTGAGCTTATAAGCTTCGGTCGATCTTGATCAGTCTGGAGCATCCGATTCTTTAATGTAGCTACTCGTTGCTTCCCTGGAGCCGCAGTCGTGGACATTCTGGATAAACTCCGCCGTGTTGTCCTGCATGTCAGGACATAGACTGTGGTTCGAGGTGCCTCTGAACTGACCAAAAGGATTTTAACAAACAGTTTAATAACAGTTGTGGAAAGTCCATTTTCATTTCTGGCATCATCCCCACGCTGAACCGCGGAGCAGAACAACTCCTCTCCCTCCACGCGTCGCTCCAGTCGGCCTGCAGAACTCACGGTTTTAGTTTTATTGACAAGTGTGATTCTGGATCCGTTCCTCCTCCTTTAGGACCGATGGTGTCCATCCCAACGGAGTAGGACGCCACATGCTGGCTGCTAACATCCAGCACGCTGCACGTCTCTCTCCCAGCATGCTCGCTCTCGCTCTACTCCCACAGCCGCACAGTTAGGAAGTAATCTAATCTAAAGAGCTACATCACCAAGCAAAGTACTGCTTCTCTCGCTGGCCCCCTCTGCGGGCCCCCCCTGTCCCTTACGTCAAGAGACACACTCACTGGTCACACTAGTCCCACCCAGAGGACCATTTGGGTGATTAAAACCATGAAGAAGAATGAACAGAGGAGGTGGTGGAGTTGATCCTTCATAAACCTAAAAATTTAACGCATTTGGAAGTCTTCTTCTTACTCTTTCACATCCTACCTGGAAAACCCGTCCCAGAGTTTTTATCAAGTCTAGTTCTTAAGACAGATAATGTAATAATTGTTGGCGATATTAATATTCACGTGGACGTTGATAACAACTGCTTTTTTATCTTTACTAGATTCAGTTCACAAACCCACTCATTGTTTGAACCACACTTCATCTTCATCTTGTTATATGACATTGAACATTTTACAGTTTTACCCCAAAGTTCATGTTCATGCTGCGTCCTCCTGCTGTGTGCCGTTCGCCGCTGAGCTAGCTAGGTAGTTGTAGCCACATAGACTGACTGTTATTGACGATCACATGTCACGTGCGAAGTGAGTCAAAACCAAACGTGGTCAGTCAGCTGACGTGTTGTGGTGGCTGACCTCTTATTTTTTTCCGAGTGGCCTTTTATTGTGGCCAGCCCAAGGTCTTTTATTGTGGCCAGCCTAAGGCACACCTGTGTAATCCCGATGCTGTCTGATCAGCATCTTGATATGCCACACCTGTGAGGCTGATGGATTATCTCTGAAAAGGAGAAGTGCTCACTAGATTTTGACAGATTTGTGAACAATATTTTAGAGAAATAGGCCTTTTGTGTAAATAGAGAAAGTCTTTGAGTTCAGCTCAAGATGAATGGGGGCGAAAACAAAAGGGTTGCCTTTATAATTTTATTCAGTGTAGTTTGTGAATTATTTTTGTTTGTAGGTGCTGTTGTTGTAGTGGATAGTATTGTTGTAACTTTTGTATACTTGGACATTATTTGATCTCATTACTATTTATACATTTATATTTATGTTCATGTGAACTGAAAGCACCGATTTATACCAAGGCAAATTACTTGTGTAAAAATCTACCTTGCAATAAACCTGATTCAGATTCTGGATGTGGTTTTTGTGGATGTAGTTTGTAGGCGCTCTTGTTGTTGTGTGGATGTGGTAGATGTAGCGCCTGTTGTATGGAGGCACTGCAGAGTTTTTCAGGCTGTGTTCAGGCTGATGAAGGTCGGAGCGTCTCTGCTCCAAAGTGTCAGATTACAGTCAGACGGTCCAAGGACACTGCAGCTGACTGTCTGCAGCATCTTATTAAAGCTGCCAAACAGAGAACTGAGCTTGGATATCTGGAACACCAGAAATACTAAACTAATCCTAATGGGAAAATGCTGCTTTACATAAAACACAAAATATTGACAAATTTCTGGTTGATTGTTTAAATTTCTACAAAAAAGAAATGTTTCAGTGACTCTGCTGTCAGATGAATGTAGTGGAGGTGAATATTGAAGTACCTGGAGTTTACCTGAGTAACCTTACCCTCTGTGTGGGAAATGGTTTTATTATTTAGGGTTAAGGTGGTTTTTTGTCCTTTTTTTTCTGCCTAAACACACTGGAAAACGCACCAAACTTTGCACGTAATTCAGGCGCGATAAAAATTTTTGTATTTTATGGGTTTTGCACATGGGCGTGACAAATTGGCTTGCTAGCGCTCCCCAACGGAGCAGCCCCTGGACAAAGTTTCACCTACATGTATGAAATTTCTCTGATACGTGTATCATGTCCACTTGTACAAAAAAGCCTCTTGGAGTGATGCCCGACACCCAACAGAAAGTCGGGCATTTTGGATTTAATGGTCATTTTTGGCGATTTACACACTTTGGATCAACTTTCGCTGTGCAGTCTAAACCCCTTGATGATTAAAAGTTGTTGTACAAACGGTTATTTTATTATTAGTCGGCCAATTTGCCCGTAACGTGCTGTCAAAAATGTCAAAAAGTTGATACAACTTCAGTCTACATGCTCACGTGTGCACCAGATTTTATATATATATGAGTCCCGCCCTGAAAACATCTATATGCTAATATTCACTCAAAGTCATAGTGCCAACTGCTGGCAACAGGAAATAACACGTTTTACGTTATAATGTACTACTGTGAGCAGGTTGGACCCTTAACACATTGATGAAGCCATGTTGTAACTTAACTTGTGAGTTTGCAGTTAACAGCTTGGCGGTGGCATGGCGGCAAAGTTAAACTCTTCGTCATGACACAGGAAGTTGTTGTAACTTGACTACATGCTCAGTACTCTGTATTTTAACAAACTCCTCCTAGAGAATTGACCAGATTTTCGCTGTCGAGGCTAATCTCACTGACGATTAAGAGTTTTCGTGAAACGGCATGCCGTAGCATCCAAAATTGATGATTCGCCATGAATGAGGAAGTTGTTGTAACTTCAGTGTACATGCTCACATCTGCAAAAAACTTTACGTGCTTGATAACTGTCGCGCCCTGAACATATCGACTTGCCAATATTCAGTTATAGTCACAGCACCAAGTGCTATGTAGCGCCACAAAGGGGACACAGGAAGTGATAATTAACAACTTTCTGCAGCATCCGAAGGGCGTGGCAAATTCACAGCCGCACCGGCAGAACTCCAGAATCTGCTACGTGGCCGCCTCACACCTCGACGCGCTTCTCGTGCAGCTTTAGTTATGTTTTTCTTCTAATTAAATATTCAGATGCTTCTGTCAGCTGGTCTGTCTGTGATGTCATCAGTGTTAGCCCTAGTGCTAACCTCAGATAAACAGCCATGATGATGTTGTGGTGTTATCAGGTGAAAACCAGATGGTGTGATTAGGGTATACATAACACGCACATCCCAATCCCACAATGCAATGCTCCCCATTTTATAGATAAATGAAATGCGATGATCAATAACTGGCTGAAATCTGACTTTACTGCTCACTGAGTGAATGAATGAGTGAGTGAATTAGTCCACATGGTGTGAATGAACCCGGCAGGCTGCGACGGTGAGTCTGATCAAACAGTCTCTGCAGACAAGGACAGGCGAGGTCTTTTTGTTGATCCAAAACAAACATCAAACCGAGGAAATCCCAAATCTGATCCTGGATCTGTTCCTGTGTCTGACAGTAGAGGCTGTGAAGCTGCTGTCTGATCACACGCTGATTATAGATCAGAGATTCTGTTATGTCTGTCCAGTTAAACCAGTAAACAGCACAGGACAGGACTTCAGCTTTATTTGTGTCATACACAAAATGATAAAGTGCTTTGATTTAATACATTAAAATGAAAATGTTCGGGAAACCATTTTAAAATGTGAAAGATCAAAACAGTTTTATCTTTGTACTGAAGCTGTAACTGCTGCAGTAACCATGCTAACGGTGTGTCTCCTCAGTGGTGGACCGGCAGGGCTGCGACCCCGCCACTCGTTTCCTGGTTCCTCCGCGGAGCGGCCACTGGGTGGCGCTGCTGCAGAGAGGAAACTGCACCTTCAAAGAGAAGATCCTGAAGGCGGCCGCCTACAACGCCACGGCCGTCCTCATCTACAACAACTCCACCGACAAGACGGTCAAGATGGGACACGAAGGTCAGTCTGCAGGTTTCAGGTGATGCGGTGAACCTGTTAGCAGGCAGCTCGCTCTTCTGGACTTCCTCCGTTTTCACACAAAACAGCTTAGCTTAGCACTGAAAACAGGTGGAACAGCTGCAAAGTATTAGTTTAAATTTTGTGATTGAGAGGAGGAGGATGAAGGTGTGATTGAGAGAAGTGACTTCCTGAGGATCGATGTTGAGCTCTAAATATAGACAGGAAGGTGTCATTAATTGATGAGGTCATTGTGATCTCACACTGTGTGTGTATGTGTGTTACTGTTGTCCTGGTGCTGAATACCAACTGATTTAGAGAGCATATTTAATAAATAATTAATAATACAAAACTTTATTTCCGTTGTGCCCTTCAGACACAGAGTGAAGCATAAAGTTCCTGACAAAGCAAAACGGAAAAAGTCCCAACTGTTAAACTATTATAATGCAATGTCATACCGTAGTGCAGTGTGGGAGCGTCATACTGTAGTTGTGACTGACTCATCTGATTTCCTGGTTCTCATTCTTGTTGTTGTTCTGAGTCTGGTCATTTGCGTGGTTCTGGTCTTGGTCTTTGCTTTTGTCCTGTTCTTTTCTCTTGTTGTGTTTCTAGTAGTGGTTCTGATTCTGGTTCTGTGTCTGCAGGTACCGGTGACACAGTGGCGGTGATGATCACGGAGGCTTATGGGAAGGAGATCCTGGCTCACTTGGAGAGGAACCTGACAGTCCTGGTCTCTGTGGTGGTGGGTCAACGTGGTTCCACCAAAAACATCAACCGAGGCTCTCTGGTCTTCGTCTCCATCTCTTTCATCGTCCTCATGATCATCTCGTCGGCCTGGCTCATCTTCTACTTCATCCAGAAGATCCGCTACACCAGCGCCCGTGATCGCAGCCAGGTAACATGCTAACACACCGCTAATGAGCTAACTTGCTAACCCCTCCTCCTCTTCCTCCTACGCTGTTCCCTTCGTTTCCTCCTCTCCCTCCCCACTCCTCTTCCTCTTTCTACCACTCTCCTCCTGCTCTTCCTCGTCCTCTTGAAGCATTGAATATTTAATGATGTGTTCAATGGAGCAGTGGGTGGTCACTTCCTCCCCCCTCAGTGTAATCTAACCCTGCTGTCAGGAGTCTGTCTCCCCTCCATCTGCTGCAGACCAACCTTCACTTCACCTCCCTGCAGTCACTTTCAGTCCGTCACAGAATCAGCAGTAAACACGGAGTACAGCCCTGGACCCCTGTAGTACAGACAGTAGTAGTATTCAGAGTACTGTAGTACACTGGACGCCTCATGCATGACTGAGAGCCATGAACGCCACATATTTTAAAATGTAATTCCGTGAGAGCCATACAATATGTTTTAACACTAAATACAAGTAAATGTGTGCATTTAATGTAAGACCAACACTTTTACAGTACAATAAGTCTCTGAATTCTTTTTAATAATGTTGTTATGCTGTTGCTAACCAATGATGAATAAAGTACTTCTTACCATTAATGCAACTTCTGGTGCTGCATGGTTTTGCTGACGGCTTTGTAGTCTGGTTGATACGTGGTGAGGTTAAGCTTCATGCAGACTTACATCCGTTAAACTTGATCGTAGGTTGGTCTTAATGTTCTTTAGATGTGAGAAAGACTGCTCACATGCATACGTGCCAAACATTGTCAGTACAGCAATACTCACACGCTGCAGTCTGTGGTATGTGACAGGAAGCGCGTTCCAAGTTTTGACAATCAGCTGGTCCGCCGGTTGAAGTTTTTTCATTTCTCCCCGCTCGCCAACTCTGCTTGCTGTTGTGCAAGTCTTTCCAAATCTTCATTCAGTGACTTGAACTTATTCACCCACATGTCTGAGGCCTTCAGGTCAGCAGCTTGTAGCTCAAAATCTCTGAAGGAGACACCGGGGATGGAACTCATGTCAGCGCTGTCCACTGCACACTGGTGTGGATGGGTGATGAACTTAAAAAGACGAGTGCGCTCACGAAATTCTCCAAAGCTTGTTTTGAATGACTGCAGGAGATTAGATGTGAAGCCCGCTAGCTGCTGAAGATCAAGATGCTGAGCAGGGTCACTTGCTGTGCATGCATATTTAAACTCCCCCAGTTTTTCAAAGTTTAGTAAACGACCTGTTTCAATGTTGGCGATGAAGAGTTCCAGCTTGTTTTCAAATGCAAACACTACTTGTTGAAGGGATAAGACTGTATTTCCAACGCCTTGCATTTTCACATTGAGCTGGTTCAGATGTCCACGAGATAGAAGAACGTCAGGAGCCGCTCAGTGTTAGCTAACTCGGAATGCACGACGTTTGTCATTTCAAGAAAAGTCCGCATTTCGCTCAGACAAGCTGCGAAACGGCTGAGCACCTTCCCTCTTGACAACCAACGCACATTGCTGCGCAGAAGCAGACCAGGATAATTATTCCCAACTTCATCTAGCAGTGTTTTACACTGGCGATCATTTAAAGCTCGGGCAACAATAAAGTTGACCACCCGAATGACTAGCGACATCACCTCACCAAGCTGCTCGCCGCACACCTGATGTAGGATGCAGTGAAAACTTAGGATGGGTCTCTTTTCATGTTCACGAAGAAGCGCTAGGAATCCTCTGTTTTTCCCCACCATGCACGGAGCACCGTCAGTACACACCGAAATAAGTTTATCCATCGGTAGATTTTTTTCTTTAGCGAACTCGGTGAAAGACTTGAATAAATCCTCCCCTCTTGTTGTCTCTTTCATGGGCAAAACAGCAAGACTTTCCTCACGTAGTGTCACCAACAGCATACCTTGCAATCACGCTGAACTGGGATAAATGGCTTACGTCTGTTGACTCATCCAAAGCGAGAGAAAAGAATTGTGCTGCATTTACGTCCTTCACTTGTGTTGCCTCAATTTGATTTGCCATCATGATGGTACGATCGTGAACAGTTCTTGCCGACAGAGGCGTGTCTTTTATTCGTTTGATTATCTTGTCTTTATCCGAAAAGTGGCATACTCCCCATCTGTGAACGGTTTTCCGTTTCTCACAGTTGCTAAAGCGCCAGCAAAGCCAGCCGAATTCCAGTCACATTGTTGTGTCCAAACACGGAGTTGCTGCTGACTAGCTTGCACTCTGCACAGTGGCTCTTGACATGCTTTCTTCCTGCTGTGCCCCGCAGGATATTTCGATGCAAATGTAGTGTGGAGTGTGTCGAAGTGCTGCTTTATATTTGACCGTTTTATCGATGCAATTTTATCATTGCATATTAGACACACTGCAGAACCTGCTCTCTCCACAAAGGCGAATTCCTCCTGAAAAGTACGATACTCCTCATCTTTTTTTCTTTTAGCCATCTTCTTCGTCAAAAGGGTTTCTGCAATTAGGTAGCTGACTACTTGATTAAAAGGCGGGAAGTTTACTTTCTGACCTCACAACGACCCGTGTACGTTACGCATTATCCAATAAAAATTTGGTGTTGTCCCGGAGTACAGCCGTGATTGGCTCCAGCCACCCGCGACCATGAACGTGAGTGGTAGGAAATGAATGGATTGAAATACATGAGAATGTTTAATATTTTTAACGTTATAATTTTTTAAATTAAAGATTTGTCTGCGAGCCAGATGCAGCCATCAAAAGAGCCACATCTGGCTCGCGAACCATAGGGTCCCGACCCCTGCAGTAGTTGTTTTCAGAGTACTGTTGTGTTTATACTGTTCTGCGATCTTGAAGCGCGTCAGTGGGAGTTCAGGTTTCCCAGAATGCATCTGCTGCATCAGCTCTGTGGAAACATCATCATCATATCGGTTTAGTGTTGGACAGATACGAGTTTTCCACTGGCCAGTGCCGATATTAGAGAGCAGGATCTGAAATGCTGATATGAAAACAAAGTCTAATCCATGAGCTGCAGGTTCTCTCAGCAGGAAGCTGGTTCAGATGTTTTGTGAAAGAAGCAGAACTGTACTGCTGGTTCTACTTCTTTGGGTTCTGCTGCAGGTTTCAGAGAGATCAACGCTCGTTAGAGCTGCTGTCTTTAGGATGAGATATCGGCATCCTGAGTTCAGGTATCGACTGATTCTTTGGTCTATCGCTAGTCATGTGCAGAATTTGGTCTCTGCTTTTCTGTCTCTGTCCTTCAGGCTACAGGCTGAGCGTGACAAGTAAAATTCACAGCGAACGCTACTTGAAAGCCACTTCTTCTGTAGCTTCAGCCATTATGCTGCTTTTAGCAGAGTCACGTGGATAACAGAGCGTCACCACCTTCCTCTTCCAGATTATTAATGCATAAAGTATTAAATACACAGAGTAGCTGTCAAGTAAAAGCATGCTGCATTAAAACCACTCTGACCAGCGTCCTCACAGAGTGACCTGAGGACATGTAACACGTGTCTCTGTTTGTCTGTCTCTTGGTGTCTCTGTGTCTCACTGTGTCTGTCTCTTTGTGTCTCTGTGTGTCCGTGTGTCTGTGTCTCAGTGTCTCAGTCTGTCTTTGTCTCTTTGTGCCCTGCAGTTTTTCCTCAGTGGTCACTTTCATCTGTTGTCTTTCTCGTTGCTGTCCTCTGTCCTTCCCAGTAGACTGTCGGCACATTAATGCTAGTGGTGTGTGATTCCCATGTTACACTGTTGTGTTCAGGTGTCCACATACATTTGGACATGTAATAATCCGTCCTCCCTCCATCTTTCAGCGTCGTCTTGGTGATGCAGCGAAGAAAGCAATCGGCAAGTTGACCACGAGGACCGTGAAGAAAGGAGACAAGGTAAACCCTGAGGATAATACAGGTCTTTTATGTCTGTCCTCGTCCTTCTTTCTATTTCCTGCTGTTCACAGATTCTTCAGCTGCTGACGAGTTGCTGCTTCAGTTTTACTGAATGAACCTTCTATCAGAAGTTAATCAGCCTTGAGACAATCTAATAACTCCAGCTGCTGACAGAGACCTGAGGGGGGACACTCGGGACATCCCTGTCATTTAACCCCTTTAGTTTCTGCCTGAGGACAGACATGAGGACAGACAAAATAACAGCTAACATACTCTCACCTCAGCAGCTCACTGTTTGACAGGTGTGATACATGGTGGGCAGTAGGACCCAGTGGTTTCAGGTATTTATGTTGTTGACCTTCAGGCTGCAGATGAAACAGTGATGGATGTCCACTCACACAAAGGTCAGAGGTCACATGATGATAGTGTGGGAAGATAAACACGACGGAGATGAAAACATACGTCAGATGTGACTAAGAGGAAACAGCTGAGCAGAATGTCAAGGAGATTCTGTTTAAAACCACCGCAAAGACCCTCACAGCTACCCATAATTCACACAAGGTGTCACGAGTCACAGAATAATGTGGACAAATGTGGTTTTGGAAAAGCGAAGTTGTCGATGATGAGCTTTTCAGACGTTACGTGTTGACTTAACGCCTCTCATTTTTCTGTTTGCTGCAGGAAACTGACCCAGATTTTAACCACTGTGCAGTGTGCATTGAGGCCTACCAGCTGAACGATGTGGTTCGCATTCTACCCTGCAAGTGAGTGTGAAAACACCAGCAGAGACATTTATACCGGGTTTTCTTACTGCAATGTTGTACTGAACTTTACCATGTATCTATGTGAGTGTAATGATGTTCACCCTATTCTTTCAGTATCACCAGTCAGACCAGTATCGCACAGATTGATCAGACTCTTTAAAGTCACTGTCTGTATTATTATTTACTGCTGCATTTTAAAATCATCACATATAAAGTGTGATCTGCTTTCTGAATCTTCTCCAGTGGTTTGACAGATGACCCATTTTCAGTCCTGCCTTTTAGTTCTGATGGTTTGGTGGAAAAATCTCATCAGATTAAATCTGTCTCTCTGCAGACATGTCTTCCATAAAGTGTGTGTGGACCCCTGGCTCAATGAACACTGCACATGTCCCATGTGTAAACTCAACATCCTCAAAGCTCTTGGCATCATGGTGAGTTATTGCTGACATAAACAAACAACAGGAACAGACCAGTGGCCTGTACTCTGTACTCAGGGTTACTGATAAGTATTAATACACACCGCATCTGTAGTCAGTGTTACTGATAAGTATTAATACACACCGCATCTGTATTCAGTGTCACTGAGGAGAAGTTTTAATACACACCACTTGATAAAATATGTTCAGATCTCATCCTGACTTGTTATTTTTAACACAACAGCATTATGTTCATACAGTGAGCTCTGCAGCCTCAGCATGTTTTGGGAAATCTTAATTATTGGGCCAGTGTCTGAGATGTAGCCCATCTGTAGGCTATTTATTTGCTAATTGAATTATCCTAACTGTTTTCACATATTTTAGACTCTTTTATGTGTCCAAAAATACGGAGCATGAGCATGCTGCAACAACTCTGCCAGCACGGCTGAACACGCCCCTTTTACGTGAAAGTGCTCCAACTCCAATTAAGTTAACACCGACTCAGCTAACCAACATCTTACTCACCGTTGTGGTTTAACTCCCAGTGTAGGCGGTCAGAGTTTGTCAAACCTGAGTTTGCCTGATAACCCTGAGTAGCTTGAACTCCCTTCGTAGTACAGGTCAGAAGTGTGTCTGTATAACAACTCTTATTGTCTGTCCTCTTGTCTTTCCTCAGACCAGTCTTCCCTGTGTGGACAGCGTGGTGCTGGATGTGGAGCGTCTGGGCATCAGTCAGGCGTCCAGTAGCCAAAGGGCGCCACTAGGTGATGGGAACCAGCCGTCCATCAGCCTGGAGCCACTCAGCTCCCCCCACTCGGAGGCCACGCCCAGAACTCCTGCTGACATCACCATCGCCGTGACCAGTAAGAGCATAATCATTAAGCAATGTTACGCAGGCATAAAGCACGTTACACTGTCGTGGAGCAACGTAACGTCACACTGTCGCAGAGCAGCGTCACACTGTCGTCGAGCAGCGTTACACTGTCAAGCTGTCATAGAGCAATGTTACACTGTGGTAGAGCATACGACACTGTTGTAGAGCAGCGTTACACTGTTGTAGAGCAGCGTTACACTGTCATAGAGCAGCGTTACACTGTCATAGAGCAGCGTTACACTGTCATAGAGCAGCGTTACACTGTGGTAGAGCAACGTTACACTGTCGTAGAGCAGCGTTACACTGTGGTAGAGCAGCGTTATACTGTCGTAGAGCAACGTTGCACTGTCAAGCTGTCGTAGAGCAGCGTTGCACTGTGGTAGAGCAGCGTTGCACTGTGGTAGAGCAGCGTTGCACTGTGGTAGAGCAGCGTTACACTGTCGTAGAGCAATGTTACACTGTCATAGAGCAGCGTTACACTGTGGTAGAGCATACGACACTGTCGTAGAGCAGCGTTACACTGTCAAACTGTGGTAGAGCAACGTTGCACTGTCAAGCTGTCGTAGAACAGCGTTACACTGTGGTAGAGCAGCGTTACACTGTCAAGCTGTGGTAGAGCAGCGTTACACTGTGGTAGAGCAGCGTTACACTGTCGAGCTGTGGTAGAGCAGCGTTACACTGTGGTAGAGCAGCGTTACACTGTCAAGCTGTCGTAGAACAGCGTTACACTGTGGTAGAGCAGCGTTACACTGTCGAGCTGTGGTAGAGCAGCGTTACACTGTCGAGCTGTGGTAGAGCAGCGTTACACTGTCGAGCTGTGGTAGAGCAGCGTTACACTGTGGTAGAGCAGCGTTACACTGTGGTAGAGCAGCGTTACACTGTGGTAGAGCAGCGTTACACTGTGGTAGAGCAGCGTTACACTGTGGTAGAGCAGCGTTACACTGTGGTAGAGCAGCGTTACACTGTGGTAGAGCATACGACACTGTTGTAGAGCAGCGTTACACTGTCAAACTGTGGTAGAGCAACGTTACACTGTCAAGCTGTCGTCGAGCAGCGTTGCACTGTGGTAGAGCAGCGTTGCGCTGTGGTAGAGCAGCGTTACACTGTGGTAGAGCAACGTTACACTGTGGTAGAGCAACGTTACACTGTCGTAGAGCAACGTTGCACTGTCAAGCTGTCGTAGAGCAGCGTTGCACTGTGGTAGAGCAGCGTTACACTGTCGTAGAGCAGCGTTACACTGTGGTAGAGCATACGACACTGTGGTAGAGCAGCGTTACACTCTGGTAGAGCAACGTTACACTGTGGTAGAGCAACGTTACACTGTGGTAGAGCAGAGTTACACTGTGGTAGAGCAGCGTTACACTGTCGAGCTGTGGTAGAGCAGCGTTACACTGTGGTAGAGCAGCGTTACACTGTGGTAGAGCAGCGTTACACTGTCAAGCTGTGGTAGAGCAGCGTTACACTGTCGTAGAGCAATGTTACACTGTCAAGCTGTGGTAGAGCAGCGTTACACTGTGGTAGAGCAGCGTTACACTGTCAAGCTGTCGTCGAGCAGCGTTGCACTGTCGTCGAGCAGCGTTGCACTGTCGTCGAGCAGCGTTGCACTGTGGTAGAGCAACGTTACACTGTCAAGCTGTCGTCGAGCAGCGTTGCACTGTCGTGGAGCAGCGTTGCACTGTCGTGGAGCAGCGTTGCACTGTCGTCGAGCAGCGTTACACTGTCGTCGAGCAGCGTTACACTGTCGTCGAGCAGCGTTACACTGTCGTCGAGCAGCGTTGCACTGTCGTCGAGCAGCGTTGCACTGTCGTCGAGCAGCGTTACACTGTCGTCGAGCAATGTTACACTGTCAAGCTGTCGTAGCGCAGCGTCACACTGTCTCTGTTTTCTGTCTCGTCAGGTGGCGGTCACTTCTTCAACAGGAACTCAATGTCTCCTCGCAGCATCGTCTGTGACACGGAGCTGCCAGACATCCAGGCCTCCCTCAACCTCTACGACGATAACAAGTCCTGAGGCCTGTCGTCATGGATTCATCCCCCCACCTCCACCTGCTGATGGAGGACCAACCTTTTATGGACGCTGAAAGTGTTTCTGTTGAGAGGGTTGTCTGATAAAGAAGACCTGGATGAACTTTTAAACATCATTTATTCCATCAGACAGTACTGGTCTAGATCCCGGTCTCAAGTTTGGACTTTCATGTTTTATATTTATTTTCCCCAGAAGAAGAAACTGGAAAAAAATTGTTAAAAATACGTTATAAAACAAAAAAGTCAGAGAACCAAACTCCACATCCACCTCCAACCCAGGAACCAGAACCTGAACTAGTTCTTCTGGTAGAACTGGAGATAATGTTGTTGAGGTTCTAGAAAAGTGTTGGAGTCCCTGAAAGTGCTCTTGTGTTCCTGGAAAAGGGTTCTTGAGTTCCGGGATAGTTCCTAAATTCCTTAAATGGTTCTTGGAAAGGTCCTGAGTCCTTAAAAATGATCCTGGATTTCTGGAAAGGTTTCTGGAAAGGTTCCAGGGCTCCTTTGGAGAATCCTGGAACAGTTCCTAACAAGGTCCTTGGAAAATGGTTCCTGTGTTCCTCTAAAAGGATTCCTATTGGGGTTCCATTGTTCTGAAAATGCTCCTGAGTGCCTACAAAAGAATTTCCAGACTCCTGGAAAAACACCTGATGTCCTGAAGAGTTTCTTGGTTTACTGGGAAGCTTTGTGAATTGAGGTGTTCCTGAATTCTTCAGTGGTTTTCTGAACAGGTTCCCAGGCTTCACAAAAAGGTTCTCTGAAAGTTGTTTGGATTCTAGCAAGACCCTGGAAGCATTTCTGAGGTGTTCAAAAGATTTGTGGGTTCTCAAAAACTTTTCTAGTTGCTATGAAGGTTCCTGAAAAGGCTTCCTGTATTCCTGGAACGAAGATCCAAAACATTGTACCAGAGAACATCTTACCTGAACCTAAATGGACCTGAAAGCATCAGGGCCAGAACCTAAATAGACCTGAATGGGTCAGGACCAGAACCAGAACTAACCCGGAAAACAAAAGTTGTAACCAGCCCTGTCATTGGTTGACTGAAGATGACATCATTAACAGATTCTTTTGTGCTCTTTTCTTTTGTGATTCTGTCTTAAGACCTAAACCTGGATCAGAATTCCTTAACTGTAGATATAGACCAGGCTGGTTCTTTTTGTTCAACATGAGACTGGAACCAGGACCAGAGGAAGACCTGGTCCTCTATAGAGACTTTGAGGAAACGGTCTTGAACTTTAACAGTGTTAACTTTACTGTAGCAAAAACACGTTTCTCTGTAGAACAAAGGTAAATTAGATTTATATGAACAGTCCAGCATCTCAGTAAACCTCCTTCTTCAGGGAGGAGTTCTTCAGGGAACCGTCCTGGGTCCTCTGCTCTTCTTTGTAAACATCATAGAGATTTAAAGGGACTCTCCATCTTGTATAAAACATTCTTGTTCTCTTCTCCACAGTCAGACAAGAAGACGAGTAGCGCAGAGGGAAACTGTTAGCGTAGCTCCAGCAACCTCCAGTCTGTCAGCTAACTGGCCAATCAGTGCATCGTGTAGTCAGCTGGTTTAGATGATGTAGAGTCAACACATCTGGGGTCTTCAGGTCTGTGAGCCAATGAGGAGAGAAACGTTCTGTACTGCCACAAACTGTAAAGCAGAACAACAAGTAGGTTCACTGTCATTGTGTTTCACCCCTTTCTGTTCAAAAGTTTCCTCCAGACGGAGCTTCGGAAACAGAAACTCGTCCAGATACGCCCGACCTGCTGCTGTGAGAACACAAGCTCATTGGCTGATGGAGATAAACAGCTGGTGGAGTCGCTGCCAGTAAACCACCAAAGCAGAAGAAGAGGACGCAGTGAGGCAACGTAATTAAAGAGCTGCAGTCAAAGCTCAAACATGACGACAGTGTTAGTGTTGTGTTCATGTGAGGAAGGTCGCAGCCTCTTCATCGTCACTGCTTCGTGTACGGCAGCGTTTCTTCATCACGTCCGTTTCTGTTCGTCTACAAACTGGTTTCATGCCTCAGACAGAAACAGGAAACTCTTTTAACTGAGATTTATTTCTGTAGAGACCGGAATAAAAACGGGAGTATGGAAACGCAGCTTTTGGTGTTCAGACAGAATGTGAAGTCTTTTTATTCAAGAGCTCGTGGAACTAACGTTAGAATTTTAACGTTAGTGAGGTGTAAAAAAGTCAACTTTCGTTTTGTGCTTTAAGGTAACTTTCTCATGTCTGGACTTTGATTTCAAGTTTAGTATCGTCACACGATTAACAATGACTTGAACGTTCCTTCACTCACTCAGTGAGCCGCTTTAAGTTTTTATGCACAACATACATGACCGAAACAACAAACAGTCCTGAGAGACCCTGTCATTTTGCACAGAGAACCCTCCTCCCGACGCCAGGTAACTAACTTATGAAGGTAACTTTTGTGACGTTGGGTGTAACGTTCACCTGTTCTACAAAAGCAGGAACCTCCAGGTCTCAAAAGTGAACCCTTAAACCTGCGTTCTCTCTAGCAGCCAGCAGGGGGCGACTCCAGCGGCTGCAGAAAGAAGTGTGATTGTATAGAAGTGAGAAAATGTTTCTACTTGTGAGCTGATTTATTCCCTCAGTAAACACTTTCCTGATGAGTTTACGGTCTCAGTCGCTAGTTTCAAGTCTTCTTCAACACAGCATGATGTTCATTTAGTAAATTATGGTCCCATTTAGAGGAACAGAGACCAGGAAGCAAAGTCAAGGGCAACTGGACTGGCTGAAGACACTCGAAGATGTTTCTCCTCTCGTCCGAGCTGCTTCTTCAATTTAGACTATTTTATCTGTTAAAAGATACGGAGCCATTGGAGGAGTGATGATGTGAGAAAAAAACTCAGTTTCCAAGATGAAAGTCATACATTTACCAGAAATAAAATTCACATCACTCGTTTTTCCTCCTGTTCACCGTCACAATGTAAGCAGTCAGTTTGTCAACCCAGAATTTCTTTGATAGGCCCGAGTTAAATCTGAGTAGCTTAAACTCCCTTTGCAGTGCAGGCCTGGCCGACCTCTAACCCTGAAACCCAGTTTTATATTCCTGGCTTAACAAAGCACAGTGAGGAGGAGGAAAAGGTTGAAGCTCGTTCGTCACCGAGAACGTGAGCGATCTGCTAACCTGCTGTCACCGTGATCAATAACAATTATCATTTTTCAATAAAATGCTGATTATTTTCTCAATCAGTTGTTTGGTCAGACAGGCGAACAGTGAAAACTGCCGTTAAAAGTTTTCGTTGACGTCTTCAAAGAGATTCAGTTTACTGATGAATGAGAATAAAACCGAATCTGAGACATTACGTTTTTAGCATTAGGACTTCAGAATGAATAATCAGCTGGATGTTACCAGACAAACGACATTAAGTTTCTCTATTTAAAAACTCTGAATGTTGTTCAGTCTTGTCACACCTGCTTCCTCTCTTCCTATTGGTTCACAGAGTCCTCAGGTGTGACGTCTGCAGGTGGAACTGCAGCTAACGCGTGTCCTCTTCATGTCTGAGGGTTTTCTGCTTTAAACGTGTATAAAACGGCTTCTGAATTACTCAGCGTGTAATAATCAGCTCCGCTGACGGGGCTCATATATAAACAGCATTATACAATCTATAACCTGACCGATCGATCAATATTATCTCTGACCTGAACATGTCCCGATGGAGAACTGAGGACATGTCTATCTGTCCTCTGTGTCACGTGGTACTGATGATGATGATGATGAGGATGTGTGTGTTTCACTGTGTCTCTTACTGCCTCAGCATTAAAGTGTCTTTAACATGCACGACTCTGACTTCATTTATCCACAGCTTCTGTTTCCTTCAACACACAACAATCAGCGTCAGTCTCCGCGTCAGAGCAGATCAAACGATAAACAGAAACAGTGCGTGGTGATTATTTGTTCTGTATGAGACGGTGTCCAAGAAATAATGAAGCATTAATGAAATGTGACCCTTCAGGAGCGCTCTGTAAACGTACTGTGTGTTTAGCAGCAGGTCAGTTAAAAGCAAAATGACATTCTGCATCTATGATCTACAGAACAGATCATTGGTGCCTCCATTCAGGAATTGTACATGTCAGGAACACCTGAACAGATGCCGTTACAATAGTCTCCTCTTTAGCAATAAAGGCATGAACAAGTCTTGTTTAAGTCTTGCTATGTTTGTAAGGTGATAGTAGGCTGGTTTTATAACTGACCTGATGTGGCTGTTGAAATTTAGGTTTAAGATTTCTTCTTTGGTTTTCAAAGAGTCCAGGTGTGAGCTTTCTTCTTTGGTACTGAAGATAATTATCTCAGTTTTGTCTTTATTTAGTTAAAGGACATTCGGGCTCATCCAGTCAATGACTTGCTCAACGAAGTGGCACAGTAGATCTATAGGACAGTAGTCCTTTGTTGATTGAGCTATATAGATTTATACATTGATAGATAGATTTTAGTGTCGTCTGCATAACTGTGGTTCATTTTGCACGGTTTGGCCTAGCAGGAGCATGTAGAGGATGAACATGTAGATGAACAGGGACGGCCCTAGGATTGAACCTTGGGGGACTCCACACGTCACGACAGTTAGCTCAGATACAGTAGTTCCCGATAGAAACAAAGTAGTTCCTGTCTTGTAGATACGGCGTGTGCCAGAAAGCCCAACCAAATATTCCAACCTGTCTAAAGCATTGAGGGGTCTGCAGGGTCAAATGCTGCACTAAGATCCAATTGCACCAGCAGTGAAATGTTGCCACGGTCGGTGCTAAGACAAACATCCTCTAGAGCTTTAATAAGTTTCAGTGAGGTCGACATCCTGAAGCTGTCAAAGCAACCAGCTGAGACTAAGAAGCAGGAAAGCTGCTGGAAGACAACTTCCTCTCTGATTTTACTTATGAAGGGTAGATTTGATATCAGCCTGTAGTTGCTAATGATGGAAGCCTCTAGGTTTTATAACGGCACTTTAAAGGCCTTTGGAAAGACGCCTAATGTCACCAGGAGGTCAAAAACGTCCTTAAACAGAATCTGTTTCTGAGTTAATCTACGTCTTAATTAAAAAGTAAAGCAGGTTCCTTATTTTACAGACTCGGAGGTCCCATCAGTCAGTAAAGTGTTTGTTCATAAAAACTTAAAGCAGGTCACAAACGAGGAAACTGTTTCTCCTCAGAGAAAATAAATAAATAAATAAATCAGAGTCATGTGGATCTGATCCTGAAACCAGGTCTTTAGACCTGAAACTAGAGTCGATATGATCAATAATAATAATTACTAACAATTAGTCAAGTGTTTCTGGGAGAACAGTGACGTCATTGGTTTAGTAACTGATCATCATTGGCTGGCTTTGTTCATTCGTTTTAAACGTTGACGGAAGATATGTGACGTCATGGCGCAGCGCACGCAGAGGGCGGGTCCTGGCGCGTCAGACCCGGAAGTGATGTGCAGTCAGCAGACTGGGAGAAAACAACAACATCAGCTCGTTGTTAGTCCCGGTCCAGTTTCCACGGAGCCGCCCGGTCAGACCCGGTCCTTTCTCCCGGTTTTCCCCGGCGGACGGTGAGCAGGCAGCGGGCAGAGATGTGGATCCAGCCGGAGGAGGTGCTGCTGGCCGGAGCGCTGTGGGTGTCCGAGCGGGCCAACCCGTTCTTCATCCTGCAGAGGAGGAGGGGGCACGGCCGCGGGGGGGGGCTCTCCGGTGAGTTAACGGATCCTGATACCGGACCCACAGAGGATTGGGTCCATGAACAAGTGCTTTCTTTATTATATAATCAAAAGTCTAGCCGTGACATCACAGACTGAGACAGAAATAAAAGCAATCCAGTTCTGGTCCCGTGCAAAGGGTTCAGACATGTTAATAGATTATATTTATCAACAAAATGCTAAATGAGTAAACAGAAGAAGAATTGGATCAGATCAGTATTTGGTGCCCCCCCCCCCCCCCCCTTCTGCCTTTAGCATCAGTTCTTCTAGGTACACCTGCACACAGTCAGGGATTCTGCAGGCCCATCATCGGGTGTTTGATTAAATTATTAAACCGAACAAGTGCTAAGGATCCTAAAGTCAACATGTAGGTTGAAACAGAAATGGCTGTAGGTGGAATCCAGCTGGGGAGGAACAGCCAGACTGACAAGCTGCTGAAGATAGTTTACTGTCAGAGTCAGACACAAAGTGGTTATACTGCATCAGCAAGGTCTCTCCAGGAGACATTTCAAGGCAGACCGGGGTTTCCAGGTGTGCTGTTCAGACACGCTCTTCTGAAGAAGCACAAAGAAACTGTCAGCGCTGAGGACCGGAGATGTCCAGCAGAGCCATCAGCTCAGAGCTGCAGGGCTGTGAGGAGGGAAACTGGGCTGCGGCGGGCTGTGAGGAGGGAAACTGGGCAGCGGCGGGCTGTGAGGAGGGAAACTGGGCTGCAACGGGCTGTGAGGAGGGAAACTGGGCTGCGGCGGGCTGTGAGGAGGGAAACTGGGCTGCGGCGGGCTGTGAGGAGGGAAACTGGGCTGCGGCGGGCTGTGAGGAGGGAAACTGGGCTGCAGCAGGGCTGTGAGGAGGGAAACTGGGCTGCAACAGGGCTGTGAGGAGGGAAACTGGGCTGCAGCAGGGCTGTGAGGAGGGAAACTGGGCAGCGGCGGGCTGTGAGGAGGGAAACTGGGCTGCAGCAGGGCTGTGAGGAGGGAAACTGGGCTGCAGCAGGGCTGTGAGGAGCGAAACTGGGCTGCAACGGGCTGTGAGGAGGGAAACTGGGCTGCAGCAGGGCTGTGAGGAGGGAAATTGGGCTGCGGCGGGCTGTGAGGAGGGAAACTGGGCTGCGGCGGGCTGTGAGGAGCGAAACTGGGCTGCAGCAGGGCTGTGAGGAGGGAAACTGGGCTGCGGCGGGCTGTGAGGAGGGAAACTGGGCTGCAGCAGGGCTGTGAGGAGGGAAACTGGGCTGCAGCAGGGCTGTGAGGAGGGAAACTGGGCTGCAGCAGGGCTGTGAGGAGGGAAATTGGGCTGCGGCGGGCTGTGAGGAGCGAAACTGGGCTGCGGCGGGCTGTGAGGAGCGAAACTGGGCTGCAGCAGGGCTGTGAGGAGCGAAACTGGGCTGCAGCAGGGCTGTGAGGAGCGAAACTGGGCTGCGGCGGGCTGTGAGGAGGGAAACTGGGCTGCAGCAGGGCTGTGAGGAGGGAAACTGGGCTGCGGCGGGCTGTGAGGAGGGAAACTGGGCTGCGGCGGGCTGTGAGGAGCGAAACTGGGCTGCGGCAGGGCTGTGAGGAGGGAAACTGGGCTGCGGCGGGCTGTGAGGAGGGAAACTGGGCTGCGGCGGGCTGTGAGGAGCGAAACTGGGCTGCAGCAGGGCTGTGAGGAGGGAAACTGGGCTGCAACGGGCTGTGAGGAGGGAAACTGGGCTGCAACGGGCTGTGAGGAGGGAAACTGGGCTGCAGCAGGGCTGTGAGGAGGGAAATTGGGCTGCGGCGGGCTGTGAGGAGGGAAACTGGGCTGCGGCGGGCTGTGAGGAGCGAAACTGGGCTGCAGCAGGGCTGTGAGGAGGGAAACTGGGCTGCAACGGGCTGTGAGGAGGGAAACTGGGCTGCAGCAGGGCTGTGAGGAGGGAAATTGGGCTGCGGCGGGCTGTGAGGAGGGAAACTGGGCTGCGGCGGGCTGTGAGGAGCGAAACTGGGCTGCAGCAGGGCTGTGAGGAGGGAAACTGGGCTGCAGCAGGGCTGTGAGGAGGGAAACTGGGCTGCGGCGGGCTGTGAGGAGGGAAACTGGGCTGCAGCAGGGCTGTGAGGAGGGAAACTGGGCTGCAACAGGGCTGTGAGGAGCGAAACTGGGCTGCGGCGGGCTGTGAGGAGCGAAACTGGGCTGCAGCAGGGCTGTGAGGAGGGAAACTGGGCTGCGGCGGGCTGTGAGGAGGGAAACTGGGCTGCGGCGGGCTGTGAGGAGCGAAACTGGGCTGCGGCAGGGCTGTGAGGAGGGAAACTGGGCTGCAACGGGCTGTGAGGAGGGAAACTGGGCTGCAACGGGCTGTGAGGAGGGAAACTGGGCTGCAGCAGGGCTGTGAGGAGGGAAATTGGGCTGCGGCGGGCTGTGAGGAGGGAAACTGGGCTGCGGCGGGCTGTGAGGAGCGAAACTGGGCTGCAGCAGGGCTGTGAGGAGGGAAACTGGGCTGCAGCAGGGCTGTGAGGAGGGAAACTGGGCTGCGGCGGGCTGTGAGGAGGGAAACTGGGCTGCAGCAGGGCTGTGAGGAGGGAAACTGGGCTGCAACAGGGCTGTGAGGAGCGAAACTGGGCTGCAACGGGCTGTGAGGAGGGAAACTGGGCTGCAGCAGGGCTGTGAGGAGCGAAACTGGGCTGCAGCAGGGCTGTGAGGAGGGAAACTGGGCTGCGGCGGGCTGTGAGGAGGGAAACTGGGCTGCAGCAGGGCTGTGAGGAGCGAAACTGGGCTGCAGCAGGGCTGTGAGGAGCGAAACTGGGCTGCGGCGGGCTGTGAGGAGGGAAACTGGGCTGCAGCAGGGCTGTGAGGAGCGAAACTGGGCTGCAGCAGGGCTGTGAGGAGGGAAACTGGGCTGCAGCAGGGCTGTGAGGAGCGAAACTGGGCTGCAACAGGGCTGTGAGGAGCGAAACTGGGCTGCAGCAGGGCTGTGAGGAGGGAAACTGGGCTGCAACAGGGCTGTGAGGAGGGAAACTGGGCTGCAGCAGGGCTGTGAGGAGGGAAACTGGGCTGCAGCAGGGCTGTGAGGAGGGAAACTGGGCTGCAGCAGGGCTGTGAGGAGGGAAACTGGGCTGCAACAGGGCTGTGAGGAGGGAAACTGGGCTGCAGCAGGGCTGTGAGGAGGGAAACTGGGCTGCAACAGGGCTGTGAGGAGGGAAACTGGGCTGCAACAGGGCTGTGAGGAGCGAAACTGGGCTGCAACAGGGCTGTGAGGAGGGAAACTGGGCTGCAGCAGGGCTGTGAGGAGGGAAACTGGGCTGCAGCAGGGCTGTGAGGAGGGGTGTTCACCATTTACCCGCTATTTACATTTATTCATTTAGCTGACGCTTTTATCCAAAGCGACTTACAACTGCTATACATGTCAGAGGTCGGACGCCTCTGGAACAACTAGGAGTTAAGTGTCTTGCTCAGGGACACAATGGTGGACGTGTCACAGTGGGGAATTGAACCCTGGTCTCTCACACCAAAGGCATAGTCTTGTCTATTGCCCCCTTCACCCGCTATCTTCCATCTTTTTGGTTCTGCCATGTTTGATCAATGCAACATACACACAGTTGATCAGAAAAAACTCTACGGCTCAAGGGCCAACTGCGGTCCACTGCCTGATTTCCTGGCAGGTAATAAAACTGAGGTCACATCTTAACAGCATATCCCACCACACTGAACATATTAAGTATTGGTCAAACCTGGGTTACTGTAGATCATAGAGCTCTGGGTATCCAGCCACAGCTTTGTCCACTACTGTCATCTGATTGGATGGATCGAGCGCTTTTCTGCTCTGGGTCATCGTTTTTTACCTCGAGGTACTGCTGCTACTGAAGTAAAAGTACTAATACCACACTGTGAAAGTACTCTGTACACTAGTAAAATTCCTGCATTGAAAGTGTTTCTTCAGTAAAAGTATGTGAGTATAATCAGGCCTAAAAGTATTAAAGCAGTAAACTGTTCCATCTCCTCCTCAGATTCTTCTTCCTCCTCATTAATGTGCAGCAGGATGTTGCTGCTGCAGCTCCTTCTGAACTGTTCAGTTTCAGACTGCAGCTGATGAATCTTTTCAGCTGATTATTTCCTCCATTAATTGATTGATTGTTTGGTTTGTAAAGATTCTGCCGTCACAGTTACCCAGAGTCCAAAGCGAAAAGTCGAAACATTTATTACAGAGGTTCAGAGGAGAAGCTGAAACATCAGATGTTTTCTGTCAGTCAACTGATCGTTTCAGATGCGCTTGTTTAAAACGTTGGGTAGTGTAATTTTTAACTAAACATAGTTTGTCAACTCTTCATATGTGTTATTCAGATCTTAATTTATAAAGTAACAATGAAGTAAAAAGTACAACATCAGATTTTAATCTTCAAAGGTGAATAATCTGAACAGTTCATTTCCTTCATTCTGGTCAATCTTTCTGCTCCAGATTCTGTGGAAATGTTTTTATTTCTGTAAAGAGACTCTAAAACTCCAACAGTCCAAGTCAGCTCAGCTCCCAGGTCAGTTTCTCCTGTAGATATCTGCTGAGTCAGGATTTAGTCTCTGTTTGGGGAAGTGACCTTTTTAAATGTGACTGTGGCTCCTTTTCACCTCAATGAGAAATTAATTCATTGTAATTCAGTTAGAAACTCCTGGACTTTAATAGCTCCTGTGTTTCAGCAGCTTTTCTGCTCATCTTCAAGAAGAAGTAGAAGCAGAAAATACTGAACCTCAGGTCACCAAACTGCCTCTGATCTAATCTTTCCCAATCACCTAATTACCTGTCCTCGTGTTTACCTGTCTCCGTGTTTACCTGTCTCCGTGTTTTCCTGTCCTCGTGTTTTCCTGTCCTCGTGTTTACCTGTCCTCGTGTTTTCCTGTCTCCGTGTGTTCCTGTCTCCGTGTTTTCCTGTCCTCGTGTTTACCTGTCCTCGTGTTTACCTGTCCTCGTGTTTACCTGTCCCTGTGTTTACCTGTCTCCGTGTTTACCTGTCTCCGTGTTTACCTGTCCTCGTGTTTACCTGTCTCCGTGTTTACCTGTTCTCGTATTTTCTTGTCCCTGTGTATACCTGTCTCCGTGTTTACCTGTCCTCGTGTTTACCTGTTCTCGTATTTTCTTGTCCCTGTGTATACCTGTCTCCGTGTTTACCTGTTCTCGTATTTTCTTGTCCCTGTGTATACCTGTCCTCGTGTTTACCTGTCTCCGTGTTTACCTGTTCTCGTATTTTCTTGTCCCTGTGTATACCTGTCTCCGTGTTTACCTGTCTCCGTGTTTACCTGTCCTCGTGTTTACCTGTCCTCTTGTTTACCTGTCCTCGTGTTTACCTGCCTTCGTGTTTACCTGTCCTCGTGTTTACCTGTCTCCGTGTTTACCTGTCCTCGTGTTTACCTGTCCTCGTGTTTACCTGTCCTCGTGTTTACCTGTCTCCGTGTTTTCCTGTCTCCGTGTTTTCCTGTTTCCGTGTTTACCTGTTTCCGTGTTTACCTGTCTCCGTGTTTTCCTGTCTCCGTGTTTTCCTGTTTCCGTGTTTACCTGTCCTCGTGTTTTCCTGTCCTCGTGTTTACCTGTCCTCGTGTTTACCTGTCTCCGTGTTTTCCTGTCCTCGTGTTTACCTGTCCTCGTGTTTACCTGTCCTCGTGTTTACCTGTCCTCGTGTTTTCCTGTCCTCGTGTTTTCCTGTCCTCGTGTTTACCTGTCCTCGTGTTTACCTGCCTTCGTGTTTACCTGTCCTCGTGTTTACCTGCCTTCGTGTTTACCTGCCTTCGTGTTTACCTGTCCTCGTGTTTTCCTGTCCTCGTGTTTACCTGTCCTTGTGTTTACCTGTCTCCGTGTTTTCCTGTCCTCATGTCTCTCTCTGTGTGCAGGTCTCCTGGTTGGGACTCTGGATGTGGTTCTGGACTCCAGTGCCAGAGTGGCTCCGTACAGGATCCTGCTCCAGACTGCGGACTCTCAGATCTACTGGAACATCGCCTGTGGTGGGTCAGCTGGACTGGGCAGGGATGTGATTTTTCCAGATTTTCCAACCTGAAGATGTGATGCACGTCAATCATGCAGATCTGTTATTAAAAAAAAGAAGGGGGGGGGGGGTACAGGACCTGGTCTAGTGAAATGGAAAGGATCTAGGTTGACGTGTGTAAAGTTTCTTCCTTTCTAAATATCAAGAATGGTCGTTTACGCTCAGCTGCAAATTCCACACCTGCGCAGTGTTTACCACAGGCGCTCTCGCGCATCAGTGGTACCTAACGTGTTGGGCAGTAATAGGCCTACTGCAAAATTACTTTTCCCAGTAAAGAGTAATGTAACGGATTACTTTTTCAAAAACATTTGTATTATTACAGTTACTAATCCAAGTAACCGAACGCACCATCCCTGCCATGAATGCGCGACCGCACTGCAGCTCAGCGGCACCGGACATCATGTTGTTAAAGTCAGCTGTTAACCAAGAATCGTAACGTCATTGCCATTACTGTGTCACAGTCTAAGATGCAGCAAAAAATTTTCAACCGCGACCAGTTCTACTTTTATACTTAGGCTAATTGAAGCATCAGCTAAAGCAACACAGCAACGTGAAACTCAGAGAGAAACTCCGGCCGCTGCTGCCAGTGATGCTTGGACTCATTGGGAGAGAGTGGCGTTATAATAGACTATCACCCAGTAGTGGGCCTAAGTAGAGCAGCTAATATTACTTACAGGTCTGTAGCCTATGCTAAGTAACTAGTAGGTAATATTATTTCTGAGTAACTTGCCCAACACTGAGTTGACAATAAGGATCAGATAAATTGGGAATGTTTTGATTATTGCTTGTTAGAGGCTATGTCTAATGTTTACTTTGACTTTGTTGTCTAGTGATCACTCGTGTAGCCTAAATATACACTTTGCTGTGTGAACGGTTGCTTTTTAAGTCTTCCTTCTGTTAAACGTTAATAAGTAATTTCTTGTGAATGGTTGTGACAGGGTTTAGGCCATATAAGGCCTTTTCACGCGGGTCGCTCCGCGCTCCTCATCAACAGACAGGCAAACAAGCGCTCCGCGAGGTAACCATGGCAACGGCTTCTGTGTGACTGGCGCGATCCCGTTAAACTGTTGCGCTCGTTCTCGTCTCACGCGCACGCCCGCCCGCTGCCAGAGTTGAGTTTCCAACAGACAGAGACTGATCAGCTGTTTGAGTTTCCTGAAGAATAAAAGTGTTTCTTTAACAGTCAGGCCACCAGGTCTTAAACAGGCAACAACCTTTGCTGCTGTTTCTTATTCATTAAAAATCATTTATTAACTTCAACTGAACTAATTTGAAAGTTATTAGTTACATTATTTAGTTATAGACTCAATTATTTCATGTTTCATGTTGCACGTTTAGGTGTTGAAGTTTGGTAAAAATGAATACTAAATAATAATTATTTTAGAGAGGTTGCGATGGCGCAGTGGATTAGACCCTTGTCTTTGATTTCCATTGCAACACATCCATTAAATAAGTTATTCTCTTGGGTCCTGCTTTACCTTCCATGTTAGAGCCGCCGCCAGTTTAATCAGGGTGTCGGGCCAATCACATGCCTGCTGGGAGCTCTTCAATTGGCTGAATCTTTGTTTATAGTTTTTCACCATCACTTGTGTCTTGTAGGCTCGTCCAGAAAGGAGATCACGGAGCACTGGGATTGGCTGGAGACCAACCTTCTGCAGACCATCTCCATCTTTGACAGCGACGAAGACGTCACCACCTTTGTCAAGGGAAAGATTTCTGTATGTCACTTCCTGTTAGACCGACTCTTTTTCTGGTCACTGATTGATGTCACTTCCTGCTAGACCAACTCTATTACTGGTGTGCGTCCTGTCATTGAGTGATGTCACTTCCTGCAGGGCATGATTGCGGAGGAGAACAGGCTGAAGCAAGGGGACGAACAGGAGGAGGATTGTGGGAAGTTTCGGGAGGCCGAGCTGAAGATGAGGAGGCTGTTTGGGATGCCCGAGGAGGAGAAGCTGGTGAACTATTACTCCTGCAGCTACTGGAAGGGCAGAGTGCCGCGGCAGGGCTGGCTTTACCTGTCCGTCAACCACCTGTGCTTCTACTCCTTCCTGCTGGGCAAAGAGGGTACGACCGGCCAATCACAGGCCAGAGTGTCATGATGTCATTTATACTTTATTAGAGAGTAACTCGTCATCCTGTTTGACTTTGAACGTACCCTGAAGGTGGTACTGCTGTACTTCTATATCAGAGGGTACTTCTGCAGTTACTCGAAGTTACTTCTGCAGTTAGAAGTTACTTCTGCAGTTACTTGAAGATACTTCTGCAGTTACTTGAAGGTACTTCTGCAATTACTCGAAGGTACTTCTGCAGTTACCCGAAGGTACTTCTGCAGTTACCCGAAGGTACTTCTGCAGTTACTTGAAGGTACTTCTGCAGTTACTTGAAGGTACTTCTACAGTTACCCAAAGGTACTTCTGCAGTTACTTGAAGGTACTTCTGCAGTTACCCGAAGGTACTTCTGCAGTTACCCGAAGGTACTTCTGCAGTTACCCGAAGGTACTTCTGCAGTTACTCGAAGTTACTTCTGCAGTTAGAAGGTACTTCTGCAGTTAGAATTTACTTCTGCAGTTACTTGAAGTTACTTCTGCAGTTACCCGAAGGTACTTCTGCAATTACTCGAAGGTACTTCTGCAGTTACTCGAAGGTACTCCTGCAGTTAGACGTTACTTCTGCAGTTACCCTAAGGTACTTCTGCAATTAGAAGGTACTTCTGTAGTGACTCGAAGGTACTTCTGCAGTTAGAAGTTACTTCTGCAGTTACTTGAAGTTACTTCTGCAGTTACTCGAAGGTACTTCTGCAATTACTCGAAGGTACTTCTGTAGTTACTCGAAGGTACTTCTGTAGTTACCCGAAGTTACTTCTGCAGTACTTCTAAGGTCCGGCCGTCCTGCTTTAAGTTACTTTTGAATAATTCTTTAAAAATATAATATTTGGAAAGTAGAAGTCGCAGCGCTCCATTCTTTCATGCTTTATTTTCTTTACCCCCCCCCCCCCCCCCCCAGTAACCCTGGTGGTGCAGTGGACGGAGGTGACCCAGCTGGAGAAGAACGCCACCCTGTTGTTTCCGGAGAGCGTTCGTGTCAGCACACGTGACACCGAACATTTCTTCTCCATGTTCCTCAACATCAACGACACCTTCAAGCTGATGGAGCAGCTTGCCAACATCGCCATGCGGCAGATTCTGGACAACGAGGCGTTTGCTGCCGACCGCTCGCTACCCAAACCCTGCAAGACCCTGAAGAACGTCTCTGCGCTCAAGAGGTCTCACTCTGTCCAAAGTCTATGCACCTGAACCCAGAGATCCTGTTTCAGACGGTTTAAATGTTCGATACCACGGGGCTTTCAGTACATGCATGTACACCACATAACAAACATGTATAGAAATACACACAGACAAAACCAAAGCAGTGATGCTGTTGATGATGCAGCTTCATATTGTGCACCTGAACTAACTCTGTCGTTGACCTTTGACCTAATCAGCTGTTTACCATCTGTGGTGTTGCTGCAGGGATTTGGATGCGCGGGCGAAGAATGAACGGTACAGGACGATGTTCCGGCTGACCCAGGACGAGCGTCTGGACGGACACACGGACTGCACGCTGTGGACGCCGTTCGCTAAGATGCACGTGGTTGGACAGCTGTTCATCTCCAATAACTACATCTGTTTTAACAGCAGAGAAGAAGACCTGTGTCAGCTCATCATCCCACTCAGAGAGGTATGAAGCCAGGTCAGAACCCCCCCTTCAAGCTTTGCTTCGGAGCCGTCAGTTAAACATGTCGTCAGAGCAGAACCAACATGTGAAACATCTCTAAACATCAGAGCGTCTGTAGAAGTCAGATTACAGAAACCCAGTCAGTCCCTCCCAGGTGTCTTATTGGCTTATATATGAACCTGGACTGTGTGAGACCTTTAGGATCTGTGGAAGAACATAGATCATTATTAACATTAGATCCTGACTCAGAGATTTAAATAATGAATGAAGTCATGTTGCTGTGCCTCGTGGGTAAATGTGCACAGCGTCATTAAGTCCTGCAGGAAAGTGAGTGAGTAGATCTTGAGACACCATGTTTCTGTCAATGTCATTGATAGATTTCATGAACTGAGGGTTTTCACTCTTCAGCACAGAGCTGGAGGAGACCCTGAATATTCCCGCTGCCTACATGAAATAAAAACTATTTAAATTAACACTTGAGACAAACCAATGAGAAATGCCATGAAGTTTGTTTTTGTAGTCTACTTTTAAATTGTAGGTACTCTCCAACAATACTGCAAAGTGACAGAGCTACTGGTGTGTAGTTCAGGGGGGGCTGGGAGAATGGAGTGTTCCCAGTAAATCCACAAAGCCTGAGTAACCGGCCTGATGTTGTACTGCACAGTCCTGACTCGGGTATGGGAGGCAGACGTGCTAACAAGGAGGCTAAAACCCATGTGGGCTAGCGTCTGTCGCCAGCACGTCTTGGGGAGGTTTCCTCACTGCACAGCCGAGCAAACTAACGAAAACCTGGTCAGCTCTGCCTGTTCAGAAAAGTTTTAAATTGCGTCAGTCTTCAAAGCAACAAAGGAGTGAGTCTAATCAACAACATATAAAAACCTCACCGGTATATTCTTTAGTGAAAAGATCATTTAAACATTTGGGTCGTCCACCCTGAAACCCCGACAGACCCTCCATGTTTTAAAATCTGCTTGTGCAGCTAAACAAGATGAGACACGGTAAACCAAGTGAACAGATTGTATATCTTATTGTGCTCATTACAGCACTTTTTACCCATCATGCTCTGCTCCTCAGGTGTCCATCGTGGAGAAGGCGGACAGCAGCAGCGTCCTACCATGTCCCGTCTCCATCAGCACAAAGAACAAGATGAACTTCCTGTTTGCCAACCTGAAAGACAGAGACTTCCTGGTCCAACGCATCTCTGACTTCTTGCAGCGAACGCCCGACAGCTCATGGGGCGACACCAGCCCGCTGTCTCTGATAGGTCACTCGGTGCGTCACTCATGTAGAGGTCCTGATCTGCTACGACCAAAATCATTCATGAAAAACAGCATCTGAAAGTTAGCAGTTAAACTGCTGCCATGTGTCTGAGCAGCAGATTATATTCCTCAGTGCTGAGTGTCGGCAGGCTCCAGGAAGAAGAACCCTCACAGGGACCTAGTTTCACTTGTATTATTGTGATGTGTGTTTCATGTCCTCAGGGGTCCTCCGGAACCCCCTCGTCCTCGACTGCAGAGTCCGTCCAAAGGGGGCGTCATTACCACACCGGTCTGCCCACAGCCAGCCAGGGTCTGCTGCAGCTCTACCACCGAGATGCACCGGAGGACCTTGGACCCAAGGCCGTGAGTTCAAGTCCACACTCCTTTTTAGATGCTAAGTTGGATAAGTACTGTTAGATATAATGGAGTACAGGTACTGACTGAAACACTCCAGTGCACCAGGCACCCAATGGCATGAGTCCTAACACAACACAGCTGGGTCTGACAAGGACCAGCACAAATAAGTTCAACAACTAGTACTGTGTACAGACACTGAGGAGAACTGGTACCATTACTGATGAGTACCAGTACTGTTAGATACTGAGGAGTACCGTTAGATACTGAGGAGTTGCAGCAGACACTGATTGGTAAGTCATTTTACAAGACTGATGTGTTGGTCTTTCATAGACTATATGGAAAGGGTTCTCTCATAGCCTGTATATAAAAAGAGTTCTCTCATAGAATGTATATAAAAAGAGTTCTCTCATAGAATGTATATAAAAAGGGTTCATAGACTGTATATAAAAAGGGTTCTCTCATAGACTGTATATAAAAAGAGTTCTCTCATAGAATGTATATAAAAAGAGTTCTCTCATAGCCTGTATATAAAAAGAGTTCTCTCATAGACTGTATATAAAAAGGGTTCTCTCATAGAATGTATATAAAAAGGGTTCATAGACTGTATATAAAAAGGGTTCTCTCATAGAATGTATATAAAAAGAGTTCTCTCATAGACTGTATATAAAAAGAGTTCTCTCATAGCCTGTATATAAAAAGAGTTCTCTCATAGACTGTATATAAAAAGGGTTCATAGACTGTATATAAAAAGAGTTCTCTCATAGCCTGTATATAAAAAGGGTTCTCTCATAGCCTGTATATAAAAAGAGTTCTCTCATAGACTATATATAAAAAGGGTTCATAGACTGTATATAAAAAGGGTTCTCTCATAGAATGTATATAAAAAGAGTTCTCTCATAGCCTGTATATAAAAAGGGTTCTCTCATAGACTGTATATAAAAAGGGTTCATAGACTGTATATAAAAAGGGTTCTCTCATAGACTGTATATAAAAAGAGTTCTCTCATAGCCTGTATATAAAAAGAGTTCTCTCATAGACTGTATATAAAAAGGGTTCTCTCATAGAATGTATATAAAAAGGGTTCATAGACTGTATATAAAAAGGGTTCTCTCATAGAATGTATATAAAAAGAGTTCTCTCATAGACTGTATATAAAAGAGTTCTCTCATAGCCTGTATATAAAAAGAGTTCTCTCATAGACTGTATATAAAAAGGGTTCATAGACTGTATATAAAAAGAGTTCTCTCATAGCCTGTATATAAAAAGGGTTCTCTCATAGCCTGTATATAAAAAGAGTTCTCTCATAGACTATATATAAAAAGGGTTCATAGACTGTATATAAAAAGGGTTCTCTCATAGAATGTATATAAAAAGAGTTCTCTCATAGCCTGTATATAAAAAGGGTTCTCTCATAGACTGTATATAAAAAGGGTTCATAGACTGTATATAAAAAAGTTCTCTCATAGACTATATATAAAAAGGGTTCTCTCATGGACTGTATATAAAAAGGGTTCTCTCATAGAATGTATATAAAAAGAGTTCTCTCATAGCCTGTATATAAAAAGGGTTCATGGACTGTATATAAAAAGGGTTCATGGACTGTATATAAAAAGGGTTCTCTCATAGAATGTATATAAAAAGAGTTCTCTCATAGCCTGTATATAAAAAGGGTTCATGGACCGTATATAAAAAGGGTTCTCTCATAGACTATATATAAAAAGGGTTCATAGACTGTATATAAAAAAGTTCTCTCATAGACTATATATAAAAAGGGTTCTCTCATGGAATGTATATAAAAAGAGTTCTCTCATAGACTGTATATAAAAAGGGTTCTCTCATGGAATGTATATAAAAAGAGTTCTCTCATAGACTATATATAAAAAAGGTTCTCTCATGGACTGTATATAAAAAGGGTACTCTCATGGACTGTATATAAAAAGGGTTCTCTCATGGACTGTATATAAAAAGGGTTCATAGACTGTATATAAAAAGGGTTCTCTCATGGACTGTATATAAAAAGGGTTCTCTCATGGACTATATATATAAAGGGTTCATAGACTGTATATAAAAAGGGTTCTCTCATAGACTATATATAAAAAGGGTTCTCTCATGGACTGTATATAAAAAGGGTTCTCTCATAGACTATATATAAAAAGGGTTCTCTCATAGACTATATATATAAAGGGTTCATAGACTGTATATAAAAAGGGTTCTCTCATAGACTATATATAAAAAGGGTTCTCTCATAGACTATATATGAAAAGGGTTCATGGACTGTATATAAAAAGGGTTCTCTCATAGACTATATATAAAGGGTTCATAGACTGTATATAAAAAGGGTTCTCTCATAGACTATATATATAAAGGGTTCATAGACTGTATATAAAAAGGGTTCTCTCATAGACTATATATAAAAGGGTTCTCTCATAGACTATATATGAAAAGGGTTCATGGACTGTATATAAAAAGGGTTCTCTCATAGACTATATATAAAGGGTTCATAGACTGTATATAAAAAGGGTTCTCTCATAGACTATATATAAAGGGTTCATAGACTGTATATAAAAAGGGTTCTCTCATAGACTGTATATAAAAAGGGTTCTCTCATAGACTATATAAAAAGGGTTCTCTCATGGACTATATATAAAGGGTTCATAGACTGTATATAAAAAGGGTTCTCTCATAGACTATATATAAAAAGGGTTCTCTCATGGACTATATATAAAGGGTTCTCTCATAGACTATATATAAAAAGGGTTCTCTCATGGACTATATATAAAGGGTTCATAGACTATATATAAAAAGGGTTCATAGACTGTATATAAAAAAAGTTCTCTCATAGACTATATATAAAAGGGTTCTCTCATGGACTGTATATAAAAAGGGTTCTCTCATAGAATGTATATAAAAAGAGTTCTCTCATAGCCTGTATATAAAAAGAGTTCTCTCATAGCCTGTATATAAAAAGGGTTCTCTCATAGACTATATATAAAAAGGGTTCATAGACTGTATATAAAAAAAGTTCTCTCATAGACTATATATAAAAAGGGTTCTCTCATGGACTGTATATAAAAAGGGTTCTCTCATAGACTATATATAAAAAAGGTTCTCTCATGGACTGTATATAAAAAGGGTACTCTCATGGACTGTATATAAAAAGGGTTCATAGACTGTATATAAAAAGGGTTCTCTCATGGACTATATATAAAAAGGGTTCATAGACTGTATATAAAAAGGGTTCTCTCATAGACTATATATAAAAAGGGTTCATAGACTGTATATAAAAAAAGTTCTCTCATAGACTATATATAAAAAGGGTTCTCTCATAGACTATATATAAAAAGGGTTCATAGACTGTATATAAAAAAAGTTCTCTCATAGACTGTATATAAAAAGGGTTCTCTCATGGACTGTATATAAAAAGGGTTCTCTCATAGACTATATATAAAAAAGGTTCTCTCATGGACTGTATATAAAAAGGGTACTCTCATGGACTGTATATAAAAAGGGTTCATAGACTGTATATAAAAAGGGTTCTCTCATGGACTATATATAAAAAGGGTTCATAGACTGTATATAAAAAGGGTTCTCTCATGGACTGTATATAAAAAGGGTTCTCTCATGGACTATATATAAAAAGGGTTCATAGACTGTATAAAAAGGGTTCTCTCATGGACTATATATAAAAAGGGTTCATAGACTGTATATAAAAAGGGTTCTCTCATGGACTGTATATAAAAAGGGTTCTCTCATGGACTGTATATAAAAAGGGTTCTCTCATAGACTATATATAAAGGGTTCATAGACTGTATATAAAAAGGGTTCTCTCATGGACTGTATATAAAAAGGGTTCTCTCATGGACTGTATATAAAAAGGGTTCATAGACTGTATATAAAAAGGGTTCTCTCATAGACTGTATATAAAAAGGGTTCTCTCATAGACTATATATATAAAGGGTTCATAGACTGTATATAAAAAGGGTTCTCTCATAGACTATATATAAAAAGGGTTCTCTCATAGACTATATATATAAAGGGTTCATAGACTGTATATAAAAAGGGTTCTCTCATAGACTATATATAAAAAGGGTTCTCTCATAGACTATATATGAAAAGGGTTCATGGACTGTATATAAAAAGGGTTCTCTCATAGACTATATATATAAAGGGTTCATAGACTGTATATAAAAAGGGTTCTCTCATAGACTATATATATAAAGGGTTCATAGACTGTATATAAAAAGGGTTCTCTCATAGACTATATATAAAAAGGGTTCTCTCATAGACTATATATAAAAAGGGTTCTCTCATAGACTATATATGAAAAGGGTTCATGGACTGTATATAAAAAGGGTTCTCTCATAGACTATATATATAAAGGGTTCATAGACTGTATATAAAAAGGGTTCTCTCATAGACTATATATAAAGGGTTCATAGACTGTATATAAAAAGGGTTCTCTCATAGACTGTATATAAAAAGGGTTCTCTCATAGACTATATATAAAAAGGGTTCTCTCATGGACTATATATATAAAGGGTTCATAGACTGTATATAAAAAGGGTTCTCTCATAGACTATATATAAAAAGGGTTCTCTCATGGACTATATATATAAAGGGTTCTCTCATAGACTATATAAAAAGGGTTCTCTCATGGACTATATATATAAAGGGTTCATAGACTATATATAAAAGGGTTCATAGACTGTATATAAAAAAAGTTCTCTCATAGACTATATATAAAAAGGGTTCTCTCATGGACTGTATATAAAAAGGGTTCTCTCATAGAATGTATATAAAAAGAGTTCTCTCATAGCCTGTATATAAAAAGAGTTCTCTCATAGCCTGTATATAAAAAGGGTTCTCTCATAGACTATATATAAAAAGGGTTCATAGACTGTATATAAAAAAAGTTCTCTCATAGACTATATATAAAAAGGGTTCTCTCATGGACTGTATATAAAAAGGGTTCTCTCATAGACTATATATAAAAAAGGTTCTCTCATGGACTGTATATAAAAAGGGTACTCTCATGGACTGTATATAAAAAGGGTTCATAGACTGTATATAAAAAGGGTTCTCTCATGGACTATATATAAAAAGGGTTCATGGACTGTATATAAAAAGGGTTCTCTCATAGACTATATATAAAAAGGGTTCATAGACTGTATATAAAAAAGTTCTCTCATAGACTATATATAAAAAGGGTTCTCTCATGGACTGTATATAAAAAGGGTTCTCTCATAGACTATATATAAAAAAGGTTCTCTCATGGACTGTATATAAAAAGGGTACTCTCATGGACTGTATATAAAAAGGGTTCATAGACTGTATATAAAAAGGGTTCTCTCATGGACTATATATAAAAAGGGTTCATAGACTGTATATAAAAAGGGTTCTCTCATGGACTGTATATAAAAAGGGTTCATAGACTGTATATAAAAAGGGTTCTCTCATGGACTATATATAAAAAGGGTTCATAGACTGTATATAAAAAGGGTTTTCTCATGGACTGTATATAAAAAGGGTTCTCTCATAGACTGTATATAAAAAGGGTTCTCTCATAGACTATATAAAGGGTTCATAGACTGTATATAAAAAGGGTTCTCTCATGGACTGTATATAAAAAGGGTTCATAGACTGTATATAAAAAGGGTTCTCTCATGGACTGTATATAAAAAGGGTTCTCTCATAGACTGTATATAAAAAGGGTTCTCTCATAGACTATATATAAAGGGTTCATAGACTGTATATAAAAAGGGTTCTCTCATGGACTGTATATAAAAAGGGTTCTCTCATAGACTATATATAAAGGGTTCATAGACTGTATATAAAAAGGGTTCTCTCATAGACTATATAAAAAGGGTTCTCTCATGGACTGTATATAAAAAGGGTTCTCTCATAGACTATATATAAAAAGGGTTCTCTCATAGACTATATATATAAAGGGTTCATAGACTGTATATAAAAAGGGTTCTCTCATAGACTATATATAAAAAGGGTTCTCTCATAGACTATATATGAAAAGGGTTCATGGACTGTATATAAAAAGGGTTCTCTCATAGACTATATATAAAGGGTTCTCTCATGGACTATATATATAAAGGGTTCTCTCATAGACTATATATAAAAAGGGTTCTCTCATGGACTATATATATAAAGGGTTCATAGACTATATAAAAAGGGTTCATAGACTGTATATAAAAAAAGTTCTCTCATAGACTATATATAAAAAGGGTTCTCTCATGGACTGTATATAAAAAGGGTTCTCTCATAGAATGTATATAAAAAGAGTTCTCTCATAGCCTGTATATAAAAAGAGTTCTCTCATAGCCTGTATATAAAAAAGCTTCTCTCATAGCCTGTATATAAAAAGGGTTCATAGACTGTATATAAAAAAGTTCTCTCATAGACTATATATAAAAAGGGTTCTCTCATGGACTGTATATAAAAGGGTTCTCTCATAGACTATATAAAAAAGGTTCTCTCATGGACTGTATATAAAAAGGGTACTCTCATGGACTGTATATAAAAAGGGTTCATAGACTGTATATAAAAAGGGTTCTCTCATGGACTATATATAAAAAGGGTTCATGGACTGTATATAAAAAGGGTTCTCTCATAGACTATATATAAAAGGGTTCATAGACTGTATATAAAAAAGTTCTCTCATAGACTATATAAAAAGGGTTCTCTCATGGACTGTATATAAAAAGGGTTCTCTCATAGACTATATATAAAAGGTTCTCTCATGGACTGTATATAAAAAGGGTACTCTCATGGACTGTATATAAAAAGGGTTCATAGACTGTATATAAAAGGGTTCTCTCATGGACTATATATAAAAAGGGTTCATAGACTGTATATAAAAAGGGTTCTCTCATGGACTGTATATAAAAAGGGTTCATAGACTGTATATAAAAAGGGTTCTCTCATGGACTATATATAAAAAGGGTTCATAGACTGTATATAAAAAGGGTTCTCTCATGGACTATATATAAAAAGGGTTCATAGACTGTATATAAAAAGGGTTCTCTCATGGACTGTATATAAAAAGGGTTCTCTCATAGACTATATATAAAGGGTTCATAGACTGTATATAAAAAGGGTTCTCTCATGGACTGTATATAAAAAGGGTTCATAGACTGTATATAAAAAGGGTTCTCTCATGGACTGTATATAAAAAGGGTTCTCTCATAGACTATATATATAAAGGGTTCATAGACTGTATATAAAAAGGGTTCTCTCATGGACTGTATATAAAAAGGGTTCTCTCATAGACTATATATATAAAGGGTTCATAGACTGTATATAAAAAGGGTTCTCTCATAGACTATATATAAAAAGGGTTCTCTCATGGACTGTATATAAAAAGGGTTCTCTCATAGACTATATATAAAAAGGGTTCTCTCATAGACTATATATATAAAGGGTTCATAGACTGTATATAAAAAGGGTTCTCTCATAGACTATATATAAAAAGGGTTCTCTCATAGACTATATATGAAAAGGGTTCATGGACTGTATATAAAAAGGGTTCTCTCATAGACTATATATAAAGGGTTCATAGACTGTATATAAAAAGGGTTCTCTCATAGACTATATATAAAGGGTTCATAGACTGTATATAAAAAGGGTTCTCTCATAGACTATATATAAAAAGGGTTCTCTCATAGACTATATATAAAAAGGGTTCTCTCATGGACTATATAAAGGGTTCATAGACTGTATATAAAAAGGGTTCTCTCATAGACTATATATAAAAAGGGTTCTCTCATGGACTATATATAAAGGGTTCATAGACTGTATATAAAAAGGGTTCTCTCATAGACTATATATAAAAAGGGTTCTCTCATAGACTATATATAAAGGGTTCATAGACTGTATATAAAAAGGATTCTCTCATAGACTATATATAAAAAGGGTTCTCTCATAGACTATATATGAAAAGGGTTCATGGACTGTATATAAAAAGGGTTCTCTCATAGACTATATATAAAAAGGGTTCTCTCATAGACTATATATGAAAAGGGTTCATGGACTGTATATAAAAAGGATTCTCTCATAGACTATATATAAAAAGGGTTCTCTCATAGACTATATATGAAAAGGGTTCATGGACTGTATATACAAAGGGTTCTCTGTGGATCTAAACTTGCTTGATCCAGTGTTTCTTAGTTTGAAGACCGTAGACTGGGGCTGACTAACAAGTTCATGTGTTAGAGATGAAGCTCCAGTTCAGTGTTCCTGTGTCAGAAGTAATCTTCCCTGTCCTCCTTCACCTCCTCCCTCCTGCAGATGAAGGAGAAGATGAAGGAGGAAGCCTGGAACATCCATTTCTCCGAGTTTGGTCGAGGTGTCTGCATGTACCGAACCTCCAGAACCAGAGAACTCGTCCTCAACGGGATCCCAGAGCGCCTGAGAGGAGAGCTGTGGCTACTGTTCTCTGGTCAGTGTTGGTTCAGTTCCTCCCTCCCTCCACAGGTAGAATGAACATCATGTATTCACCTGTACACCTTTCCATCCAGGAGCGCAGAACGAGATGGCGACCCACCCTGGTTACTATGGCGACCTGGTGGAGCAGGCCATGGGGTTGTGTTCATTGGCTACCGAGGAGATCGAGCGCGACCTTCACCGCTCCATGCCCGAGCACCGAGCCTTCCAGAACGATATGGGCATCGCCGCACTGCGCCGCGTCCTCACTGCCTATGCCCACCGCAATCCCGGCATCGGATACTGTCAGGTACAAAATAGAACATAATATATATCATCACAGAGTACGGTCTAGACCTGCTCTTTTATGAAAAGCTCTGAGATAACTGTTGTGATTTGGCGGTATATAAATAAAATTGAATTGAAATCTTCTATCCAAGATGGCGCTGAGAGGGGAACACTTTGGATCACTGCTACCCCACAGTCAGCAGTGCCTATCATGCCGTTACACTCGCCCCACTGGGACACTGATCACGTGATGGTCCACCTGATTCCTGCTTACAGACAGAAATTAAAACTCTGTAAACCTGTAGTGAGGACATCAAAGAAGTGGACCAGTGAAGCTGTAGAGCAGGGGTATTCAGTTAGAATCAAAGAGGTCCAGTTAGAGAAAATTTCCCGAAGCAAAGGTCCGGAACATCAAAACGACTACCCTACTATAGTTGTATCAACTTATGTTTTTAGTCAACAACCGACTGTCAAATCAAATAATATCAGTTTTCACATCAAACTGGAGGGATAATAAATAATAACTACTCTAATAATAAATTCTAAATTTAAGTAAACTAAAATAAAGTGCCTAATTTTTAGAAAAAATGAAAATAAAAAGTGTAGCTTGAGTGTGAAGTGAACAGCTGTCATGCCTCCTCTTCTCTTTCATTCCCTCTTACGGAGCTACCACTTTCCTACTTTCTCTTGTTCAGTGAGAAACGTGAGCTCTAGTTTGTCCTGCCAGCTGGCATTGGAGATCTATGAGATATTCTGGTTTTGAACTGCCCGTTGGAGGAACATTCTTGATTAAAAGCCATGTGAAATCTCTTTCAATTCCCTTTCGTCTCATCAATTCGTGTGTTTCCAAAACGTCTCGGACTCGGGCCGCTAAGCCAGTACAGTAAATGCCAGAAAAGCTGCGCAGGTTAAAATAGAAACACTCCGTCACGAAGTAGTAAAAGTCTTAATAATAAATCATCTGTAGGTCGGCGGTCCGGTTCCGGACCGCGGTCCGCCTATTAGTGACCTCTGCTGGAGAGGATCTTCAGGCATGCTTGGACTGCACTGACTGGGATGTTATCAGGACTGCTACCAACAATCTGGATGAGTTTACAGAGGCTGTGACGTCCTACATCAGCTTCTGTGAGGACAGCTGCATTCCAACACGAACCAGGGTGAGTTATAACAATGACAAACCCTGGTTCACAGCTAAGCTCAGACAGCTGAGGTTGGAAAAGGAAGAGGTGTTTAGGAGGGGAGACCGGGCCAGGTTTAAGGAGTCAAAGTACAGGTTTAGCAAGGCGGTGCGAAATGCTAAACAACTACGACACCAGTTCTCAAGGAATGACTCTGCTTCTGTCTGGAGAGGCTTCAGAGAGATCACCAGCTGCACACCTAAATGAACAACTCACACCTTGCCAACGAGCTGAACCAGTTTTACTGTCGCCCTGACCTCTGTGGTCATGAAGTCCTTTGACCGTCTTCTGTTGTCCCACCTTAAATCCATCACAGACCCTCTCCTGGACCCCCTGCAGTTCACCTACAGAGCCAACAGGTCTGTAGATGATGCAGTAAACGTGGCCCTTCACTACATCCTCCAGCACCTGGACTCCCCAGGAACCTACGCCAGGATCCTGTTTGTGGACTTCAGCTCTGCTTTCAACACCATCATCCCGGCCCTGCTGCAGGACAAGCTCTCCCGGCTGAACGTGCCTGACTCCACCTGCAGGTGGATCACAGACTTCCTGACGGACAGGAAGCAGCACGTGAAGCTGGGAAAACATGTCTCTGACTCCAGGACCATCAGCACCGGTTCCCCTCAAGGCTGCGTTCTTTCCCCCCTTCTCTTCTCCCTGTACACCAACAGCTGCACCTCCAGTCACCAGTCTGTCAAGCTCCTGAAGTTTGCGGACAACACCACCCTCATTGGGCTCATGTCTGGTGGGGACAAGTCCGCCTACAGGTGGGAGATCGACCATCTGGTGACCTGGTGCAGCCAGAACAGTCTGGAGCTCAACGCTCTGAAGACAGTGGAGATGGTCGTGGACTTCAGGAAGAGCTGAAGAAGTTCAGCCTGCCAAAGACAATGATGGTGCACTTCTACACCGCCATCATTGAGTCCATCCTCACCTCCTCCATCACCATCTGGTACGCTGCTGCCACCGCCAGGGACAAGGGCAGGCTGCAGCGCATCATTCGCTCTGCAGAGAAGGTGATTGGCTGCAATGTTCCTTCTCACCTGTACGCCTCGAGGACTCTGAAGCGAGCAGGAAAGATTGCAACTGACTCCTCCCACCCCGGACACAAATTGTTTCAGACTGTGGTAGGAGACTGCGGTCCATCAGGACCAAAACCTCTCGCCACAAACAGCTTCTACCCGTCTGCAGCCTCATCAACAAGACCGGGGCCCCCTACTGACACCGCACCCTTTCAAATAATACAATCGTCTTTGCACATGTAAATATCACTTCATGTCATGTCACGCGCAAACCTGGCACCTTGCACATATTTTTTCTTAATTTGTTGTTAATTGTAAATCAGCTGTATGTCTGTCAGCACCTTAACACCAAAGCAAATTCCTTGTATGTGTAAAACCCTACTTGGCAATAAAGCTCCTTCTGATTCTGAATTGAATTGAATATATAAGATAGAAATTCAATAAATACACTGAACAAAATTATAAACGCAACACTTTTGTTGGATGGGTATTCCACCGGTGTGCCTTAAGCCTTGTGCAGACTACACGACTTTCAGCGCCGGCCGATCGCCGTGCTGTTCGCACTACACAACTTGCCGTCTTGTGACAGGAGTCTTAAAGTTGTCAAGAAAACACATGAAATGTGAAACGGGAAATGACGTGAACCTACACATGAAACAGCTGTTGTTTGTTATTATAAATTATATAAAAAAACAAAAGATATGGGTGAAAGAATGGATTAGCACACCTGCAGGTAGCAGGGATCGTCTGTGCTACAGAGAGCTGGAGGGGAGTAAAAAGTGTTTTGAGGTGAAAAAGTAGCTGCTTGCTCTCATTGGCTGGATGGGGATGTCGAGTTGGCCGACTCCTCCAGATATTTGGCGTGCTATATATGTGGCAGATGTCGGCGATGTGTCAGAAATGTGTCGGGGAGCCATTTTGACACGTCGTTGTATAGTTGACACATAACGACTGGCGACCACCGATCGACCGCTGACTTACCCCCAATCACAGGCTGACGGTCGCCAAGCGGCAATTTGGGCAAAAATCGTGTAGTGTGAACTAGGCTTTAGGCTGGCCACAATACAGGGCCACTCCAAAATGTGTAGTTCCATCTGATCTTCTGATCTGAATGCTCGTCGTCCTCATCGGGGTCTCGACCTGACTGCAACTTCGCACAGCCATTGAAGAGGAGTGGACCAACACTCCACAGGCCACAATCAATAAGTCCTTTTATTGTGGCCAGCCTAAGGCCTTTTATTGTGGCCAGCCTAAGGCACGCCTGTGCAGTACCCATGCTGTCTGATTAGCATCTTGATATGCCACACCTGTGAGGTGGATGGATTATCTTGGCAAAGGAGAAGTGCTCACTAAAACAGATTTTGACAGATTAGTGACCAGTATTTGAGAGAAATAGGCCTTTTGTGTACAGAGAGAAAGTCTTAGATCTTTGAGTTCAGCTCATGATGAATGGGGGCAAAAAGAAAAGTGTTGCATATATAATTTTGTTAAATTATTTATATATATATATATATATATATAAATGTCACAATGTTGTGTGTTCATATTAAAGTCTGAAATAATTAGGTAAACAAACAGAAAGCTCAGTCTTCAGGCTGCTCTAAATACTAGCTGTTGGCCTTGTCTACTGTTGTGCCTAGCTGACGTCATCTGCTGATGATCTGGACGTCCATAAGTAAATATACTAATACTGATAACAAAGGATTGATAAAAACTGACACATACTCTCTCCTCCCCTATCAGGCGATGAACATCGTCACCTCCGTCCTGTTGCTCTACTGTCCAGAGGAGGAAGCTTTCTGGCTATTGGTGGCGCTGTGTGAGCGCATGCTGCCTGACTACTACAACACCAGAGTCGTAGGTCAGTAAGGACACCAGAGTCGTAGGTCAGTAAGGACACCAGAGTCAAAGTCAGTAAGGACACCAGAGTCAAAGTCAGTAAGGACACCAGAGTCAAAGTCAGTAAGGACACCAGAGTCAAAAGTCAGCAAGGACACTAGAGTCAACAGTCAGTCAAAGTCAGTAAGGACACCAGAGTCAAAGTCAGTAAGGACACCAGAGTCAAAAGTCAGCAAGGACACTAGAGTCAACAGTCAGTCAAAGTCAGTAAGGACATCAGAGTCAAATTCAGTAAGGACACCAGAGTCAAAAGTCAGCAAGGACACCAGAGTCAAAGTCAGTCAAAGTCAGTAAGGACATCAGAGTCAAATTCAGTAAGGACACCAGAGTCAAAAGTCAGTAAGGACACCAGAGTCAAAAGTCAGCAAGGACACCAGAGTCAAAGTCAGTAAGGACACCAGAGTCAAAGTCAGTCAAAGTCAGTAAGGACACCAGAGTCAAAAGTCAGCAAGGACACTAGAGTCAACAGTCAGTCAAAGTCAGTAAGGACATCAGAGTCAACAGTCGGTCAAAGTCAGTAAGGACACCAGAGTCAAAGTCAGTAAGGACACCAGAGTCAACAGTCAGTCAAAGTCAGTAAGGACACCAGAGTCAACAGTCAGTAAGGACACCAGAGTCAAAGTCAGTCAAAGTCAGTAAGGACACCAGAGTCAAAGTCAGTAAGGACACCAGAGTCAAAGTCAGTAAGGACACCAGAGTCAAAAGTCAGTCAAAGTCAGTAAGGACACCAGAGTCAACAGTCAGTAAGGACACCAGAGTCAAAGTCAGTAAGGACACCAGAGTCAACAGTCAGTAAGGACACCAGAGTCAAAGTCAGTCAAAGTCAGTAAGGACACCAGAGTCAACAGTCAGCAAGGACACCAGAGTCAACAGTCAGTAAGGACACCAGAGTCAAAGTCAGTAAGGACACCAGAGTCAAAAGTCAGCAAGGACACCAGAGTCAAAGTCAGTCAAAGTCAGTAAGGACACCAGAGTCAAAGTCAGTAAGGACACCAGAGTCAAAGTCAGTAAGGACACCAGAGTCAAAAGTCAGTCAAAGTCAGTAAGGACACCAGAGTCAACAGTCAGTAAGGACACCAGAGTCAAAGTCAGTCAAAGTCAGTAAGGACACCAGAGTCAAAGTCAGTCAAAGTCAGTAAGGACACCAGAGTCAACAGTCAGCAAGGACACCAGAGTCAAAGTCAGTCAAAGTCAGTAAGGACACCAGAGTCAACAGTCAGCAAGGACACCAGAGTCAAAAGTCAGTAAGGACACCAGAGTCAAAGTCAGTAAGGACACCAGAGTCAAAAGTCAGTAAGGACACCAGAGTCAAAAGTCAGCAAGGACACTAGAGTCAACAGTCAGTCAAAGTCAGTAAGGACACCAGAGTCAAAAGTCAGTAAGGACACCAGAGTCAAAAGTCAGTAAGGACACCAGAGTCAAAGTCAGTAAGGACACCAGAGTCAAAAGTCAGCAAGGACACCAGAGTCAAAGTCAGTAAGGACATCAGAGTCAAATTCAGTAAGGACACCAGAGTCAAAAGTCAGCAAGGACACCAGAGTCAAAGTCAGTAAGGACACCAGAGTCAAAAGTCAGTAAGGACACCAGAGTCAAAGTCAGTCAAAGTCAGTAAGGACACCAGAGTCAAAGTCAGTAAGGACACCAGAGTCAAAGTCAGTCAAAGTCAGTAAGGACACCAGAGTCAAAGTCAGTAAGGACACCAGAGTCAAAGTCAGTAAGGACACCAGAGTCAAAAGTCAGCAAGGACACCAGAGTCAAAAGTCAGTAAGGACACCAGAGTCAAAGTCAGTCAAAGTCAGTAAGGACACCAGAGTCAAAGTCAGTAAGGACACCAGAGTCAAAGTCAGTCAAAGTCAGTAAGGACACCAGAGTCAAAGTCAGTAAGGACACCAGAGTCAAAGTCAGTAAGGACACCAGAGTCAACAGTCAGTCAAAGTCAGTAAGGACACCAGAGTCAAAGTCAGTAAGGACACCAGAGTCAAAAGTCAGCAAGGACACGAGTCAACAGTCAGTCAAAGCCAGTAAGGACATCAGAGTCAACAGTCAGTCAAAGTCAGTAAGGACACCAGAGTCAAAAGTCAGCAAGGACACCAGAGTCAAAGTCAGTAAGGACACCAGAGTCAACAGTCAGTCAAAGTCAGTAAGGACACCAGAGTCAAAGTCAGCAAGGACACTAGAGTCAACAGTCAGTCAAAGTCAGTAAGGACACCAGAGTCAAAAGTCAGCAAGGACACCAGAGTCAACAGTCAGTCAAAGTCAGTAAGGACACCAGAGTCAAAAGTCAGTAAGGACACCAGAGTCAAAGTCAGTAAGGACACCAGAGTCAACAGTCAGTCAAAGTCAGTAAGGACACCAGAGTCAAAGTCAGTAAGGACACCAGAGTCAAATTCAGTAAGGACACCAGAGTCAAAAGTCAGCAAGGACACTAGAGTCAACAGTCAGTCAAAGTCAGTAAGGACACCAGAGTCAAAAGTCAGCAAGGACACCAGAGTCAACAGTCAGTCAAAGTCAGTAAGGACACCAGAGTCAAAAGTCAGCAAGGACACCAGAGTCAACAGTCAGTCAAAGTCAGTAAGGACACCAGAGTCAAAAGTCAGCAAGGACACCAGAGTCAAAGTCAGTAAGGACACCAGAGTCAACAGTCAGTCAAAGTCAGTAAGGACACCAGAGTCAACAGTCAGTAAGGACACCAGAGTCAAAGTCAGTCAAAGTCAGTAAGGACACCAGAGTCAAAAGTCAGTAAGGACACCAGAGTCAACAGTCAGTCAAAGTCAGTAAGGACACCAGAGTCAACAGTCAGTAAGGACACCAGAGTCAAAGTCAGTCAAAGTCAGTAAGGACACCAGAGTCAAAGTCAGTAAGGACACCAGAGTCAAAAGTCAGTCAAAGTCAGTAAGGACACCAGAGTCAACAGTCAGTAAGGACACCAGAGTCAAAGTCAGTCAAAGTCAGTAAGGACACCAGTCAGCAAGGACACCAGAGTCAACAGTCAGCAAGGACACTAGAGTCAACAGTCAGTCAAAGTCAGTAAGGACATCAGAGTCAACAGTCAGTCAAAGTCAGTAAGGACACCAGAGTCAAAAGTCAGCAAGGACACCAGAGTCAAAGTCAGTAAGGACACCAGAGTCAACAGTCAGTCAAAGTCAGTAAGGACACCACAGTCAAAAGTCAGTAAGGACACCAGAGTCAAAGTCAGTAAGGACACCAGAGTCAACAGTCAGTAAGGACACCAGAGTCAACAGTCAGTAAGGACACCAGAGTCAAAGTCAGTCAAAGTCAGTAAGGACACCAGAGTCAAAGTCAGTCAAAGTCAGTAAGGACACCAGAGTCAACAGTCAGTAAGGACACCAGAGTCAAAGTCAGTAAGGACACCAGAGTCAAAGTCAGTAAGGACAACACAGTCAAAAGTCAGTCAAAGTCAGTAAGGACACCAGAGTCAAAGTCAGTAAGGACACCAGAGTCAACGTCAGTAAGGACAACACAGTCAAAAGTCAGTCAAAGTCAGTAAGGACACCAGAGTCAACAGTCAGTAAGGACACCAGAGTCAAAGTCAGTAAGGACACCAGAGTCAAAGTCAGTAAGGACAACACAGTCAAAAGTCAGTCAAAGTCAGTAAGGACACCAGAGTCAACAGTCAGTAAGGACACCAGAGTCAAAGTCAGTCAAAGTCAGTAAGGACACCAGAGTCAAAGTCAGTAAGGACACCAGAGTCAAAGTCAGTCAAAGTCAGTAAGGACACCAGAGTCAAAGTCAGTAAGGACACCAGAGTCAAAGTCAGTCAAAGTCAGTCAAAGTCAGTCAAAGTCAGTAAAAGGCGACAGTGGAGCCTTGTTTCTCCTGATTTCCACCACCTCACAGGCGGTTTCTTTTATCGGTCTGTCTTGACCCTTAAAACGTTATACTGAGATTTTTGGTGAGGTGCAGGACAGGGGCTTCTGTCCCAGTCTGATCAGTGATTTCTGTCCCTGCAGGTGCTCTGGTGGATCAGGGGGTCTTTGAGGAGCTGACCCGGGCCTTCCTGCCTCTGCTGTATGAACACATGCAGGAGCTGGGAGTCATCTCCACAATCAGCCTGTCCTGGTTTCTCACACTCTTCCTGTCAGTGATGCCATTTGACAGTGCCGTCTTATTGGTCGACTGCTTCTTCTATGAAGGCATCAAGGTCATCTTCCAGGTGAGAGACACTGAACCTTACAGACTGTTACCTGTCTGTTTGCCGATCAGCACTGAGTGTTGATGGGAAATGTGATTTAATATTACTGTACAGTTAATATAGTTATATCTGTACAGTTAGTGTGTCGGTGTCTGTACAGGTGTGTTATAAAGTGTCAGGGGACATCAGACAGCACAGTCAGCAGTCTTCACCTCTGACCTCTGACCTCTGCAGGTGGCACTGGCTGTGCTCCACGACAACATGGACGTCCTGCTGTCCTGCAGCGACGAGGGGGAAGCCATGACCATCCTGGCCAGGTGGGAGTCCAGACTGGAGTCCAGACTGGAGTCTGAATCAGTGGAAGATAAATACATTTTTAAATGTGCTGTTCAGCGCTCTGTAAATAGAAACACTAATAAAATGTGTGTGTGCAGGTACCTGGATAATGTTGTGAATAAACAGACGGTGGCTCCACCCATCCCTCACCTGCACGCCCTGCTGACGAGTGGAGACGATCCCCCGCCTGAGATCGACATCTTTGACCTCATCAAGTCGTCCTATGAGGTCAGACTGACTCAGTGACACGTCAGCAGCGCCTCGGTCTGACGCCCGAAGCTGCTGCAGCGCCTCGGTCTGATTCCTGGATCTGTTTTTGAAGTAATCTCTGTTTCTTCTTCTCTGAGCAGAAGTTCGGCAGCTTGCGCTCTGATGTCATCGAGCAGATGAGGTTCAAGCAGAGGTTAAAGGTCATCCAGTGTCTGGAGGACACGGCCAAGAGGAGCGTGGTGGGTAACGTTAGCATGCTGCAGGGTCATTCTAACATGCAGACAAAGTGTTAACAGGTGTGTGTGTGTGTGTGTGTGTGTGTGTGTTTGCAGGTGAGAGCAATGATGACGGAGTCCGCCTTCAGTATCGAGGAGCTGGAGGAGCTTTACTGTCTCTTTAAGGTCAGAACTAACAGGAGGTTTTATTAACTGTGTTAAACTTTAACCATTCATCCATTATCTTCCTCTTATCCGGGGTCCAGTCGCGCTGGCGGCAGGCTAATTCCCACCAAGAGCAACACTAGGCGACAGAGGCAAGGTAAAACTTCCTTTAAGAGGCAGAACCATGGCTCAGGGTGGGCGGCCATCTGCCTCGACCGGTTGGGGTGAAGGAGAGAGGGATGGAAGGAGAGAGAGGGGAGGGAGGCAGCCTACACAATATCCACACAGAGGTACAGACAGTAAAGATGATGTTGCTATAGACTAAATGAAAAATGGTACAGATATTTATAATAGTGTTAATGATAATAATCGTAATGTTAATGATTATAATAACAATAATAATAATAGGACCAGTAACAGTAGTTGTTGTAGCAGAGGGTGTCGAGCAGGAACACGGGGGCAGCAGGTGACCCGCAACCACAGATCCAGACTCCACAGCTCCAGAGCCAGAAACACCTGCAGGAAGTGATAGGAGGAGAGAGGAGAGGGACGAGAAAGCACAAGACTACCGGAAAGGGGAGAAGTTGTTTTAGTAACATGCAATAATGGGATAAGGTATACAGAGGGAGAGAAAGTAGAGGAGAGAGGAGCTCAGTGCATCATGGGAAATCCCCCGGCAGTCTAGGCCTATAGCAGCATAACTAAGGGATGGTTCAGGACTCACCTGAGCCAGCCCTAACTATAAGCTTTATCAAAGAGGAAAGTCTTAAGCCTGCTCTTAAATGTGGAGATGGTGTCTGCCTCCTGAACCCAAACTGGAACCTGGTTCCACAGGAGAGGAGCTTGATAGCTGAACGCTCTGGCTCCTAGTCTACTTTTGGAGACTCTAGGAACCACAAGTAACCCTGCATTCTGGGAGCGCAGTGCTCTGGTGGGGTAGTAAGGTACTATGAGCTCTTTAAGATAAGATGGTGCCTGACCATTAAGAGCTTTGTAGGTAAGAAGAATGATTTTAAATTCTATTCTGGATTTTACTGGAAGCCAATGCAGAGAAGACGATATGAGATTATATAATAGTGTAAGATCGCTGTACTCTCACCCCCCCCCCCCAGTCCAAACACATGACGAGCTGTTACTGGGGCTCCAGCAGCTCTGCGGCCGAGCGTCACGATCCCAGCCTGCCGTACCTGGAGCAGTACCGCATCGACCCGGCTCAGTTCACCCAGCTGTTCACCGCACTCGCTCCCTGGGTCTGTGGAGGCCACACCCACACACTGTCGGCCCGCCTCTTCAGACTCCTGGACCAGAACCAGGACGGACTGGTCAACTTCAAAGAGTTCATCACTGGACTCAGTAAGTCCAGACACCAGAGGGTTTAACTGTTTCTGATCAGTGTTTCATGCCTCATTTCCGCTGCAGGGTACCAAAGGTCTGTTCCTGTAGATCTCCTTTCCAGTCGTCCGAGCACTCAAAGCTCTTTACACTGCATCAGCAGTGGAAAATAAAAAGTAGTGGTACCACTAGTGAGTCGGGTCAGACAGTACATGCAGAGGGAATGAGGCTTTAGTCTCCTCAGAGGAGGAACGTCTGCACATATTTTCAGTCTTTGTTGTATCACAGTTGATGCTCGGTGTTGGTTTGTGTGTTTGCAGGTGGGATGTATCATGGAGACATGACAGAGAAACTCAAACTGCTGTACAAGCTCCACCTCCCACCAGGTAACAGTTCACCAGAGGCCATCAGGCTCAGCGGTCACATGACGTTGGTTATCACCTCAATCCAGCCACGAGCGCGTTCATATCAACGATGACCAGTCACGAACATGGACAGTCTGCTGGCAACAGAGCGGCAGAACTGTAATCTGAGACAGACAGGAAGCAGGTGAACACCTGATCCAGCTGCAGCAGGAAGTCACAAACTCTCCAGCTGTGTGAAAGCTGATAACATCAGGAGCTCTGACTGTGATCATGAGTGTGTTTTGTTAAATCAGCGTGTTGTTAGTAGGGCCGGCCCGATGGCATCTTTAGAACTTCCATAGTAATGAACAGGAAATAATCAAAGCTTCCTGTAATTTAACTAGCTCGAAATGTTTTTAATTGATAAAAGCAGAACAGCAGCAGAAGGATCAGAGACCTTTTATACTGCTGATCTCTTCAGCATCAGGCACAGTGGCGACCCACCGTTGTCCCTGCAGTGACCTCGGTAACCTCGTGTCCTGTTTCCTGGTGCCTCGGTAACCTCGTGTTCTGCTTCCTGGTTCCTCGGTAACCTCGTGTTCTGCTTCCTGGTGCCTCGGTAACCTTGTGTCCTGCTTCCTGGTGCCTCGGTAACCTTCTGTTCTGCTTCCTGGTGCCTCGGTAACCTCGTGTTCTGCTTCCTGGAGCCTCGGTAACTTCGTGTTCTGCTTCCTGGTTCCTCGGTAACCTCGTGTCCTGCTTCCTGGTGCCTCGGTAACCACGTGTCCTGCTTCCTGGTGCCTCGGTAACCTCGTGCCTCGGTAACCTCGTGTCCTGCTTCCTGGTGCCTCGGTAACCTCGTGCCTCGGTAACCTCGTGTCCTGCTTCCTGGTGCCTCGGTAACCTCGTGTCCTGCTTCCTGGTGCTTCCTGGTGCCTCGGTAACCTTGTGTTCTGCTTCCTGGTGCTTCCTGGTGCCTCGGTAACCTCGTGTTCTGCTTCCTGGAGCCTCGGTAACCTCGTGTCCTGCTTCCTGGAGCCTCGGTAACCTCGTGTCCTGCTTCCTGGTGCCTCGGTAACCTCGTGTTCTGCTTCGTGGTGCCTCGGTAACCTCGTGTCCTGCTTCCTGGTGCCTCGGTAACCTCGTGTCCTGCTTCCTGGTGCCTCGGTAACCTCGTGTCCTGCTTCCTGGTGCCTCGGTAACCTCGTGTCCTGCTTCCTGGTGCTTCCTGGTGCCTCGGTAACCTTGTGTTCTGCTTCCTGGTGCTTCCTGGTGCCTCGGTAACCTCGTGTTCTGCTTCCTGGAGCCTCGGTAACCTCGTGTCCTGCTTCCTGGAGCCTCGGTAACCTTGTGTCCTGCTTCCTGGTGCCTCGGTAACCTTGTGTCCTGCTTCCTGGTGCCTCGGTAACCTCGTGTTCTGCTTCGTGGTGCCTCGGTAACCTCGTGTCCTGCTTCGTGGTGCCTCGGTAACCTCGTGTCCTGCTTCCTGGTGCCTCGGTAACCTCGTGTCCTGCTTCCTGGTGCTTCCTGGTGCCTCGGTAACCTTGTGTTCTGCTTCCTGGTGCTTCCTGGTGCCTCGGTAACCTCGTGTTCTGCTTCCTGGAGCCTCGGTAACCTCGTGTCCTGCTTCCTGGAGCCTCGGTAACCTCGTGTCCTGCTTCCTGGTGCCTCGGTAACCTCGTGTCCTGCTTCCTGGTGCCTCGGTAACCTCGTGTTCTGCTTCGTGGTGCCTCGGTAACCTCGTGTCCTGCTTCCTGGTGCCTCGGTAACCTCGTGTCCTGCTTCCTGGTGCCTCGGTAACCACGTGTCCTGCTTCCTGGTGCCTCGGTAACCTCGTGCCTCGGTAACCTCGTGTCCTGCTTCCTGGTGCCTCGGTAACCTCGTGCCTCGGTAACCTCGTGTCCTGCTTCCTGGTGCCTCGGTAACCTCGTGTCCTGCTTCCTGGTGCTTCCTGGTGCCTCGGTAACCTTGTGTTCTGCTTCCTGGTGCTTCCTGGTGCCTCGGTAACCTCGTGTTCTGCTTCCTGGAGCCTCGGTAACCTCGTGTCCTGCTTCCTGGAGCCTCGGTAACCTCGTGTCCTGCTTCCTGGTGCCTCGGTAACCTCGTGTTCTGCTTCGTGGTGCCTCGGTAACCTCGTGTCCTGCTTCCTGGTGCCTCGGTAACCTCGTGTCCTGCTTCCTGGTGCCTCGGTAACCTCGTGTCCTGCTTCCTGGTGCCTCGGTAACCTCGTGTCCTGCTTCCTGGTGCTTCCTGGTGCCTCGGTAACCTTGTGTTCTGCTTCCTGGTGCTTCCTGGTGCCTCGGTAACCTCGTGTTCTGCTTCCTGGAGCCTCGGTAACCTCGTGTCCTGCTTCCTGGAGCCTCGGTAACCTTGTGTCCTGCTTCCTGGTGCCTCGGTAACCTTGTGTCCTGCTTCCTGGTGCCTCGGTAACCTTGTGTCCTGCTTCCTGGTGCCTCGGTAACCTCGTGTTCTGCTTCGTGGTGCCTCGGTAACCTCGTGTCCTGCTTCCTGGTGCCTCGGTAACCTCGTGTCCTGCTTCCTGGTGCTTCCTGGTGCCTCGGTAACCTTGTGTTCTGCTTCCTGGTGCTTCCTGGTGCCTCGGTAACCTCGTGTTCTGCTTCCTGGAGCCTCGGTAACCTCGTGTCCTGCTTCCTGGAGCCTCGGTAACCTCGTGTCCTGCTTCCTGGTGCCTCGGTAACCTCGTGTCCTGCTTCCTGGTGCCTCGGTAACCTCGTGTTCTGCTTCGTGGTGCCTCGGTAACCTCGTGTCCTGCTTCCTGGTGCCTCGGTAACCTCGTGTCCTGCTTCCTGGTGCCTCGGTAACCTCGTGTCCTGCTTCCTGGTGCCTCGGTAACCATGTGTCCTGCTTCGTGGTGCCTCGGTAACCTCGTGTCCTGCTTCGTGGTGCCTCGGTAACCTCGTGTTCTGCTTCCTGGTGCCTCGGTAACCTCGTGTCCTGCTTCCTGGTGCCTCGGTAACCTCGTGTCCTGCTTCCTGGTGCCTCGGTAACCTCGTGTCCTGCTTCCTGGTGCCTCGGTAACCTCGTGTCCTGCTTCCTGGTGCCTCGGTAACCATGTGTCCTGCTTCCTGGTGCCTCGGTAACCTCGTGTCCTGCTTCGTGGTGCCTCGGTAACCTCGTGTTCTGCTTCCTGGTGCCTCGGTAACCTCGTGTTCTGCTTCCTGGAGCCTCGATAACCTCGTGTCCTGCTTCCTGGTGCTTCCTGGTGCCTCGGTAACCTTCTGTTCTACTTCGTGGTGCCTCGGTAACCTCGTGTCCTGCTTCCTGGTGCTCCCTGGTGCCTCGGTAACCTCGTGTCCTGCTCCCTGGTGCCTCGGTAACCTTCTGTTCTACTTCCTGGTGCCTCGGTAACCTCGTGTTCTGCTTCCTGGTGCTTCCTGGTGCCTCGGTAACCTTCTGTTCTACTTCCTGGTGCCTCGGTAACCTTGTGTTCTACTTCCTGGTGCCTCGGTAACCTCGTGTTCTACTTCCTGGTGCCTCGGTAACCTCGTGTCCTGCTTCCTGGTGCCTCGGTAACCTCGTGTCCTGCTTCCTGGTGCCTCGGTAACCTTGTGTCCTGCTTCCTGGTGCCTCGGTAACCTTGTGTTCTACTTCCTGGTGCCTCGGTAACCTTGTGTTCTGCTTCCTGGTGCTTCCTGGTGCCTCGGTAACCTTGTGTTCTGCTTCCTGGTGCCTCGGTAACCTCGTGTCCTGCTTCCTGGTGCCTCGGTAACCTCGTGTCCTGCTTCCTGGTGCCTCGGTAACCTCGTGTCCTGCTTCCTGGTGCCTCGGTAACCTCGTGTCCTGCTTCCTGGTGCCTTGGTAACCTTCTGTTCTACTTCCTGGTGCCTCGGTAACCTCGTGTCCTGCTTCCTGGTGCCTCGGTAACCTCGTGTCCTGCTTCCTGGTGCCTCGGTAACCATGTGTCCTGCTTCGTGGTGCCTTGGTAACCTCGTGTCCTGCTTCGTGGTGCCTCGGTAACCTCGTGTTCTGCTTCCTGGTGCCTCGGTAACCTCGTGTCCTGCTTCCTGGTGCCTCGGTAACCTCGTGTCCTGCTTCCTGGTGCCTCGGTAACCTCGTGTCCTGCTTCCTGGTGCCTCGGTAACCTCGTGTCCTGCTTCCTGGTGCCTCGGTAACCATGTGTCCTGCTTCCTGGTGCCTCGGTAACCTCGTGTCCTGCTTCGTGGTGCCTCGGTAACCTCGTGTTCTGCTTCCTGGTGCCTCGGTAACCTCGTGTTCTGCTTCCTGGAGCCTCGATAACCTCGTGTCCTGCTTCCTGGTGCTTCCTGGTGCCTCGGTAACCTTCTGTTCTACTTCGTGGTGCCTCGGTAACCTCGTGTCCTGCTTCCTGGTGCTCCCTGGTGCCTCGGTAACCTCGTGTCCTGCTCCCTGGTGCCTCGGTAACCTTCTGTTCTACTTCCTGGTGCCTCGGTAACCTCGTGTTCTGCTTCCTGGTGCTTCCTGGTGCCTCGGTAACCTTCTGTTCTACTTCCTGGTGCCTCGGTAACCTTGTGTTCTACTTCCTGGTGCCTCGGTAACCTCGTGTTCTACTTCCTGGTGCCTCGGTAACCTCGTGTCCTGCTTCCTGGTGCCTCGGTAACCTCGTGTCCTGCTTCCTGGTGCCTCGGTAACCTCGTGTCCTGCTTCCTGGTGCCTCGGTAACCTTGTGTCCTGCTTCCTGGTGCCTCGGTAACCTTGTGTTCTACTTCCTGGTGCCTCGGTAACCTTGTGTTCTGCTTCCTGGTGCTTCCTGGTGCCTCGGTAACCTTGTGTTCTGCTTCCTGGTGCCTCGGTAACCTCGTGTCCTGCTTCCTGGTGCCTCGGTAACCTCGTGTCCTGCTTCCTGGTGCCTCGGTAACCTCGTGTCCTGCTTCCTGGTGCCTCGGTAACCTCGTGTCCTGCTTCCTGGTGCCTTGGTAACCTTCTGTTCTACTTCCTGGTGCCTCGGTAACCTCGTGTCCTGCTTCCTGGTGCCTCGGTAACCTCGTGTCCTGCTTCCTGGTGCCTCGGTAACCTTCTGTTCTACTTCCTGGTGCCTCGGTAACCTCGTTTTCTGCTTCCTGGTGCCTCGGTAACCTTCTGTTCTTCTTCCTGGTGCCTCGGTAACCTTGTGTTCTGCTTCCTGGTGCCTCTTGTGTGTTCCTGAATCTACTGTCCAAACACCAGGTCATACATGGACTCCCAGGATGGTTCAGTCTGTTTGTTTGTTTGTTTGTATTGCAGCTCTGTGTCCTGAGGAGGCGGAGTCAGCTCTGGAGGCAACACACTTCTTCACCGAGGACGTGCCACGAGGTAAACACATGATAGATACTTTAGACATTTATACATTTACTCATGTGGCAGACGCTTTTATCCAAAGTGACTTACATTCGAGGAACAACATACAATCATCAACAGAGCATCAAATACAGACAAACTGACTGAAATACATACTAGTAAGCTCTAATGGCACATATCTCATCAATGGGGTAAATACCATGGGAAGAAGTTAGAGTTAATAAATAAGTGCTATCAATGAAAGATAACTGTAGGGGATAGAAGAAGAAGAAGAACACAGGAAGTGCGTGTTAGGAGTTAGAGGTGTTGTAAGAGGAAGTGTTCTCGGAAAACGACAGACCTACTGCAGTATTTCTACCACCACCAGTACTATTACCACAGTACACCGCTGCTGTCAGAGTTGGTCGTGCTTCAGGACGGGTCAGTTCTGGTTCAGACAACCTGCTGTAACAACAAGTGATGAACAGTTTCACCTTTATTTTCACCATCACTCGTTTCCCAAAGTCACGTCTTCAGACTCTTCAGTCACTGTCAGCAACCAGGTCCAATAACCAGCTGCTTCTGGACTGAAACGATCAATCGCTGATTATCAGAAAATGTATTGATTGATTGAATTAAGTTTTTTTTGATCGACTATGATTAATCGGCTAATTGTTGCAGCTCTGTAAATAAAATATCCTGAAGTTTCAGTTTGATCTTCACTAACAATCTGATGTTTCCTCTGTCACTCACACTGATCTGTCTTCCCCCATCCTCCTCCTCCTCCTCCTCCTCCTCCTCCTCCTCCTCCTCCCCTTCCCCTCCTCTCCTCCTCCCCCCCCCCCCCATCCTGCTCCTCCTCCTCCTCCTCCTCCTCCTCCTGCTCCTCCCCCCACCATCCTCCTCATCCTCCTCCCCTGCCCCTCCTCTTCCTCCTGCACCTCCCACTCCCCCCCCACCCCCCCATCCTCATCCTCCCCCCACTATCCTCCTCCTCCTCCTTTGTGTGATGTTTCCTTCCAGAATCTTCCTTCCTGTCTGATCTGGACATTTTGGGGCAGCAGGAAGTGACATCAGGTTTGTGTCTATGTGCTGTCAGACAAGGCGCTCCCCTGGCCCCGCCCCCAACCAGTGATGTCACAGCAGCTGCTCGTGAACCCGTCAGTTTGTGTGTTAGTTGGTCGCCGAGGAAGTCACACTCAGTAATATTCATTCAGAAGAACAGACAGGTTTACGTGATGGAGGCCGAAACAAACAAGAAAACAAAACTCCGAATATCCAAACGCTCGGAAACGAGCGGGGACAAAAATGACGACAACAGGAAACAGACCAGGGGCCTGCACCACGAAGCGACTTCAATATACCCAGGATCTCTTTCAGTTAGCGTTCACATGACAGAGGCGGAGTCAGCAGCAGAGGACCAATCAGACATGAACAAGTCCCCCGTCAGCAGAGCGTCATATTTCACAAAGAGCAAAGTGTAACTCTGCAGAAACAGGACCGGGTCCAAAATATCAGAAAATATCAGCCTTATTCTTTTTATTTCCACATCAAAAGGCTCGGGCGCTGAAGAAGAGGCCGTTCCACCTCACTTTAAAGAACTGTGAGATTCATTTATTTCCAGACATTGTTCCAAAGCAACGAAACCAAAAATCCATTCATGCCATAAAATGTGTTCAGTTAGCGGCTGAAAGACTGAATGCGAACATTCACGCTGCTGAAAACTCTCCTCATCACTGCGGCCACGTCGCAGAAGGTGGAACATGACTACATGACCTGCGCTCCGACAGACTCGGACTCTGACAGACCCGGACTCGGACAGACCCGGACTCTTGACAGACCCGGACTCGGACAGACCTGGTCCTCAGCATCCGCTCCACAGGAAGCTTCAGCGTGGCCCGAAATGTCCGAGAGAGAAAGAGTTTCTACTCAGTTACAACAAAGTTAAGGCCTTTAAATGTTCCAGTTCCCATAAGAACCGATAATTCTCTTTGGGGACCAAAATGAAATCATGAATTAGACAAATGGGACCAAACAACAACAGAACCTGTCCACGCTGGATTCTGTCAGAACAAACAGGGCCTGCAGAGCAGAACTCGTCTGGGGCCCACTTTGATTTTGCACCAGCCCAGCTCCTCCTCCTCCTGTTGGTCGGGTTCTGCTTCTGGAGCCGTGAGACTGATCCACGTTCTACAGGCTCGGCTGCGTTATCAGAAGCTCTGAGGAACCGGTCGTGTTACTTCCTGTGAAACCTTCTGACGTTGTTGGACAGAAGTATCGCGCAGTTTAGTTTGACGTCATCACTGAGACAGATCTGGGACTAACTTCCAGCATCAATGATTATTATTATTAACAAGCATTAACAAATTATAAAAATAAAATCATCCTCAACTCTTAAGATAGATTCATAATATCCATTCTCTTAAAATCATTGTTTAATTTCAGGTGAGGAGGGGAAGGATGGAGGCGCAGACGGCGAGGAGAAGAAAGGTAAATGCCCCACCTCCTGTTGACTGTGTGCAGGTACCTGTCTGGGCAGGTGATCTGTGACCCTTGATCTCTGACCTGAGACCTTTGATCCCTGATCTCTGACCTGAGACCTTTGATCCCTGATCTCTGACCTGTGACCCTTGATCTCTGACCTGAGACCCTTGATCCTTGATCCCTGATCTCTGACCTGTGACCCTTGATCCCTGATCTCTGACCTGAGACCCTTGATCTCTGACCTGAGACCCTTGATCCTTGATCCCTGATCTCTGACCTGAGACCCTTGATCCCTGATCTCTGACCTGAGACCCTTGATCTCTGACCTGAGACCCTTGATCCTTGATCCCTGATCTCTGACCTGTGACCCTTGATCCCTGATCTCTGACCTGAGACCCTTGATCTCTGACCTGAGACCCTTGATCCTTGATCCCTGATCTCTGACCTGAGACCCTTGATCTCTGACCTGAGACCCTTGATCCTTGATCCCTGATCTCTGACCTGAGACCCTTGATCTCTGACCTGAGACCCTTGATCCTTGATCCCTGATCTCTGACCTGTGACCCTTGATCCCTGATCTCTGACCTGAGACCCTTGATCTCTGACCTGAGACCCTTGATCCTTGATCCCTGATCTCTGACCTGTGACCCTTGATCCCTGATCTCTGACCTGTGACCCTTGATCTCTGACCTGAGACCCTTGATCCTTGATCCCTGATCTCTGACCTGAGACCCTTGATCTCTGACCTGTAACCCTTGATCCCTGATCTCTGACCTGAGACCCTTGATCTCTGACCTGAGACCCTTGATCTCTGACCTGAGACCCTTGATCTCTGACCTGAGACCCCTGATCTCTGACCTGAGACCCTTGATCTCTGACCTGAGACCCTTGATCTCTGACCTGAGACCCTTGATCTCTGACCTGAGACCCCTGATCTCTCACCTGAGACCCTTGATCTCTCACCTGAGACCCTTGATCCCTGATCTCTCACCTGAGACCCTTGATCCCTGATCTCTCACCTGAGACCCTTGATCCCTGATCTCTCACCTGAGACCCTTGATCCCTGATCTCTCACCTGAGACCCTTGATCCTTGACCCCTGATCTCTGACCTGAGACCCTTGATCCCTGATCTCTCACCTGAGACCCTTGATCCTTGATCCCTGATCTCTGACCTGAGATCCTTGATCTCTGATCTCTGACCTGAGACCCCTGATCTCTGACCTGAGACCCTTGACCCCTGATCTCTGACCTGAGACCCTTGATCCCTGATCTCTGACCTGTGACCCTTGATCCTTGATCTCTGACCTGTGACCCTTGATCTCTGACCTGTGACCCTTGATCTCTGACCTGAGACCCTTGATCCCTGATCTCTGACCTGTGACCCTTGATCCTTGATCTCTGACCTGTGACCCTTGATCTCTGACCTGTGACCCTTGATCTCTGACTGGAGACCCCTGATCTCTGACCTGTGACCCTTGATCCCTGATCTCTGACCTGTGACCCTTGATCTCTGACCTGTGACCCTTGATCTCTGACCTGTGACCCTTGATCTCTGACTGGAGACCCCTGATCTCTGACCTGTGACCCTTGATCCCTGATCTCTGACCTGTGACCCTTGATCTCTGACCTGAGACCCCTGATCTCTGACCTGTGACCCTTGATCTCTGGCCTGTGACCCTTGATCTCTGACCTGTGACCCTTGATCCCTGACCTGTGACCCTTGATCCCTGATCTCTGACCTGAGACCCTTGATCTCTGACCTGAGACCCCTGAGCTCTGACCTGTGTGCTGTTTCAGAGGAGAAGGTGAAGGACTACAGGTACTACCTGAGGATGTGGGCCAAAGAGAAGGAACCCAAGACAGAGACCATCAAAGACCTGCCCAGGATGAACCAGGTGAGGAGGAGTTCAGGTCCTGTCTCTCTCTCTCTCTCTACATCATGTTCTCTCTCTCCCTGTGTTAACCCGACTCCCCCGTCTCCCCCGTCTCCCCCGTCTCCCCCCCAGGAGCAGTTCATAGACTTGTGTAAGACTCTGTACAACATGTTCAGCGAGGAGCCTCTGGAGCAGCAGCTCTATCACTCCATCGCCACCGTCGCCAGCCTGCTGCTGCGGATCGGAGAAGTTGGCAAGAAGTTCAACAACGGCAGCAAGAAGACAGATGATGCCGCAGCTCAGGCTCCGCCCCCTGACCTTCAGAGCGAGGAGGGGCCGGGAGAGGGGGGGTCAGGTGAGTCTCAGGTGTGCCGGGCTCTGGCCGATGCTCAGCTGGAGCCGGCGGCTCCGCAGACGTCCGACGAGGAAACCAAAGACGACACTTCGGTGTCGTCGTACTCGGTGGTGAGCTCTGGCTCGCTGCAGTGCGAGGACATCGCCGACGACACTGTGCTGATCAGCGGCGGCGAGCAAAGGCAAGGTAGCGTGCTGGATGTTGATTGGTCAATCACCTTCGAGCAGGTGCTGGCATCACTGCTGACGGAGCCGCCGCTCGTCGATTACTTTGAGAAGAAGAGGGACATCCACAGCAAGATGGCCGTCTGTAAAGCCCAACGGGCGGTAGAGCGTCAGACAAGCTCCGCCTCCGACCATGAACTCACTCAGCACTCCACCTGACCACCTGACTCCCGTCCATCAGAGGCTGCAAACTGAACCGTTAGTTCTGCAGACAGGATTTAAAAACATTAGTTGTCATGAGTTCAGGTGATCGTACCTTTATTACACTTCGTGCAGGAGTTTCACAGTTAAAGCCCTCCAGGGACGGGATTATGGAGGGCTTTTAATGTGAAAGAGTTTGGAGGAAGTGCTCATTTGTTTTAACAGCAAACAGGAAACAACCAGATATAACACTTAAAATTTACAAATAAGCACTTGGATCTCCACCACACTAAACACAGCTTAGGATCAGCAGGGGGAGGAGCAGGTAGACCTGCAGGTCCCTGTGCAGGTTAAAAATAAACAGTCTCTGAAACTATCACTAGCAGCCGAGCAGGTGAATCAGGTGAAGAGAGTGCTGACTGAACTACGGAAGCCCCAACGTCCTAACTCGTGTTTTCGTTGAACCAACTTTTTCTCACAAGATAAAGAACTAAATCATCTCCGCGTGATCAAAAGAGTGTTCGATATGTTTCTGATACAAATGATTGATTTCTGAGTAAACAGGAGAACCCTTTCCCCTGTACCTGTACACCTATACCCGTTCCCCTGTACCCGTTCCCCTGTACCCGTACACTGTACCCGTTCCCCTGTCCCCGTACACCTATACCTGTTCCCCTGTACCCGTACACCTATACCCGTTCCCCTGTACCCGTACACCTATACCTGTTCCCCTGTCCCCGTACACCTATACCTGTTCCCCTGTACCCGTACACCTATACCCGTTCCCCAGTACCTGTATACTGTACCCGTTCCCCTGTACCCGTACACCTATACCCGTTCCCCAGTACCTGTATACTGTACCCGTTCCCCTGTACCCATACACTTGTACCCGTTCCCCTGTACCCGTACACTTGTACCTGTATACCTGTACCCATTACCCTGTACCCATACACTTGTACCCGTACCCGTTCCCCTGTACCCGTTCCCCTGTACCCGTACATTTGTACCCGTTCCCCTGTACCCATACATTTGTACCTGTTCCCCTGTACCCATTCCCCTGTACCTGTACACCTTTACCTGTAAACCTGTACCCGTACAACTGTATCTGTACACCCGTACCCGTTCCCCTGTACCCGTACACCCGTACCCGTTCCCCTGTACCCGTTCCCCTGTACCCGTTCCCCTGTACCCGTACACCCGTATCCGTTACCCTGTACCCGTACACCCGTACCCGTTCCCCTGTACCCGTTCCCCTGTACCCGTACACCTGTACCCGTACACCCTTACCCGTTACCCTGTACCCGTACACCCGTACGCGTTCCCCTGTACCAGTTACCCTTTACCCGTACACCTGTACCCGTACACCCGTACCCGTTCCCCTGTACCCGTACACCCGTACCCGTACACCCTGTACCCGTTCCCCTGTACCCGTACACCCGTACCCGTTCCCCTGTACCCGTACACCTGTACCCGTTACCCTGTACCCGTACACCTGTACCCGTTCCCCCTGTACTCCGCTCACCTGGGCAACATAAAGAACATTTATGTAAAAAGGTGCTTAATGTTGGAACAGGCTGAAATGTTTTCTTTTGATGACTGAAGAAGGAAGTGCACAGGTATCCAGAGGAAATAAAACACGCTGTTAAACTCTCTTTTAATTTCTGTACAGATATATTAACTGTTTATTAATCACCGGGTCGTATTACCTGAACAAACTCATGTATCTGTTTCACTCAGGTGAGTTCACCTGTAGACTTTTATTTTTACGTCACTGAAGCCTTGTTTGTTTGTGTCTGCTGCCTGATGACATCACTCCTGTTTACTTCCTGTTGATGATGTCACAGGATGTTTTTATTTGATTTTTAAAATCCATTTATTGGTCAGTTATTGATCTGTATCCTGTTGTCTAATAAATACTGAACAAAGCTCTTTTCTTCTGTTTATTGATTCACAGACTTTTAGTTTCAGCTCGTTTCACATGATTCATTTTAATGATCAGAATCACAGAATTATTATTTATTATCAGGCAACTCGGAAATTTCTGACCTGAACTAGAAAAATTACCCTGGAACGCCACCTGAAGTTGGATATCCTACTTGTGAACTATGAAAAAAAAATCTGTACCCCGACTTTACGAGTAGCAGCTGAATGACATCACAAAACAATGTCAGCGCCCACGGAAGCACACGCTGTAAATGGTAAACCATAAACTAAAAAGCAACAAAAAGTATATTTGCATGTATTTAAATAAAAATAATACATATACGGTCATATAGTAAAACCTGTTCTGCATGTACACTGATGTAGAAATATGTTGGGCCGTGGTTTTCGTTCACTTTCAGAAATATCCCAGTTCCGACCGGTCTCGAACGCGTTCACAAGTAGGAAATCCGACTTCAGGTGGCGTTCCAGGATAGTTTTTCTAGTTCCAAGTTGCCTGGATCGCAGCATCAGCCCGGGTTCATGGATGAGTGACATCATCCGCCGCCTGAGGAGGATCTCTGACGCTGTGTCGTCCTCCGGCCTGCGGGGGCGCTCTGCTCACTTTACGTCACTGCGGCCGCTGTGATGTAAGGTGTGACGTATCACCGCGGTTCAAAAACACCCCGGGAAAACTGATCCGGAGAATCACAACCAGGACCAGGACCAGGACCAGGATAATAGCTCTCCGTCATGGTTCAGGAGTTTCACGTCCTCCAGTGTTTTTCCTGTCAGAGCTTCCAGGTTCAACAGGTAACAAATAAATCAGAGATAAACCGAACTAAGCCGGGCTAAAGGCTAACAGCCGGGCTAAAGGCTAACAGCCGGGCTAAAGGCTGTCAGCCGGGCTAAAGGCTAACAGCCGGAGTCTCCGCGTCCTGTATTTAAAGTTCTCTTTTCAGTCCCATACAGACTTTCTGAAAGCCTGTTTGGTTCCCTGAGACGGGGACGGTGTTGCTCAGAGGCTCAGGATGATTTCTGCTGCCAAGGCCTTTATATCATGATATTGTGATTGTGTAACTTATTAATTAGGCGTATTGAATAACCCAGAATATGATTTATTCGCTAAATGTAGGACTTTTCTGATGTCCTTTAACACCACATACATTTGATTTAGGTGCATGCATTTGATGATTTAGGTGCATGCATTTGATGATTTAGGTGCATGCATTTGATTTATCTATGAGTCACATCATTGAGCACGTTGCTTTTTTTAGTGCAGCAGCTTCCTTTCGTACATTTCATCAGCTGATTTTTGCTCCCGGAGCCGCTTCCTCAGATGCAGATCAGCTTTCTTTGCTTTCGCTCGAGTCTTTGGTTTAGTCGTTTATGTTTTTTCTCGTCTGTTTGGATCAAACGCTCAGGAAGTGTCAGCCTCGTGTTTCTGACCGACAGACTCTTGGACTTCATTAACGGGAGAAGTAACAGAAGGAAATCTGTTTTAATAAATGTGGAAAGTTGTGTTTGGTCCGTTTGTTATTTAGACCGACAGTGAACAGATTTTAGAAAACAAATATAAAACTTGCCACTGATTCTCTCGGGACACGTTTCTTTGCAACGTGACGCAACCAAGGGCTTCCAGGCCTGTTTCCTCCCGTTTGGTGGGCGTGTCACAGGTGCTGCCCAATCAGCTGCGACAGGTTTGGTTCAGGGAACCATCGACTCCGTTGAGAAAACGCTGTTATCTCTCTTCACTCTGGTGACGATGTGATGTATCCGATCAGTCCGATCAGCTGCAGCGTCCAATCAATTAGCAGATGTGCACTGAGGGGGCGTGTCGGTCAGTAAAAGACTTCCTGCTGTCTCCTCGCTCCTTGCAGCACAAATAAGGGTCCAATCCCGATGTCTCCCCTGAGCCCCTGCATGCTGCACACTTTTTATTTTATGTTTTTGCCTGATTTTTAAGTCCTGCAGGCTCTCGCCTTCTCGCCCTGCAGACTGGAATGTCAAAAATCATTAATGCACAATTACTGGTCAAAACAGCATCATTAAAGTTGATAAACTGAGTGTGTAATGACGTTCCTCTGACTTCCTGTGTCGGGTTTCTATCTTGAATGTTAAAAACTCAGCATCAGCAGCAGTAGCATCAGCGTTGGTGTCCATGCATGTTCGTTTACCTTCTTCTTCTCCCGGACTTCCTGGGAACGCGCCTCTCGAAGTCTGTGAGTGGACGTTGGGATTGGGCCGAGAGCTTTGGGGCGGTCTGCAGGACGGATCACTGAGAATCTTCAGACTCAGTTCTGATGAATAAATGACGACCCCGTTATACCGTCTTGTTTTTATTTGTTTTTCAACAGTTCCAACACGTTCCTTACCTGCTAATCAATAACTGATTAGAATAAAAACTTTTAAAAAGAAACAAATGTACAGAAAAGGGAAATTAAAGTTTGTTCTTAATGTTTGTATGATTTCAGCTCCGTGTGTGTTTGTGCTTTATGTTTTTAATCTGATTATTGTAATGAAGAAATGCTTGTGTGCCCTGTGCTGTGTCTGTCAGGTGAAGAAGGCGCCCAGGTGGAGCTGTAAACTGTGTGGAGAGAAACAGTCGCTGCTCAAGGTCAGAAAATAACTTTACGTCTTTAAAGCTGCGCTAACTCAGCAGAAACAAGTCGAGAACACATCGTTGACATATAATCAGCTGCTCCACTGTCAGGAAACGCACAGAAAATACAAACTGAAATCTGTATTTAAATGAAAATGAATTTGTGAAAACATGCTTGAAACGGAATCAATAATAGTTTCTGTTTTACACACGCTGTTCATTCATCAAACAGGCGAGCCGTCCGCTCTCTCTGCTCGTCTTCCGCAACACAAACACACTTTTCGTTCATCATTTCTCTGCTACGACATTTTACTGCAATCAGCTGACTTTAAAATGAAAGACTGACTGTGGGAACCGGACTACGTGGTCTACACCTGTAAAGACACCTGTATCCGTAACTCGGCCACTTTACTGTAAGTCAACTGTAATGTAACTCTGTCCACTGGAGACACAGAGTTAGAGACGCAGTGATCTGCATCATCCAGAACAGATGGATCAACATCGCCACGTGTTTGTTATCAGTAACTAAAATCTAAACCGCACACATTAGAGTACGCTAACGGTGGCTGGCGTTAGCTCCTGAAGGCGTGTGGTAGGATTCGCTTTTTTACTGTGCAATACTGAAAACCTGGAGTGACCTCACTTCCTGCTTCGTGGTTCAGGTGTTCACGGTAGAAGACGGGCTTTATTATTACCTGTGTGCTGATTGGTTGACAGGAGTCTGGGCGGGGCTCCGCGGCCGACTGCAGGCGCCATGTTCAGAAGCTGAACGCCATGAGAGGAACCCTGATGGAGAAGCAGGAGCGCAAAAACTGGTCGCTATGGTAATGGAAATATGTCCCACAATACACAGCAGCTCTTTCAGTTCAGGTGCCGTCACCCTTCACACGTTCACCTTTTCTCACCTGCCGTGTTGTGTTGGCTGTTAACAGGAAGCAGGTGGAGGCAGACGGAGAGGATGAAGCCGAGGAGCCCGACCAGGTGAGCACGCACGCACGCGTCCTAAAATGTCGTCATTTAGGTTTTCGTCACAAAGGTACGGTGGTGTGAAAGTAAAACCGCCCCGCTGCTCTGATCCCCTGGACAATCGCCCCACGAACAGGAGCCCGAGGCACCTGGCCTCCTTCAGTCGGGCTGCTTCCCTGACCCCCACGGTGTTTTTACCGCCCCTTGGGGCACCTCAGACCTTGAGACCACAGCTCCCCGCCACCGCCTGAACAGTGACCACTCAGGTTCAATGTTTGTTATAGAGGATCCAGGACTAATCACGCCTCTCCAGGTGTCCTCCCAGCCCCTCACACCCTGAGAAGCTCCAGAGAATAATAACAGTTAATTTTCTGCTTCAATATTCAGAATGTAATGAAGCTTGTAAAACTGTCTCCAGGTGAAGCACGCTCAGGTGACACAGACTCAAGGGAGCCGCTGGAGGAAATACCTGGACACACCTGAGGAGGCGGAGCCAGATGAGGAGGAAGACGACGACAGTGTTTTGATGGACAGGCAGCAGCTCCATGGCAACAACATGACTGACAGGTGTGACTTTAGAGAGTGTTTATGTTGTTAGAGGCCACGCCCACCTACCTGTCAGTCAGTAGAGTGGTTTATAAAGCACATCTGTGTAAACATAAACCAGGTGTCACCTCAACATCTAAATCAGGTTTGATGAGGTGTGTTTTTGTATGTGTGTGTGTGTGTGTGTGTGTGTGTGTGTGTGTGTGTATACGCACTCGCATATACACACACCGGTTAGGGCCGGTTGTGGTTTGGTGATGAGGTGCTACACGCAGACAAACATACAGCTGACATAAATAGATGTAGAAATATATAAATATGGAATAAACAAATGCAAGCTATATAAGAATAATAGAAAAAAATATTTTTCAGGGAAAGAACAAGGTGGCAGATATTTACATGTGCATTATTCTGGTTTGTGTTGTGCAGACGTGTTGCAGCAGGACAGGATGTTTGGTGTAGATAAATATATACATTGATAATATAAAACAATAAAACAACAACAATATTTCTAAAGTATCAACAAACGGCACACACGCCTCCACTGAACTTGAACATAAACTACAACAACGAAACAAGCAATAAATCCCATCATGCACTTCAACATCCACTTTTTTAACTTCTCAAAGAACAACTAACAGCTGTGAGAGGAAGTCCAGGACAGATGAGAGGGGGTTCGATTGAAAATGAAATTACAGCCCTGCACTGTGCATATTTAATTATTAATTTAATTACTGAATTTTCTTAAGAAGAGGAAGATTTACACTCACCTAAAGGATTATTAGGAACACCATACTAATACTGTGTTTGACCCCCTTTCGCCTTCAGAACTGCCTTAATTCTACGTGGCATTGATTCAACAAGGTGCTGAAAGCATTCTTTAGAAATGTTGGCCCATATTGATGGATAGCATCTTGCAGTTGATGGAGATTTGTGGGATGCACATCCAGGGCACGAAGCTCCCGTTCCACCACATCCCAAAGATGCTCTATTGGGTTGAGATCTGGTGACTGTGGGGGCCATTTTAGTACAGTGAACTCATTGTCATGTTTGAAATGATTGGAGCTTTGTGACATGGTGCATTATCCTGCTGGAAGTAGCCATCAGAGGATGGGTACATGGTGGCCATAAAGGGATGGACATGGTCAGAAACAATGCTCAGGTAGGCCGTGGCATTTAAACCATGCCCAGTTGGCACTAAGGGGCCTAAAGTGTGCCAAGAAAACATCCCCCACACCATCACACCACCACCACCAGCCTGCACAGTGGTAACAAGGCATGATGGATCCATGTTCTCATTCTGTTTACGCCAAATTCTGACTCTACCATCTGAATGTCTCAACAGAAATCGAGACTCATCAGACCAGGCGACATTTTTCCAGTCTTCAACTGTCCAATTTTGGTGAGCTCTTGCAAATTGTAGCCTCTTTTTCCTATTTGTAGTGGAGATGAGTGGTACCCGGTGGGGTCTTCTGCTGTTGTAGCCCATCCGCCTCAAGGTTGTGCGTGTTGTGGCTTCACAAATGCTTTGCCGCATACCTCGGTTGTAACGAGTGGTTATTTCAGTCAAAGTTGCTCTTCTATCAGCTTGAATCAGTCGGCCCATTCTCCTCTGACCTCTAGCATCAACGAGGCATTTTCGCTCACAGGACTGCCGCATACTGGATGTTCTTCCCTTTTCACATCATTCTTTGTAAACCCTAGAAATGGTTGTGCGTGAAAATCCCAGTAACTGAGCAGATTGTGAAATACTCAGACCGGCCCGTCTGGCACCAACAACCGTGCTGCGCTCAAAACTGCTTAAATCACCTTTCTTTCCCATTCTGACATTCAGTTTGGAGTTCAGGAGATTGTCTTGACCAGGACCACACCCCTAAATGCATTGAAGCAATGTGATTGGTTGATTAGATAATTGCATTAATGAGAAATTGAACAGGTCTTCCTAATAATCCTTTAGGTGAGTGTACTTTATAATTCAATGTTTTTTCCCTCTTCAGTAACAGGCGACAGACATGTTTCACTCTTGGTATGAGTCGGCCACACGGTGGATATTTTAGCGGCAGGTGCAGCAGCAGTGAACGCACAGATGTCACTAACAAGCCGGCATGCTGCTCACCTGCTGGGAGAGAGACAAGAAACAGCAGCGGCGCATGTCAAAGCAGCTGAACCTAATAGATAAAAGCTTTGTACACTCTTTCTCTCAGCTTCATGAGGTAGTCCTAAATATTATACTGACACACAGATGTATACTAGCTCCTCCTCCAAGTTGTGGGTGGAGCCTCTGCAGTGGACAGGTGTAGATTTAGACAGATCCAGGATGCCAGTGTGCCGATGTGTGCTCCTTCTAGCCGCCTCCTCCTGAGAGCGACACCCCCTTGGTTCTGTTTTACTGACTTATTCTTCTAAATATTGTTCAGTAATCTCGTTGAATGGTGGATCAAGTCCCACATGCCGCGATGAGTGATCAGAATTTCATCACAGGAGAAAAGAAATAAACTCAGAGAATGAGACAGACTGAAAGTGGGTTTTTATGTTACTGTGCCTTTTAAAGTTATTATACTATAACCCCCCCCCCCATGTCCTGGCAGGAAGAGGAAGAGAAGAGAAGGATGCACTGACAGCGGAGGACAGGACGACTGGACACCTGAACAGGTAACATGCTGACTTAGTTCAGTGACAGGTGTGGAGTCTTTGTGCTAAGCTAACAGAGATGTAAAGTCATAGAGCAGGAACGTGGATGTGTGGCGCGGGTGCTGCTGATGGATCCGTCTCTGATTTATAAAAAAAAAAAAAACTACAAGTCCCACATGCTGCAAAGCCGCGATGCACCAATCACAGTAGAGTGATTTCTCTCAGTGAAGAAGTGATGATTCAGTATTTTAAAAAGCTTTGACGGTATTTGGGCCCATGTGTCCACCACAGATCCAGACTCCACAGCTCCAGAGCCAGAAACACCTGCAGGAAGTGATAGGAGGAGAGAGGAGAGGGACGAGAAAGCACAAGACTACGGGAAAGGGGAGAAGTTGTGTTAGTAACATGCAATAATGGGATGAGGTTGCATACAGAGGGAGAGAAAGTAGAGGAGAGAGGAGCTCAGTGCATCATGGGAGAAAGGTTAGCGTAGAGCAGAGTTTCTCAGCCGGGGCGTTCAGAGGATGACGGGGGGCGCTGGAGGCAATGTTTTGGAAAGGGGGTTGCTGAGCTGCTCCTGGGGGGCGTTTGTTGAGGTGGACGTTTTTAAGGCGAGTTTACACCAAATATTTTACAATATGAGTTTAAACTTGCACAAAACTTTGTTCTGCAACATTAAAAGCTTAGTTTAGTCCACAGCGACTGGACGAGACGGATCGTAACTCTTCAGCAGCTTGCTGTCTTCACAGGAACGAGAAGTCAGAGTATCATCTGTAAAATTCCACCAACATGGCGTTTACTGTGTGAACTCTGGAAAACAGACGCTCTCTTTCATTATATAAATTCTCTGAAAAGCGTTCATTTCTCTGAGGAATCCGCTGTCGACGCCTTGTTATCACAGTCTTTACACCCTTTTACCCTAAAAGCAACCATGCGTCCAGCAGCTGATTCGTGGCCCAAGCGGTAACGTGACATGTAGAGTTTCAATATAAAAATGTAACGTTACAAACGGAGGCGCAGCCCTGCTCTGTGTGGGACTGTGAGCTGCAGAGCTGCTGAAGTTAACGTGGCGATCTGTGGTGACATTTCTGCTGATCACACGTGATGTTGCATAGTTGGGTTTTGGTGAAAAGGCACCACGATCACATTCAAAGAGGTTACTTCCTCAAACAAAGACACAAACGAGGAGGGAAGTCATGTGTGTTGAGTCAGCAGGGAGTCAGATAATTTTGCTCTTCCTGTTTTTAATAACAGTAACAACAATATTCAGGGCACATAGCCAACATCTTTTTTTTTAATGGGGGGCGGTGAGGGACCTGGATTATGGATGGGGGGACAGGCCCCTTCATTCTCCTTCATATTGAACTGTTCCTTTTAAATCTAACAGAGGGTCCAGGGGGTTTCCCTGAGGAACTCCACGGTACTGATCCTTTAAACACTCTGACTTCTTCTGTCTACAGTCCAACTGGTCCAGTCTGAAGAAACCGGCCTCAGCCAGAACCAGGACCAACAGTCCTCCCAGTAAGAAGAGCATTAACCCCGGCTGTGAGAGTACTGGTCCAGTCAGTAGTTGGGCTAGTTTCCTCAGTTCTGACTGCCAGGTGAAGGCGGAGGGGGAGGGGCCTTCAGGGAGTGGGAGGAGTCGTCACATGGGCGGAGCTGCCTCTCTGCCCTGTAATGACACTAACCAGACTCCGCCCCTCGCCAGGACCCGCCCCCTGCTTCCTGTTTCCTCCATGTTCGAGAGTGGAGAAGAGTTCAGCTTTGACGAGTTTCTGACAGCCGATCAGTTCATCAGTTAATCCAGCGATCGCTTCAGATCTTCTGTCAGTCGCTGTGTTTCTGTCTGGGGAGAAATGGAGAGATGAAATTTATGTGAAAACCTGTTGGCTTGTTGCAAACATTCAACATGTGACCAGATCTATTGATCAGATCAGTAGTTTCAGGTTCAGTCCTGATGTGTTTATCGATCAGAGCAACATGTGACTAATAAAGATCAGAAGGTGGAGACGGGA